GAATAAACAGCTCGATGCTCGGTCGATCGTCATTTGAATTTGATGTTTCTAATCAAGGGTTCTGTGTCAATTTACTCTCTCGTGGGAGGTTTTGTTTTGTTGTGTCGTTTGTTTCTGTTTCGCCCGTCTTTGAAAGTTTTTGCATCTTCTTTTCAATTCCCGATTCCGAGTAGTTGCAGATTCATCCCATCGTTAGCCTTTTCCTTGCGTTAATTGTTCTCTTAGAGAGGGAAAATTGCTGGTTCAGCTTCAATTTTCTGATAGATCTCAATTTTAGTTTCTTTTCTTCTCACTTTCCTTGCTTTCCTCGGTAGAGTTGTGGAATGCTAGTCAATACGGCTTGATTCATTTACTTCCTTTTACTGCTCGTTTGAACAGAAGCCAATACCAACACCTAGCTGTTGCTACTGTGATTATTCTGTCAACGGCTGTTGTTTCATTGTCTACATAGTTCAAGACTGTCCAGACAGCTGTTTATTGCAAACTTAGAAATTTCCTGTATTCATGGAGACAAATAAGTATATGGCAGTATATAACTGTCTAATCAGATGGGTTCCTTTGACGCCGGACGTGTTGACGTTCTATGCTTGCGCTCGAGCGCCTCTTGCATATGCATGCAAACATACCATGTATGGATTGCTAGCTTGAGTTTGTTCGTGCACGTTGGAAGCTGGATTTTTCTTTTTTTGGGTCAAATTAGTATTTATAAAGACAGTGAGTAATTGTATCTCTTGCACCTACCACTACGTCAAGATCCAATTGAAATGCATCTGTGACTGCTGTAGATTTTATAAGCCATGTTTTGAAGTCATTGGTATCTTTGGTTCTGTGTACTGTTCTTGATAAACATCAACCAAACTTATCGCAGAGGACATAGAAGGAATTCAAATAAAATGGAAGATATTTTGAGCCATGGAAGGTAACAATCAGTAATATAGCTTGCATTTAGGCAAAAGCAGTATCAGAGATCACAAGTTTCTCTTTTCTAGTAGCTTTAAAAAATGAAAAGCATTTCTTGTTGACCCTTCAAGTCTTTTATAATGTGATTTTTAATATTTCTCTTTTGGTTTTTGCAGTTCAATGAAGTATGTATCAACAGAAAAGTGGCCCTAGTTCAAGTTTAGTTCCCAGTAACGCAATGGTTCATGGTCAACATTTAGATAGTGGTGCCAACACAATGGACTCCATCAGTGGAGGGACCAATCACAGTAACAATTCCAATCTCGCATCCAAGCAGCGGTTACGTTGGACACATGAGCTTCATGATCGCTTTGTTGATGCCGTGGCACAACTTGGTGGGCCAGATAGTAAGTCATCACGATTATGTTTGTGTTATCTCGATTATCTGTAATTATCTATTTACACTCTTGTTTCAGATTTTATTTGGCAATGTTTTGATCTACTTACAAAGTAATGAAAGGCTGGAATTTTATAAAGAAAAGTATATAATGAAGAAGTGACGGGGCATCTACTCTCTATTTGTCCACTTCTTTAAAGGATACATGATGACATGCTTGTCTGTATAGTCACATGTGGGTGAATTGCTTGGAAGACATAGAACTTTGTGGAAGATTTTAAGTTGATGACTTTAGATTGTGAAAATCAACAAAAAGAAAATAATAGAATGGAACATTTAAATTATGTGCTTACCAAAAAAAACATTTAAATTATGTTGTTAGGTTGATGTGGCCTATTTTCATGAAAAAGATAAGTAAATTTTACCAAGAAAATCAGTGTAGGTTGTGCACTCAAACCGAGCCCTGGTTACACCCGTCCTCTTTGAGTTTGTTGAATACGAAGCGGAAAAGGAAATATATACAAAATCACCCATGAAAAAATAATCTTGAAGCTCAGCTGCCAACTAAATCTATTTTACTTTATTGGTCTAGTTGATTTGTACAACGGGGCATTGCCCATGCACCCTAATGAAACTCAGCATACTAGGTCCAGTACCTCCACTCTCACAAGCGATCTCTTGAAAATTTTAGCGTTCATTTTTGTTTTGTTTTAGGGATGTGATTGAAAATAATTAAAACGTTGGCCGATGAATGGAAAAAACAAAGAGTAATTTAAGACGCCCCAAAGTTGAAAGGCATTGGCCCCAATGTTGCATGCTAGTATGATGATCTTAATTAGCAAGCAATATCTTTCCATCTTTTTGTGCATCTTCATTTCTTTTTCTGGCTGGTAAATTTGCGCTTTTTTCAAGAGTTAAGAAAATAACTGCATAATAGAACTTGGCAACACATAGAATAAGCTAGATCTACTTCTAAATTCGCCTTAAAGAGTTCGTTAATGTTTAATTTATGTGTAGCTACTAATTTTTCTGATCTTTGTTTCATTGCTTTCTTTCAGGGGCTACACCTAAAGGTGTTCTCAGAGTTATGGGCATGCAAGGTCTAACAATATACCATGTCAAAAGTCATTTACAGGTTTAAAGGACAAACTTTTCCTCTTTTATTTATTTTGAATATATATTAATTCTTTTCTGTTAAAGAATTCTTCTGACTAGACACTTGTAATGCATGCAGAAATATCGACTTGCAAAATATCTACCTGACTCCTCGTCTGACGGTATGATTTAACAAGTGGTAATCGGTTTTCATGTTGTTTTTGTAATCTAAGATGATTATTGTGCTCGCTCGAAATGAATTCTTAAGATACCTTAGAATGGATCTCCATCTTACATTCTTACGGTTGTTCCTGAATTACTGATTGTAGGTAAAAAAGCTGAGAAAAAAGAATCGGCTGATATGCTCTCCGACATGGATGGCTCCTCGTAAGTACCATTTCCTCCTAATATCATGCTTACTTCAGATACGAGATATGAAGTAGGTCATCGGTTGATCAAGTGGTAACTCTAAATTGAACTGTTGGAATTATTAATTCTCCCTGCTGGTTTTTCTTGTCTGCTATTCTTGAAAGATAGTACTACAGTAGGATATTAACAATTTTATTGAGAAGTAATTGCATTTGGATTTTTTGATCTGATTCCTCTATTTTTTGTATCAATCTGATTCTTTCGTTGATAAAATGATCTTTAGGTAAATTGTTATATTTATATTTTTATCTCTCTTTAATCGCTAACATTTGAACCTTTTACTTTATATATGACAAAATGTTTGTTTTTACTGTCTACTAGAGGTGGGATGCAGATCACCGAAGCTCTCAAACTGCAAATGGAGGTGCAAAAGCGGTTACATGAACAGTTGGAGGCAAGTTCGTTGTTTGTATTTTAGCTTTCTGATTGGTTGGAATAACACGGTTAGAATTAATATTATGATATTCAGATCTTTATTGCAAATCTGACTTAAGAATCGTCAATCATTTTTGATGATGTGCCGTATCTGTAATGTTGAGAATTTTCGAGGAGTTTGCTAGACTTTTCCCTATATCATTTCGTTCTCGAGAACATTCATTAATAGAACATCAAGACAATCAAGTGTGGAAATGCTAAAAGTGATATCATACAACTTTACCAGCTGTCATATATATGATTCTGCAATGTATGAGATTAGGTGCTCATGTGGCCTTTAGTATGACGGCTGTCTTTTTACTATGATAAAGATGCAAATAATTTCAGGTCCAAGTTAGGCCGAGTTAGTTTTGCATCCTGATTCCAATAAGTTACTTCAAGCTAATTTTGTTTCATTTGATGTCAGCAGGTGCAGAGACAGCTGCAGCTGCGGATAGAAGCGCAAGGCAAGTACTTGAAGAAGATAATCGAAGAGCAACAGAGACTTAGTGGAGTTCTCGCGGATGGGTCAGCACCTGAATCGGGTGATAAGGGCCAAGAAGACAGCAAGACCGATCCACCTACCCCAGTTCCTATCTCAGAGTCACCCATCCAAGATAAGTCTAAGGACCGTGCCCTAGCCAAGAGCCTCTCACTTGATGGATCACTCTCATCTCCTAATCATGAACCATTGACCCCCGATTCCGGTTGCAATGTCAGTTCGCCCGCCGAAAGCCCTGATGGCGAGAGGTCAACGAAAAAGCCACGGGTTATTGCTGGTGCTTCATATGCTAAACCCGAGACGGTGCTACACCCGATATTTGAATCAAGCATGGGTTGCTCCTATACAACCTCCTCATTCAAACTACCTGACCAGGGATCTGTTTGATTCCCAGTAGATAAAACTAGAATGGTCAAACTGGGATTAGCCTTGGCAGATATATTGTAACATCTTGTACTGCTTGCTGTATTGACTTGCGGACTAGTTTGTTTCCACTTGCATGTGTAGTTTGTCAGGAGAAAGTGAACTATTTAACTTGGTAAGTATTATATAGGTAGCTTAGAGGTCATTGTATATTTTGATGCTTAGTTCAAACTTGTGAGGATATGGCATTTTCTGGGCAGATGGTATTGAAGGAGGGATTAGTATGTGCTCGTTGCCGTGCGGATGAGTTCTCTTTAGTAGGCGTTGAGGAACATGAAACCCACGTCCCAATTTATAGGTCGTCCTCAGGGTAGACTTAAATATTTCACTGAATGCGGACCTGTAAGTAACTTAATAGGGTTAATTTGAGTACTGCAGTGAGAAAACGACCAGTCGTACATTTGGAAGAGCACGTTCTTTGAAACACATGAGTTGAGATTTTTATTTAAAGATTGACGATGATCCGCTGCAATTGCCCCAGAAAAGCATTGGTCAGCAAATGAAGATGTCGGCAATTACACTTGACAGAAAGCTCCGCATGGAAACGAACTTTACCTGAATGAACTGCCAGAACTCACAGGCATTGCAAATCTACAGTAGTCATTGAAAAGGACTTACACCTACAATATACTACACCCCCTGCTTTTGCTAAGCACTAACTGCAGTTTTACTAACAGGGCTTCTAGGCACTAAAGATGCCAAAAAGCCCTAGGCTTCTCTAATCATGACCTTTAACACAGAGTTATGCATCCTTTGCACATTACTATTTGTGCATGACAATATGATAAAAGATCTATCAAGACTCTACATGAAGAAACCGCACACCATTGCCGGTGAGGCTTAAGGGAATAAGGGCCTCTTTCAACCTGGAACATGGACAAGCACAAAGCTGCTCAGCTGTATACACTCTCCAATTTGATACAACATAAAGTCAGGTAAACTCAACTAAATCTGCTTCTCAAATTCAACAAAAAAATTACATAACCCCTTGTAGCAATATCATGACATATTGCGGAGCCAAATTGCTAGCAATTGCTCTTCTTGATGGCAGAGAAGATGATAAATTTCTTATTAAGATGATGTAATGTTCTCTGGTGAGCTACTCAGGCCTCCGTGTGAGAAAAGATGCCTAGAAACTTCACATATCAGGCATCGAGATGTCATATACAGACTGGAGCGACAATCTCTCAGTCATATCAGTATATGGTCCTAGTGTTCGGAGCAACCAATTGGCAACCAGCTACCCATTTGTCTAGCTGTATGGAAAGCTGACGAGCCCCTGAGAACGTGAGGAGTTTCTGATCACGTCAGGACAAGATATTGCTTCATCAGCATCTTCAAGTTCTACCCCCGGAGTAGGCAGTATGCCAGTGACGAAGAATGGTTCAACTATGTAGTAGGTTTGACTATGCCCTGAAGCTTCCACCCACCAAGTCCAGCCAAAGCAAAAGCCTGCACAAAGGAACATACCATATGATAGAGAGATCCCATAAGATGATAATGATGACTTTTGTCACAAAGAGAGAAGGAATTCAGCGACTGTTAGGAGGGAACGTCTACGGTCTTGTGGCCAAGAAAACAGGATGCAAGTTCTCTAAAAGTTCCAACTACTCAAGGATACATTTTTTTCATACAGGAGTGTTAGACCCTATATTATGATATCAGAAGGTCTGTTTTCAAATTCATAACTGAATTATTATATTATATGAAGATTCATAAAATACATAGGAAATTTACTATTACTAACCATCACAATATGGAAAAAGAGCTTGAGAGAAATACCACCTCCTCAGGAAAAGTTCCTACCATCAAGGGTTTTGACTATATCCACATGGACACTCACTGAGTATAAGAGATTTATAAACACTACAGGAAATGTATTAATCTTGAGCATACAGAGAAAGGTGATGTGGCAAAATATGTGTGGGTTCCTAACATGGCTCACTTGTTCAAAGTACCTACTCTACTTACAGTTTGTCACATTACTTTGTCAGCCGATTTTATAAACCAATCTTCATATATCTAATAGTACTAACCATTATCATGTTACTGATTCATTTAGTATTGTGTAATCTATTTTTGCTCAAAAGTAACTGAAACGATCATTTGACTATAACAGTATTTAATAGTAAACTAATTGTTTAAAATCAATGTTTATGTAATTACCTAAATTTTATCATTTCCAAAGTTTAATAGAATGGTACAAAGTCACTTTCCACATATATTTTGATTTTCTTTAATTGCTAGTAATTTCTACTTTACCTAATCCATACTTTTCTGAGGTTTCCAAATTCTCTGATGAAAATTCTTTGAGCGTTCCTAATTGAGGATATCCATCAGGTAGTAAATTACCTGTCAGATCGTCATTGTCCTTAATTGCTCATAATCCACGGTATCCATTGTTAGTAACTCTTCTAGAAGGTTTGTAATCTTCCCTCGAGTGGTCATAGGTTCAGAAGTCCTCATAGTTGGTAACTTTTCTTGAAAGATTTTCCTTCATTGCTCATAATTTCTAGTAGGTCCCATCATTAGTAACTTTCTCATAATATTTTCATTTCCCTTAAGTTCTAGTAATTTTAACTTCTTATCCATCCTTAGCAGAATTTCTCAAAAGTCTTGTTTCTTTTTGTGTTTGCAATTGAGGGTAACTCAGTATTAGCAACTTTGCCATGAGATTGCAATTTTACTTTATCGATTCTAACTCAGAGGCACCTATAAGTTACAAACTCTTCAGAAAGACTGCAATCTCCCTCAAGTCATCGTAACCTCTTAGTGTACCGATGTATGTAGCTTTTCATAAAGGATGGTAATTATCCTTAAGTGCTCATTACTTTGAGGGCTCATGTCACTGATTGTGATTTTCCTTAAGCGCTTGTAATATTGAGGGCCCCTATCGTCAATTACTTTCTTATGAGATTATAATTCTCCTTTTGAAAGTAATATTGAGGGTTTCTATGGTTAGTAACTCTCAAGTGGGATTGTTGTTTACTTCAAATTCTCGTGACTTTGAGGGTATCTATGACTTTCAACACTCTGAAGTCTTAACATTTGGAGTAAAGATCCAAGAATAACACAATTAGTAGTTGCATTTGCTCTTTTAAGGTACACTGTCTTTTTGTCAATTGGCTAGCAAAACTTCTGTCTCTACAAAAACTTGTTGCCATGTTTATGTCGTGCCAATACAAATGCTTGTAGCAATGTTAAAAAAGAACAGTAGCAGAGAATGATGATGCCTACCTCTTCCCAAGATCTTCCAGTAGCTTCGAGCAAAGCAGCATTGCATGTTTTAAGTTCAATGGATGCACCCGTAAACATGGAAGCCGCCTCCTCCCATCCCCTATTATGCCCCATACACCTGCACAATTACTCATATGATTGACAAATCCGTCCATGCTGTTTCAAACTATGAAACCAGAATAACTAGAAAAATGGTGGTCTATGGTTTTGTAAAGCTACACAAGTTAGTACAAAAGGAAGATATATTCGTGAAAGCATTTTTGCAATACAAAAACCAACACTATAGTCCATAACCACCTGATAAGACCGTTCAAAGTACCTAATCACCAAAGCGACCTCGCATTAAGGTACAAAAGCAGGCATTATCCATGCTAACAGCGGAAAGATTTGGGTCAGAGCATCTTTGGTGTCACTTTTTTCTTAAAAGGAAACAACTGCCTTGTAGCTTCATAAATATACTTTACCCTATGAACCTAATATTACTATAAATATACAAAGATTACAAAGGAATACAATATTGGACCCATTTATCCATGTAATATGCATCAGACTCAAATGAGAAACATCCAGATTAGGGTTATGTCTCTGTCCTATATTGTCTGAACAGCTTCAGCAACACTACCAAATGAACATCAGAAGACACAAATCTAGCCCTCTGCAATGATGCCATTACAATAATCAAACCATGACAAAGCGATTTAGGTCTACAAACGACACCAGATTACATCCTTTACAAAAACTCGTGTGATGAGTGTATCCACTGGGAATCTTGCGTCGAAATGCATTGATTCGAAAAGGAACCACTTCATGTAATTCCAGAATAATCATACTTCCATCCAGAAAAAGACTAGAATCAGGACTCACATTACGGTCAGTATCTCGTCCCTAGAATATTTACAGATAGCCTTTTGCAGGTGCTCTGCTGTCTGACCATCCATTGCTGCGATCGAATAAAAACTCGAAATGAAATGGACCTCAGCTTCCAAAAAGCTTTGCACTCGTTCCTGCATTATCCGCAGTGTCTCACGCGTTCGAACTGCATCACTACCTCAAAAGAGGGAATTCAAATCGAAACCAGCCAAGCGTAGATCATCAAAATTAGTATTATAAACTCATCTATGTTTTGCAATTCGTTAATCTACGCTTAGAAAATTGCTGACCTTAACAAAATAAGCTGAGGGATCCAACCCAATTGGTGAAGCTTGTGTGCTATTTTGACAGCATCATCTCGACCGCTCTTACTGAGAGGGCGATCATGATCTAGTTGCAATGATTCAAGAAAGCAACAACATTTACAATCCTTTTATAAGGATCCAAAAGGAAAAGGCACAATGGCAAATATATCGGTGAAATGGGAGGAGGAATCAGAACCCCCTCCAATTTAACCAGTTAGCCAGTCAACGCCCATCACTACTACTATGAACAAACATTGCCTAGACACACTCAAAAGACTACAGCAAAGCTTTCACATTGCCTATCTTATTCTCTCAAACACTGCAGCAATCCTCCTCAAGCATCTAGATAAGAAAAACAAAAAAATCGCCATTCTTGGACAAGAGCAGCTGAATGCAAATATTTTGATTTGAATATCCCTTTTTTCCGGGAAAGAAAAATGAACCTCTAAGGGAACGGTCAGACCAGGAGCTCTTGGCGTGGCGAAGAAGAACGAGGCGGCGAGGAGCGGCCGACGCCGACGGGCTCGGAGCCTCGTCCTCCTCCGCCGGAACGACCCGGCCCTCCGCCGTGTCCATAAGCAGGGACCGCCTGAGAAGCAGGGAGCCGGGGTTCCTTCTCCATCGGAGGAGAGGTGGGAGATGTGATTTGCGGGAGGTGGGGTTGGGCAGTGCAATGCAAAGGGTCATTTTCTTTGGGTCGAATCAATTCTCCGGAAAAGGGAAGCCAAAAGCGAGGATCTTGTTCATGTAGAGAGAGCGAGAGAGCTCAACAATGGAGGTTTTCACTCTTTCTTGCTTTGCCTTCTTGCTTCCACTCTGTTTCTGTCTCTGCTCTTACTGCCTTTTTTCCTCGTTTGTCCTAGGTTGTTTGTTAAGAGGATAATGTTCGCATACACGCACAACAATCGAGTCATCAAACTAACGCATGAAAAAGGAAATTTATTACACAACCAACTCCTCATGTTAAATTCGGATAATAAGGTAGACGTACAATATTAATTTGATTAGCGAGGCATGGACTGAGTATAATTAGAAATCTAAATAAGTGGGTTTATACAATATCTAAGGAGAGTTTATCTCAATTTTGGTATTACCAACATTATTTTATCATTTATAAGTACTCAGGATGGATCGTGCCCCTTAGTAAGGAATTGGGGAGCTCGACTCACACTTCCATGGTCCAATCTCACTCGGTGTGCAGGACGGGATGATTAACATGTCCCTTGAGCTCGATGAAGGGGAACGGATTTTTGTTAATTAGAAAAGAGAAAGATTCGTCATACCGCGAAGAGGATCCACCTCATTAACATTACATGCTTCTGCAACCGTGAGCGACTTTATCTATTAAAGTGAATGTTAAAAAAAACTGCCCACTATTTATTTGCCATTACTAGTTCAAGGATAATGTCGGATAATAATCTTTTCTTCTTGCTTCCTTATTAGCTAAATTAGGTTATCACATTTACAAGCTGAATCTTTATGGCAATCTGTTCTTTTTTATTATATGCAACAGTGACAGTTGCAAATGCCTAAGCTTCTAGTAATTAAATTGACAGAAAATTGCGAAATCCGGAATCTTCAAACTCAATGGAAGAACAACAAGATGGATCCCATGTTCCTCACTTTCAATTTGTTTTCGAGCAGATCAGATTAGCCATGTCATAGTCATTAATTAAGAGAACCCTATACTACTAGTCAGTATAGTTTCAATAAACCAGACAATGCCAACACTATGCAACTCTTGCTTAATTACTTAAGATCTTGCCATTCCCTCAGGCAGCTACTTTGCCAAATGAAGAATAGTTAAGTTACTGCAGGGCCAATAATCATTAGAGAATGAATTATGATTATAAGATATAAAACTCATTACAAAGGATACAGCCAAAAATCAGCATTATTTTGCCGAAGTATATACAATGCCTGCAGAAATAATGAAAGAATCAAGGTGAACTTGCATCTTTTCCCTGGCTTTTTCTGCAGAGGAAACTGAATGTGTCCCACTATATTGAGTGTTTACTCTACCACGCGACTTCCACCACCAGTCGAAAACGCAAGCAATCATCACGGCACATAGATCCCAGTGCAGCCAATGTATCAGATGCTGTTGTTAAGCCATATCCGTCATGACATTGACTGACGGTATCGGTGAAGTTGAATAATGTGGCCTCTCAAGCTACACTCCTCCACCTGAAAATCACAGGGACAAACTCCTTCAGGATGGACTTGGGTATAGGCAGGAAGTGTCAGGGGAATACACAAGCACAATTTGATACAGGAAAGAGTAGCTCCAACAATCCGTATTACCACTTGATCATACGTGAGAAATGAATCGTTTTAAGCAGATTCGATTAGGCTAACCTGGGATAGGTATCTCTTGGACAACAAATCACCACTTTCTTCAATGACAACTCTTTCTCTACTGACCACTCTGGCTAGTTCAGAAATGAAAGCTTCCAATTGTTCAGCCTGCATCGAGCAAGTTCCTAATATTTGAGAAAGGCAAGAGGAAGGGATGATGATAAAACATGCATGGAATGCATTGCACCTTGGGCATAAAGCTTTCGACATGGGAAGCAATGGTGTCCATGAATTTCTTGGATGAACTCAGAGCCTCCCCTACCTCTCTAACATCAGCCTGTAAAGAGTACAACTCAATGTGCATTAAGTTCATTGAGAAAGCAGATATACCAACTTATATCAGATGAGTGAGATTAATACTATACCTTAACATTCCCACTGATTGGTAGTTGAATGGAGGCATTTAACAAAGCTTGGGTCACTTCAGACAAAGATGCTAAATAATCACCCTCACAAGCAGACCACTCGTCGAGATATGGCATCTAGATGCAAGAACAGTAAAGCAAAATATACATAAATACATGAAGAAGAAGTGATTTTACGACAAAATTAATCAAGCGTTCAGCACAGCTGAACATTAGTTTATATACAACCGGCAATTTATAGTGAATTGACCAACTACAATTTATAAAAAAAATTTATGATTAGTATTACACAAAGCTCGTAGCCATACTTGAGATTCGAGAACTGCCGATACTGCTTTTGCTCTTTGCACTATACCAAGTTCTGCACGTTTCGTCATCACAGAATTGTACAAATCACCTAGCTTGACATTGAGGGAAAACAGCATTTTCTGCAAGGAAATTGAAAGACGATAAAGAGCTAGAACATTTTTAAATCATAAAAAATGCAGCACTGAGAGAATGGCAGGAATTGCCTTAAAGCTAAACCAATGTCAAACGACTACAGATTGGCCATCAACATATTACCACCAAGCTTCATCTGTGCCACAAACTTCTTTACATGCATGGTGTTCGGTGAGTTAAAAGGGTTCCTTGCCATACAGTAGATACTAAAACTCACCACACTACATCCATAAAAAATTGTAGCCTACACTACATCCATAAAAAATTGTAGCCTTTCTTCTCATTGATGATGAACTAGAACATTTTTAAATCATAAAAAATGCAGCACAGAGCGAAGGGCAGGAATTGCCTTAAAGTTAAACCAATGTCAAACGACTACAGATTGGCCATCAACATATTACCACCAGGCTTCATCTGTGCCGCAAACTTCTTTACATGCATGGTGTTGGGTGAGTTAAAAGGGTTCCTTGCCATACAGTAGATACTAAAACTCACCACACTACATCCATAAAAAAATTGTAGCCTTTCTTCTCATTGATGCAATTAATTTCTTCTCAAGAGCGTTTTAAGCAAAACATCTAATCAAACCATTCAATTTGAAACTGCCCACATTTCTTCTTTTCTTTTTTTGGGCCAAAGGAACTTCCCAATGTCAAAAGCACCAAAGTAATGAGGAAAGAAAGAGGGGAAAGGAAGAGTGAACATTTCGATATAAAATAACATGTAACAATTATTGTCTTTCCCAGAAAATTTTCAACTAGGATGAAGTATTGAATGCTCCTAATTTAGCAAAACTCCTCAAAAGTAGCCAGTGATTGAAAATGGCTACTTTCACAATTTCATAAGTAGGATTCATCTGACATAGGGCAATAGTGGAAGAGGATCCTTTCCACACCTTCACGTGATGGTATTTCACAGACATATGAGGTTTATATACATGACTTAATGCGCCATATTAGCAAGTCATTCCACTTTATGGCTTCTTTCAAGTAGCTCACTCTGCTCTTAAGATTATTTGAAATTAAAGTCACTTCTTCCATATCATTGAAGTCTTCATGAGTCAAGCCTAGTCAACACATTATAATCATTAGGAGTTTCCCCCTTTTTGTAACATCAAGTCAATCCTATTGTGGATGTCTACTCTCTGAAGTTCGACCACCAATGCAGACCATTGCTCCAAAGAGGCTGACATTTGAAGGTATTAAAGTTTCATTGTGTAAATGTCCTAAAAAGATAGACTTTAATAATTAACACAACGTTAACAAAGATTTTGGAGTTCTTGCAACTCAAGTTTTGAACTACAACCTCTCTTATATTCCCTTTTGAAGTCTGAATTCTCCAAACTCTTTATTTCCTTCACTCTAAGAAGGATGCATACAGAGCTTTCGTGCACAACTCGTCATCCAAATTCAATGTTGACCATTTAATTTACATCGCATATACTCATACCAGCAATTCTCTCACCATCAAATCAAACTTCAAGATCATTCCTCCCGATCTCTCACAGTGTCTACTCAAAACAGGACCACTGTCTAGTCTAGCACAACTAATGACAGGTAGCCAAGGATGGCATCGGTAACGAAAGTGATAACGATAAATTGCTATATGTTCATTCAAAAGATAGATTTAAGTGTAGACACGACAAACCTCGGCTTCCCTTTTCTGAGCCTGCATAGTGGCCTCTGCCTTTGCATTGGCAAACCTCCACTGGAGATAATGGTTGTGGAGCAATTTTAGAGAATGCACGTCTTCTTGATGGCTAGAAACTTTCCTTCCCTTCTTTGCATCCATCACCGTCTTTGGGCACGGCGCAACCGGAGGTAAACAAACTTTTCCACCGTTCATCAGCATCATATGCTGCTTCGAGGACCCATATGCTAATTTTTCGCTGCCTCTGACGGAATTTAACATGTCGCAGCTCGATAAAGGCGTGCTAAGCGAACGCGAGAGTGGGGTAGCAGGGATCTTCGAAGAATCGGAACCACCAAGATTACCCATCCTATTCACATTTCTCTCTGCCAACAACCGGTTGGACACTGAGGGCAACATATCTGCGTCGGGCATTGAAGACCGCAGTAATTGCGTGGAGTTCTCACCGTGACAATTGCCAACTGAACTGGCTTCGGCGTTTGAATTCTCGTCAACCGCCGCTTTCGAACCAGAAGCATGACCGCCGGTAAGTGACATCCCACTCGAATGCAACAATTTTGCAGCTGCCGAAGCTCCAGCACTGACCGCTCGCGGGAGATTCCGCGGCGTCTGTCTAAATCTCGACGACACTATCCTATCCATGCCAGTGCTCACGATTGGAGTGTCGGACCTCGAAGCTCGGCTCGGAACTTTGGACCCTTTACCCTGCGGTCCGGCTCCGAGCAACGGCGTGTCCAAGCTCCTACTAAGTTCCGCCCTACTACTTTCATCGGCCTGAGACGAAGGCTCCAGGTCCAGTCGCCGCCGCCGATGCGCAGACACCGACCGCTGCTGCTGCTGCTGCGGCTGCCGAGGGTCGGCCGCGTGCCTCACGACCGGCGACCTGGAGCCAGGGAGGTGGAGATCGCCAGGGGAAGGCGAGGAGGAAGAGACCACCGGAGACATGAACCTCGAGCGGACCTCCCGCACCCGCGGGCGGCGCTGCGTCGTCGTCGTCGGCGGCGGCGGCGGAGGAGGAGCTGCCCCCACCGTCTCCTGCTGCTGCTGCTGCTGCTGCTGCGTCGGTGGATCGATTTCCGCCATTGATCCACGATCGTGCGAATTCAGGGGTGGGCCGTTGACCTCGTCGTCGCGGGTCTTCTTCGGACCTGAAAGCAGCGATGATGGTGGTGACGATGATGATGACGAAGAAGAAGAGAGAGTTCGAAGGACAGAGATGGAGACAAAGAGAGATGTGGTGGAAAACTAGCCGTTGTGGGGCTGGGGGCTCAGGAAAAAGCTGCAACGGTCTCATTTTTTCGAAAAGCGGGTTAATAATGATAATGCTGCTTGCCTTGGATTGGGGGGTGGAACTGAATTTGCTAATAAATTTACTTGCCATTTTTTCAGTTTTCTTTGCCATAAAATAGAACTGGTGATGAATGCTTGGATAATAATGTACATACCAAGATTAATTTCATAGATTATTTGTAAAGCGGTTCGATTGTAATTTTTCGGAACCTCGAATATTTCTTTTGTTTTGTTTTATTATCTTGTCGATTGTCACGTAAATTGTATATTAAGTTGGTACCGTATTCCTTGTATCGATGATGACTGATAATCATTTTATTATTAAACGGTGATTTTAGTTTTCTATTTATACTAGTGTGTTGTCTATGCATTGCCACGGTAGTGCCGGTTATTATTGTGATATAAGCTTATTTTCTGAAGCGAATATGTGGAATGCTTGGGGAAACATTTAGCATCTACTATTATTGTAGGTAATTGACATATCGAGTAGACCTAATCGATATGTGAGCCGAGCTTAGTAGCGAGCCTAAATTCCTCGTCCATGTTGCCCGTGATGATTAAAAAAAAATCCTATAAAAATTTTGATCGAGCTTTGGCGCGGGTTTTAGCAGGCCGATCTCGAGAAGGTAATTAATTGCGTAGGCCGACCCACTTTTTCCTTTGAGCCAATTTGGGGCATTTTCGGATCCATAATCATCTTAATCTCAAGAGACATTATCTTACTTAATGTGTAATTAATTGTTTCGTCTTTAAAAAAATAAAAAAAAAATCATCATAGGAAATATCACACACCATAAACTCCACCCAATCACATGTTGAAGATTCTAATCATCCAATGACATCTGAGTCTTCAGACATCAAATGTCTGACTTTTCATTAATTATATTAATCATGTAAAAAACTAACTCCCCAATGGCAATTTTGACATTACATTTTCTACAAGACCAAGAAATGAGTTAGGCAATTTCAAAATAACAAATTCGCATGAGCTAAAATTGATCCCGAGATTGGATTTTTCTTCTGTGCATATAGTCTCCACCGTTGGATTCTGATAAATGTGCTCCACCACTGCACCAGTTTCAACCGAAAGTTGTCGAAGGAACATTCAAAAGAAACACAGCCTACCATAGAGTCATCATTTGCCATCACAGATGAATCCTATCACAGCAAAATGCTCATCAATAGTATGTCCCTTGCATGGTCTGAAAACCATAAAAGTGACGATGAAATTTGCATCTGAGGCTTTACTTGACTGCCCAGAATTGTGGTGTGTAATGAAAGAAGTGAATGTTGGATAGGGAAAAGAACATTGCATACTGGGAAGACTTGGCCAAAAAGCCTTGCATAGATTCCAAGAGAGAGCTTCACAGTTCACAAGCCCATGAATCAAGGAATCTTATCATGGACTGTGAAAAGATAACACCGCTCACTTTGAATGCATCAGCGCAGATAAGTCACTGCTGATGTCGATGAAAATTGAAGTTTCTGTTCGCGTGCCCGTGTTCAAGTTCTGACCTTTTTTTTCCTCCGTAATTTTCATTCATGATCAGACGGACTTGAGGTTCCAAAGCCATGTGGTCCTCGCTCTCCAGGAAGCTGCAGAGGCCGAAACCAATTTCCAATCTATCTGCTGCCAAAAATAAAAAACCCGAAATCAGACCCGGCCCGACCCGACCCGACCTGACCCGGCCTTTGGTGTATATGTTGAACAGGGTCTTGGGCCGGGTTGGGGCGGGTCAAGCGCAACCCTGTTGGTTTCGATTAGGCCTCCACTCCCAAAGGTTGAAGAGGCTGGATGATCTTATATTGAAAGGCTCACAGATCAAACATTTCAATGCACATTTTAGGCTCGGCGCCGCCTGATCACTAGGTGGGTTTCGGCGGGCTCAGGACGGACCTAGCTGTGGCGTAACAAGCAGTGGCCCCGTCCAGGCCCCAGTTTAGGACCTACTGTTGGGGTCAAGCCCACCCATAAGATGACAAACAAAGATTGGAAAACCCTAAACCCCTCGCTCCCCCTCTCTCCCCGACTCTCCTCAATGCCAATACTCAAATTCCCGGCAAACATGCCCAGGTACTTGACTCCGACGCACAAGTTAGGGCCTGGGTTCACAGAGGCCGGGCTTGGGTCTCTCACGGTCGGGTGACCCCAATGCCCATGCCCAAGTTGCTGCCCAAAAAACAAAAGAGTACAACTTGCAACTATAAGCACGTTTTTATTCCCAAAGACCAGATCTGTCAAGCATCAAAATACAATCGGTGATGGGGAACTTGTCAAAAAGGTTATCAAAGAGGTTCAAAAGCAATTGCGCAAGGTTGAGAACGATGGCGGAGTTCCTTAGGCTACAGCTAATTTTCAAGGGAAGTCTCTACCTCATTCCGTCATCCACGTGAGCTGCCATTAGGATTTTTAACAATGTTTACGAAAGGTAAATGTATCACACAAATATAAGTTAGGAGCTTTTCAAGACACAAAAAGAAGTCAGAGGAGATGTCACCAAGGGAGTGTGCATGGAATGCGTGAAAAATGCTAGTGTCAGTATCAAAGAGAAATGTCCTATGGTCAAAGAATCCATCCTCTGGTTCGATCACTGCATGTTTGCATGTTGTTGTGCGATTCATTTTTTTTCCTATATATTTTTTTGTTGACCAAAATTTGACCGTTGATAATTTTTCCGTCCATTATTCAATTCACTCGATTATTTTAGCAACGGAAAGCCCGTGATTCAATCTCTAAGCCCGTGATTCAATCTCTTTAAAATGAGATTAAAATTTTTATGGGAGTGATGAAAGTTAGTAACCTTTAGCCACATGTTCATATTTATGTAAAAGTTTAAATATGTATTTAATAGGAATTGTGTGAAAATAATATGATGTAGTTAATAAGAATTATGTGAAAATTTAAATATAATACACGGAAGATATCCCATCTTATAAAATGAGGGAGTTGTTCCGTCCACTTTCGCTTTACATAATATCACCATCCCCACTTTATACCGTCGGCTCTAATTCTAAAGTCTATGACCTAATCAAGGTCTTTTTTCTTAACCAATTTTCCACCTTTTTCATTTACAGATTTTTTTTATTTTTTATTTTTATATATTTATTATCTTTTTTGTTCTATTCCCCTCAATTTCCTTAACACACAAGCTCGTTGTTCAATTCACTCGATTATTTTATCAACGGAAAGCTCGCGTTTCAAATGAAATGAGATTAAGGTTTTGATGGTAATGATGAAAGTCAGTGCGACATGTTTGGATTTAAGTGCGACATGTTTGGATTTATGTGAGAATTTAAAGATGTAGTTAATGGGAATTATGTGAAAATAATAAGATATAGTCAATAAAATTATGTGAAAATTTAAATATAAACCTGGTTTTCCCATGTAGGAATATGTCAATGCACATAGAAGGTGGCGGAACAAGTTTAAGGGTAGAGATCTCACCTTAATTCAGAGCTGGTGTCGGGAATGACAAGGTAAGAGCAAGGACGAGGACCTGAGATAGACGAAATGAGAGAGAGATTCGTAAAAAAAAAAGGAATATGAGGGAGAGACCACCCTTACCGAGGGAGACCCACTGAAGAGATGTCCAACCAACGGCCTTATGAAGAATCGGGCGAAAGAGAAAAAAAATGATGGCGCTAATGATAGAGCCGAGGGAGTTGGAGTCAGAGAGGGAGAATATGTTAAATAAACTAAATTAAAAAAAGAAGAAAAGAAATAATAGATAAATTGAAGAAATAAAAAAAATTAGAAGGTGATGATTGGTCGATTATGGGCATGCGCACAATCTCGACCGGTTTTACTCATAAGGCAATCATGATCCAGTTGAAATGATTCAGGAAAGAGCCTAAATTTAGAAGCTTGGCAAGCAACAACATTCTCACTTATTATGTGGACATACCAAGGGAAAAGCATAATAACAAAGAAGTTAATGTAGCAAGAAGTTTAGACAATGCTTATTATGAAGGTAAATCAGTGAAATGGAAGCTAAATTAACCAGCTCGCACGTCACGCTTGTTCTCGGTTGTTAAGCTCAAGAAAACATAGTTTCGCGGGCTAGAAAAGTAGATGAGAAAGAGATAAAATGAGAGAGATTCGTAAAAAAAAAAAAAGGAATGTCAGGGAGAAACGGCCCTTATCGGAGGGAGACCCACTAAAGAGATGACCGAGCGACGGCCTTATGGAGAATTGGGTGAAAGAGGGAGAAAAAGAACATGATGGAGCTAATAAGAGAGTGCGAGTCGGAGTTGGAGTTGAAGAGAGAGGTGGAGAGCAGCTGAAAATGATTTTTAAGTACTGCAACGAATACTGTTCTTAAATAAACTAAATAAAAAAAGAATAGATAAATTGAAAAAATAAAAATAAGGGATAAATACACTAAGGGTGAGCATGATAATCATTCTGTGCCCGAAAACTATTTCTACTCAGAAATGATTCTTTTTTATTCTGTGCTCGGAAACAATTTCTAAGCATTTGAAGGCGTTTGGTAACTGTCCAAAATTTCTACTCCTTGAATAGAAAAGAACAGAAATACGTTTGGTAACTACACAAAATTTCTTTTTATTAATAATATTTTAAATTGTTTAATATTTTTTTTCTTTCTACCCTTCCCTTCTTTGGCCATGGCCGGTCGCCGGCGCATGCGACCGGCCACAAAGCCGGGCGTCGCGGCCCTCGCGCCGCCCGGCCGCCCGCTCTCACCGCCGGCCTTGCTCGATCCGGGCGAGGACGACCTCACCGTGGGTCGCAACGGCAAGGTCGGCCTCGCCAGACGGGCGAGGCCGAGCCTCGCCGTCGCGATCGACGGCGAGGTCGGCTTTGCCGTGGGTCGCAACGGCAAGGCTCGGCCTCGCCCGATCTCGGGCGAGGCCGACCTCGCCATGGGTCGCGACGGCGAGGTCGGCCTCGCCCGCATGGGGCGAGGCCAAGCCTCACCGTCGCGACCCACCGGCGGCCGACCTCGCCGGGCCGTGGACGGCGAGGCTCGGCCTCGCACGATCCGGGCGAGGCCGACCTTGCCATGGGTCGCGACGGCGAGGTCGGCTCGCCTCAGACGGGCGAGGCCGAGCCTCGCCGTCGAGACCCACGGCGAAGCCGACCTCGCCGTCAGTCAAGACGGCGAGGCTCGGCCTCGCTCGATCTGGGCGAGGCCGACCTCGCCATGATCGACGGCGAGCAACCTCGCCCAGGGGGCGAGGGTCCAGCCCTCACCCTCGCCTCCGCCGGCGAGGGCCGTGACGCCCTCGTCGGCCCTAGGCTATGGCCGGTCGCCGGCGGCCAACACAAAGAAGAAAAGAAAAAAAAAAAAAAAGAAGAAAAGTAACTCATTCTCAAAATTAGGCCGAGAAACAAGAAGCAATTTTTTTTTACTTTTTGTTTCTCTTCCAAAACTGTTTCTGGGCACAAATTTTTGCAAAAATGTGCCCGGGAACAAAAAGTTTACCAAACGCATTTCTGTTCCCAAACTATTTCTGGGAACAAAAGAATAGAAATTTTCACTGTTTGGCACGTTACCAAACGGGCCCTAAAAGTCCTAAAACTTGTTACAAAATTGCAATAAAGTCTTAAAACTTTCAAAAAGTGCAATTAAGTCATAAGATTTTTTCAAGAAAGCATAATCGAGTCCTAAAACTTTTTAAAATTGCAATCAAGTCTTAAAACTTATCACAAAAATGCAATCGAGCTTTAAAACTTTCTAAAAGTTTAATCAACGAAAATACTTGATTTGATCAATTTGATAAGTTTTAGGATTTGATTGCATTTTTTGAAAATTTTAAAACTTAATTACACTTTTTGAAAGTTTAAGATTCAATTGCAATTGCATGACAAGTTTTGGTACTTTTGATGCACTTATCCATACAAACAATTAAAAAATGGTGATTGGTCGGTTATGGGCATGGGTTAGAAGCTTGGCAAGCAATAGCATTCCTACTTATTTTATGGGCATCCAAAAGGAAAATGCATAATGACAAAGAACTTAATGCAGCTAGAAGTTTAAATAATGCTCATTATAAAGGTAAATTTGTGATATGAGACCAGGAATTAGAATTCCTTCAAATTAACCACCGTGCAAGTCAAGTTTGTCCCCGGTTGTTAAGCTTAAGAATACATGGTAGTTCTGAGGTTAGACGATGAGCTGACATAAATGAAAAGAAAAAGAGATTTGTCAAAAAAATAGGGAATGTGGAGGAGAGACAGCCCTTATCGGAGGGAGACCCACTGAAGAGATGATCGAGCGACGGCCTTATAGAGAATCGGGTGAAAGAGGGAGAAAAAGAACATGATGGTGCTAATGAGAGAGCGGGAGTCGAAGTCGAAGACGAGAGCAAGACTAGTTAGAGATGTGAGGGAGAGCAATTGAAAATGTTTTGACTTAATTGTTGTGACGAATCGTGTTCTCTATTGAACATGAATTAAAAAAAAAAAACATTTCCACTCGTTTTATAGGCATCCAAGAGGAATTAAGATTTAAGGCATAATGGTGCAGCTGCAAGTTTAGACAATGCTTATTATTATGAAAACTAGTTACATAACAATCAAGTGATCAACACAGGAGTGACACGACAAAGAAAACTAATTACACAATAAAATCCTTTTGTTAAATTTGGATAATAAGGTCCATATACAATTTATTTTATTTAGTGAGGCGTGCACTAATTATAATTAGATATTTAACTAAGTGGACTTGTACGATATCTAAGGAGAGCCTGTCCCATCTCCTAGGTCGGGAATTGAGGAGCTGAACTCACGCTTCCACGATCCAATCCCGGGAAAATTACCAAAAAAGTTCTAAATCTTTTATAATTGTGCCAATTCAGTCCTAAACTTTTTTTTTTCCAATTCAATCCTAAACCTTTTGCAAACCAGCCAATTCAGTCCTTTTGGCCGGTTGGCTGACGTGGCCGCCGGCCGGCGTCCACGTGGCAATATTTTAATATTTTTTTTTTTATTTTCGAATATTTTTTCCTTTTTTCTTTTTTTTTTCTTTTCCTTCTCCCCCTGACCTGCCCGGCCAGGGGGGAGGCTCGCCGGCGAGGGCCCAGCTCCGGCAAGGCGAGCTGGGCCCTCGCTGCCGCTGGGCGAGGGCCCAGCACGCCATGGCTGGGTGAGCTCCGCCCTCGCCCAGATCTGGCGAGGCGGAGCTCGCCCTTTCGCCCTCGCCGCCGCTAAGCGAGCCTCGCCCAGCTCCGCCCTCGCCCAGCCATGGCGAGCTCGCCCAGCTCCGGCGAGGGCCCAGCTCGCCTCGCCGGAGCTGGGTCCTCGCCGGCGAGCCTCCCCCCTGGCCGGACAGGCCAGGGGGGAGAAGGAAAAGAAAAAAAAAAGAAAAAAGGAAAAAAAATTCGAAAATAATAAAAAAAATATTAAAATATTACCACGTGGACGCCAGCCGGCGCCACGTCAGCCGGCCAGCCAAAAGGACTGAATTGGCTAGTTTGCAAAAGGTTTAGGACTGAATTGACAAAAAAAAAGGTTTAGGACTGAATTGGCACAATTGCAAAAGGTTTAGGACTTTTTTTGTAATTTTCCCTCCAATCCCACGTGTTGTGCAGGATAGGATTATTAATATGCCCTTGACTTCGATGAAGCAAGACGGATTTCCCTTAATTAAACACAAATTACTAATTAACCTAAACAATTTTATATAAATCTATTTTACTAGAGTAAATCAATCGTATATTAGTCATGGATAGGATCCACCTCTTTTTTTTTTCCGGAATCCACTTCATTAACATCATATGCTTCGCAATTGTGATTGACTTTATCCATAAAGTGAATGTTAAAAATAACTACACTATTTGTTTTCTATTACTCGTTCAAGAATAATTCGAATAATCATCTTTTTTTTTCCTTACTTCCTTATAAGCTAAATTAGGTTACCACATTTATAAGCTAAATATTAATGGGAACCTGTTCATTTTTATTGTATGCACTTACGGTTGCAAATGCCTAAGCTTCTAGAAATTAAATTCACAGAAAATTCTTAAATCCGGAATTTTTAAACTCTATGGAAGAACAACAAGATGGATCCCATGCTCCTCACTTTCAAATTGTTTTCGAGCAGATCAGATTAACCATGTTATACTCATCAATTAAGAGAACACTATGTTAGTCAGTATAGTTTCAACTAAACTAGACAATCCCAACACTATACAACTCTTGCTTAATTACTTAAGATCTTGCCCTTCCTTAAGCAGCTACCTTGCCAAATGAAGAACATTTATGTTACTGCAGGGGCAATAACCATTAGCGAATCAATTATGACTATAAGATATAAAACTCATGACAAAGCATACAGCCAAAAATCAGTATTATTGTGCCGAAGTATATACAATACTTGCAGAAATAATGAAAGAATCAAGGTGAACTTGCATCTTTTCCCTGGCTTTTCTGTGGAGGAAACTGAATGTGTCTCAATATATTGAATGTTTACTCTTCTGTGCGACTTCCTTCACCAAGCGAAGACAAGCAATCATCATGGCACCTAATTCCCAGTGCCGTGAATGTATCAGATGCTGCTGTTAAGCCTTATCCTTCAAGAAATTGACTGACGTTATCAGTGAAATTGAATAATCTGGCCTCTCAAGCTACACTCCACCTGAAAATCACAGGACAAACTCCTTCAGATGACTTAGGTATAAGCAGGGAAAAGTGTTAGCAGAATGCATCAGCACAATTTGATACAAGAAAGAGTAGCTCCTACTATCTACATTACCACTTGATCATATGTGAGAACTGAATCATCTTAAGCAGATTCAATTAGGCTAACCTGGGACAAGTATCTATTGGACAACAAATCACCACTTTCTTCAATAACAACTCTTTCTCTACTGACCACTCTGGCTAGTTCAGAAATGAAAACTTCCAATTGTTCAGCCTGCATCAAGCAAGTTTCTAACATTTGAGAAAGGCAAGAGGAAGGGATGATGATACAACATGCATGGATTGCATTGCACCTTGGGCATGAAGCTTTCGACATGCAAAGCAATGGCGTCCATGATCTTCATGGATGAATTCAGAGTCTTCCCTGCCTCTCTAACATCAGACATCAAAAACTGCTGCTTCAAGAATGAAGCCATAATGTAGATACTAAAACTGGCCACACCAAGTCCATAAAAAATTGTTGCTTCAAGAATGAATCCTTTCTTCTCATTGACGCAATTATTTCTTTCATCACTCAATAGCGTTTAAGCAAAACATCTAGTCAAACCTGTCAATTTGAAACCGCCCACCTTTTTTATTTTCTTTTTTGGGCTGAAGAAACTGCCCAATGTCAAAAGCACCAAAGTGATGAGGAAAGAAAGAGGCGAAGGAAGAGTGTACACTTCAATATAAAAGAACATGTAAAAAGCCTTGTCTTTTCCAGAGAATTTTCATCTAGGATGCAGTATTGAATGCTCCTAATTTAGCTAAACTCCTCAAAAGTAGCCAGTACTTGAAAATGGCTACTTTCACAATTTCATAAGTTAAGGATTCATCTGACATAGGGCAATAGTGAAAGAGGATCTGTTCCACGTCTTCACATGATGCTATTTCACAGACATATGAAGTTTATTTACAAAACATATTGGGCTATATCTGGAAGTCAATTTATGGCTACTTTCAAGCAGGTCACTCTACTCTTAAGATTATTTGAAACTAAAGTCATTTCATCCATATGTTGCATTGCATGCCGCATCATCCTTGTCTTATTATCGTAATGTTGGTTGCAACAAAAGTTCACTGATTTTCATCTGTTGCGATGCATACTGAAAGTGAAAGTTGAAAAGTTCTCCGAAAGTCTGACATAATTTTCTGATGCAGCTACTTTATCTTGGAATTGACATTGAAGTCTTCATGAGTCAAGCCTAGTCAACATAATCCAATCATTAGGAGTTTCCCCGTTTTGTTAAAATCAAGTCAATCCTGCTGTGGATGTCTACTCTCTGAAGTCTAAATACTTATGCAGACCATTGCTCCATAAAGGCTGACAATTGAAGGTGTTAGAATTCCATTGTGTAAATGTCCTAAAAAGATGGGTTTTAATAGTTAACACATCATCGATAAAAAATTTGGAGTTCATGCAACTCAAAGTTTGAACTACACCCTCTCTTATATTCCCTTTCGAAGTCTGATTCTCCAAACTCTGTTCTTTTCACTCTAAGAAGGATACATACAAAGCTTCCATGCACAACTCTTCATCTAAATTCAGTTTTGACCATTCGATTTATATCTTTTATACTCATACCAGCAATTCTCTCACCATCACATCAAACTTCAAGCTCATTCGTGATCTCTCACAGTGTCTACTCAAAACAGGACCACAGTCTAGTCCAGAACAACTAATGACCAGGTAGCCAAGGATGGCATCGGTAACAAAAGCGATAACAAAAATTGCTATATGTTCATTCAAATGATAGATCTAAGCATAAACATGACAAACCTCAGCTTCCCTTTTCTGAGCTTGCATAGTGGCCTCTGCTTTTGCATTGGCAAACCTCCCTGGAGATAGTGGTTATTGAGCATCTTTAGAGAATGTACACTCTTCTTGATGGCCAGAAACTTTCCTTCCCTTCTTTGCATCCATCACCGTCTTTGTGCACGGCGCTACTGGAGGTAAACAAACTTTTACACCATCCATCGGCATCATATGCTGCTTTGATGACCCGCGTGCTAATTTTTCACCGCCTTTCATGGAATTCAACACGTCGTAACTTGATAAGGTGAACTAAGAGAACGCTAGAATGGGGAGGCAGGGATCTTAGAAGAATTGGAACCGCTAAGATTACCAGTCCTATTCACATTGCTCTCCACTAACAACCAGTTGGACACTGAGGGCAACATATCTGCCTCAGGCATGGAAGACCGCAATAATTGTGCAGAGTTCTCACAATTACAATCACCAACGGTACCGGCTTCTGCATTTGAAATCTCGTCAAACACCGTTGTCAAATCAGAAGCATGACCACCAGTAAGTGACATCCCACTTGAAATCAACAATTTTGCAGCTGCAGAAGCACCAGCACTGATCACTTGCGGAAGATTCTGCGGTGTCTGTCTAAATCTCGACGACACGATTCTATCCATACTAGTGCTCATGATTGGAGTGTTGGACCTCGAAGCTCGGCTCGGAACTTTGGACCCCTTTACTCTGTGGTCCAGCACCAAGCAATGGTGTGTCCAAGTTCCTAGTAAGTTCCGAACTACTTTCATCAGCATGAGACGAAGGCTCGAGGTCCAGTCGCCGCCGCCTGTGCACAGAGACCGATCGCTGCTGCTGCTGCTGTTTCCGAGAGCCCGGAATATAAAGATAGGGAAGAACAAACCCTAATTCAGGAATACGATGAAGCCCTGAATCGCATCGAATCAAAACGAATCAACTGTCATAAGGCACACAGCCAACTCTTGGCATGTAACATTCAAAAGAACATAGCCTACTATAAAGTCATCATTTACCATGACAGATGAATAACAACCAAAAAGCTCCTATCAAAGCAAACATGCCAGTAATGAAATGTTCCTGCATGGTCTGAAAACCATAAACGTGATGATGAAATTTGACCATGCTGAGCAGTGAGCAGCTGAAGGTTTACTTGACTGACGCACAATTGTGGCGTGTAATGAAAGAAGTGAATGTTGGATAGGGAAAAGAAAATTGTATCCTGGAAGACTCAGCCAAAAAGCCTACAAAATTCCTAGAGAGGTACATAGTTCACAAACCCATGAATCAAGGAATCTTATCATGGACTATAAAACAGTATGGAAACATCAAAGAAGCATACACACATGAAAGAACACCCAGTGTGGACTCATTAAGAATATGCTCAGGTGAAACTCTCCAATATATTGCAGTAAATTTGACTCTTGTGCTACCCATTTGCCAAAAAAAGGGACTAGTTCAGGTTCCACATGTTCCATTTGAACTCCCAGATTGAACCCCCAATTAGAGAGCTTCATCACCAGTTGAAACAATCTATCTAATGCTTTTGAGACAGCAGTTCAAGAAGGTTACCGCATAATGAGGCAGTAACTCATAATTCATATTGTTTCAACGGTCAGGTCAAGCACATCTTCAGCCATCAAGAACATCTTTTGTCAATACTTTCTTCACCAGCAGCGTACCAAAAGCATTTCCCACAATAATCGCTCAATAGCACCATAGTACCCAGAAGTTTACATCCAACTTCTGCCTTACTGATAACTTCTTAAGCAACAAGATCAACTTCATCACTGTCAGGACGGACGACATCCACCCTCATCATACTTCGATAGCAATCGGGTATTGGGGCACCAGCCTGCACACAAAGCTCTACCACAGCAGGAGCTTTGCCATAGTACCTCTTCAAGTTGTTATTCAAAGCTGGCCCGTTTAAATTCCGGACATGCCAGACATAATTAGGGCCAACAATATCATCTATTGTTGCTTCCTGCCAGGCATGCAAACCATTGCGAGATTGGTGCTTTGATGACTTGCACATTCTGACTTTATGGCCCTTGGGACCCACCTGAACCTCAGGACAGTACCCGCAGGTCCACACAGTATAACTTTCCATTATTTTTTTCACTCCTTCCATCATTTCAAACCACGACTCCAGTGTCCACATACTCAATTGCTTTATGTTTTTGACTTCATCAGTTGAACTACTCCAAAGGTCAAATTTACTTTCTTCAATAGGGCTGGTTCTCGATGGAACTATATCCCTTCCCAATTCATCCCTCTCAATTACTGATTCAGCAACCATGTCGATGTCTATTTTGTGTGTTTCACTTATGGACTCAAAATCTACAATTCTTCCCTCGATACAATACACAGGTTTTGTTCTTCTCTTTGAGGGAAATTTTTCAAGGTCTACGCCAGCTTGTATACAAAGCTCTACAACAGCAGGGATTCGTGGGACACTGTGCCTCTCGTCGTGCCCAACTCTCGGTTTCCCAACACGATCATAGAGATGGAAACACTTGGGGAAAAATATGACATCTTGAACGCCCCCCTTTCTCCATACATGAGTAGCGCTACGAAGACCACTATTTGGACCAGTGCATGTGCGGATCTCGTGGCCATAATGACCAATATGAACTTCAAAACAGAACCTAACAAGCAATGAATCCATTAGTATTAATAATTGTTCAAGCAGGACTTCCTTAAAAATAAGAGACAAGCAAATAAGAAAATGCTAAAAGACTCATCAGTTTTATAGTCATGTTTATTAGTCTGTTACATCAGAATCTCCCTCCCTCCCTCTCTCTCTCTGTATTTTCCCCCAATCAAAGAGTGAATAAGGTAGGTCTCTCCTCCCCTTTTTCCGTTGAAGAAATTATTGGATCCTCATATTGTTCCCATGTAGAACTACATTACAGATATCAGCACAAAATTGCTGAAGTATCACAGCTTGGTGGCGTTTAACCCATCGAGATCTTAGTTATCTCTGAATTCATTATCTAATAAAGGTGACATTCAACTAAAAATAAGCAAGAAATAATCCAAGCAATACTACATTTGAAAACGAAACAAAAACAAAAGAATTAATAAGGGGTACAAGAAAGAGAGCAAGTATGAAGACAATAAATTTTCCCCCTCCATTTTCAAGAGTAGCTCCGTCAGGTAACATGTAACTAGCAAGAAAAACCTAACAGACTCTCAGTATCCCAAAGTAACGCTACACAGGCAAATTCATCGATTACAGGAAGATGCTTCAATATCTAATAAATTTAAGCCTATCAAAAAGTAAGAAACACGAGCCAAGACAAAAAGCATTAGAAATTAACCCAATACCTACAACGCTGCACCGGAACAACCTTGACGAGTTCCGATAAACCCTTGAGTAGGGACTCTCGAGCGTGATAGACATGGCGAGCCACCTCGACGAGCACGGGAACGAGCAATCCGTTCTCTGGCGGGTACTCGAGCATGCGACAAGGCTGCAGCTTTCGAGCTTCTCTCTCTTCCTTCGCCATCCGAATCAGCTCTTTCATGGGGGTCACAAAAGGCTTCCTCTCGGTTTTCCGCCTCGGAGGCCTCGGCACGTCCGAATACAACTCATCATCACCATCCACTCCTACACTCAATGCTCCAGAAGAAGAAGAAGAACAAGCAAAAGGGTAGCTTCCAATGAGGCGGCAATTAAGCCTTTCCATGTGAAAAATCTGCAATCTTATCCTTCTCAGCATAGTTGGCTACGCTTCGGAGAGATACAGATGCTAGGACACATGAAGCAATGCTTCAATGTCAGAGGGCTTTGAAGATTGCACTCAAACTATAAACATTACAGTCGGAATTGTAAAAAATTGGAAAAGCCAAAAGCACATGCCAATACAGTCCGAATTTCAACCGACCCAGATACAGATGAGGGATGAGAGATCGAGGGAAACTAGAAAAATCGCATCTTTAGGACATAAAAAGTGATGGTGTGTTCTCCTCCAGGTACCTTGGTGGTGCCGGGGGCGGTCACCGGCCGCCGGTGGAGGAGACAGAGGCGAGAGAAGGAGGAGCCGACGTTCGAGAGGAGGGCCACCGGGGGAGTTCTACATGTCCCCGGGGGATTAATCCTTAAATAGGAAAATGACACAAACAGTCTTGAACTTTGACTCGTTATGTAATTTAATCCTGAACTTTTAATTTGTTCAATATAGTCCCTGAACTTTTACCCGATATTCAATACGGTCTCTAAACTTTCAATTTGTTCAATGTGATCCCTGAACTTTTGGTACATATTCAATATAGTCCCCGAACTTTATAAAATGTTCAATGTAGTCCTTCTATTAATTCAAGTTCAGGGATTATATTATACATTTTCATATAATTGAGGAACTAAATTGAATATTTACTAAAAGTTCAAGGATCAAGTTGAATAAATTAAAAGTTCAGGGACTACATTGAACAAATGAAAAGTTCATGGATCAAATTACACATTGAGCTAAAGTTCATGGACTGTTTGTGTCATTATCCCATCCTTCAATTTTTTGTGACCGGCAACAGCCGGTTGTCTTTGGCTTTAATTCTTTTTGGTTTTTTCTTTTTTGTTTTTGCCTTCCCTGGACGCTTATTTATTTTTCTTTTATTTTGTATTTGCCGCTTTGGCTTGGACTCTTGAAAAAGAAATAGGTAGAAAGTTTTAGAACAGAAATTTTAACTCAATTACCACCAAAAACCTCAAACTATGCCACTTATGATAAATTTTCCCTGAATTTTTTTTGTGACACGAAAAATCTCAAACTATGTCACTTGTGACACATTTACACACAATATTTTGACCCATGGGCATTTTCGTCTTTTTCTTTTTTCTATTTTTTCTCCTTTTTTTTTTTCTTTTCTTCTCTCTTCCCTCTGCCGGCCATGGCGGAGGAAAGCCGGCGAGGGCGACCCTCACCGGGGCTAGGGTTGGGCGAGGGCTGCCCTCACCCAACCCTAGCGCCGATGGAGGGAAGAGAAAAGAAAAGAAAAAAAAGGAAAAAAAACAGAAAAAGGAAAAAAATGAAAATGTCCATGGACCAAAGTATTGTGGAGTAAATGGGCCCAATTCCAAAAAAAACCCTCAACTTTACACTTTTTCCCAAATATACCCTGAACTTTTTTTTGTCTCAAGAAAAATCACAAACTTTTATCTAAGTCCCAAATCTGCCCTCCCGTTAAAAATCCGTTAGGAAAAAAAAAAAAACAGAGAACCGGCAGCTGCGGCGGTGGCCAAGCCTTCGCCGGTGGCCGCCGCAACAGCCGTCGGGAAGGAGCGGCGGCCCACGCCTGGGCCTTCCCGAAGTCGCCGGCCCCCGGGCGAGCCGCCGGCGAGGGCGCGCAGCCCCCGATCTGGGGCGAAGCCGGAGTAAATGTGTCACAAGTAGCATAGTTTGGGGTTTTTCGTGTCACAAAAAAAAGTTCAGGGTAAATTTGTCACAAGTGGTATAGTTTGGGATTTTTCGTATCACAAAAAAAAGTTCAGAGTAAATTTATCATAAGTGACATAGTTTGAAATTTTTGGTAGTATTTTCCCTTATGGAAACTAAAGAAAACTTCTCAATTTCGCTCTTTTACCTCATAACACCTTATGTAGAGCCAATACATGAACTTTACCTTATTATTACCTACAATTGTAATACATAGTATAAGCATCGATTTGATGTAACTATACTTTAAAGAAAAAGAAGGAATTGAAGCATTTCTAGACCACCTTGCAGAAGTTCATGGTGCATAAGAATCTCTCTCTTGTTATGACCATTTTTTTTTTGAGTAAGACAATTGGTAAAGCCCGAATATTATATTAACATTTGCCTAACAATGTTTAAACCATATTGATTTCCTATCAATAGGGGAATTAAAGTTATTGGTGGCCTATCTAATATTCGAGTGGCATTTATATGCAAGATTGGGAAATCCAATTTGCTAACCAATATACACATGAATTTCATTCCCCCAAAGCATGAAGAATTTAAACTTGTTGGAAGTACTTTAACAATTTCTGAATTCGAAATATGAGAATATCGCAAAAACGCTGAAAGATAGTTGGTTTCTGAAACTGTTTGGGAGTCCAACCCCATAGTAATTTTGTGAATGCATAGAGAGATTGCTAGTTTGAGGCCCCACACCATCTACATGTTGGGCAAAACTAGGAAGCCAGTTGCTTGACTCATTGCGGAGAAGTCCACCTACTAAAGTTGGACCCGAGTTGCCTTTAGAAGCCTTGTCAGTGTTGAGCTTGATCCAACTAGGGGGAGAGGTTGTCCAACCCATTTACGTCTCTCTTTTATCCCTTTGAGAAGATAGTCTCCTTTTTTCCATCATTTTAAAATTGTAAGAAATTAGATATTTTGCAATGCGTGGTACCATATCATAACCAAAGCGCCATAAATTAGTTTGAAGATTATAAAAGAAAGGTCGACAAAGCGTCATAAATTAGTTTAATATGTCTTGACAAGGGCAATAGCACGTACCGTTAGTTAACCATCTTCTTAATATGTATAATCAGCATTGGGTTTTAGTTTGAATTATGACAAAAAATCAATTACAATATGTTGCAATTATAAACAACAATTGGATACTTAAACCAAAAAGACGAAGAAAAGAATCGAAAAGCTCATTTAACAACCTGTTTTCAGCCAATCCAAAGAAAAATTCGTCTGATAAAAAATGCACTGAAAACATATATATATTCCTTTTTTCCTCTAAAAGGAATCCGACAATGCAGATAAAACCGTTAATATAGTTGAGAGTGTTTCTCGTTCTCGCTCTCATGTCATGTTACTTCAACCGCTCTCTGGTTCTTCACAAGATGAGCTTCACCTCTCACTCTCACTCTCTTTCGATCACCATTGCGGCCAAGACCATCCCACCTGCTGCTGCTCCTGCGACTGACCCTGTTTCTCCGCAGTTCCCGGTGCTTCGCAAGATCGAATCTTGCAAATCCATTCGAGAGATCAAGCAGCTCCACGCCCTCGTCGTCAAATCGAGGCCCCTTCAGACCCAGCTCGTGTACAACGCCGTCATCAGAGGCGTCGCGAGTTTCGGGACCGGCCGCGGTTCCTCGTTGGAAGCAATCCTGTTGTACAGAGAGATGCTTGCGAAAGGACTGGTGCCCAATGATTATACCATCCCGTTTCTTCTAAAGGCCTGTGCGCGGGAGTTTGCTTTGAGGGAAGGCGAGGAAGTTCACGTGCACGCCATCAAGACTGGGCTGTTGGGTTCTAATGTCTACGTGAGCAATACTCTGATGAGGGTTTATGCGGTCTGTGGGGTTATTGGAGCTGCTCAGAAGCTGTTCGACGAATGTCGCCAACGGGATTTGGTCTCGTGGACGACGTTGATTCAAGGATATGTCAAGACGGGGTCGCCGAGGGAAGCTGTCGAGGTGTTTTTTAGGATGCACGAAGCAAATTTTGTAGCTGATGAGATGACGCTGGTGATTGTGCTCTCGGCATGCGCTATGTTGGGAGATTTGAGTCTAGGGAAGAGGATTTACAGGTATATGCATGAAAATGGGGTAAAGAGAGATGTTTTTGTTGGCAATGCTTTGGTGGACATGTTCCTGAAATGCGGTGCTGCGGATCTCGCTCACTGGGTTTTCGGTGAGATGCCCGTGAAAAATGTGGTATCTTGGAACTCTATGATATTGGGACTGGCGCAGCAAGGAAAATTCAAGGAAGCGTTGGTTGTGTATGAGGAAATGCAAACCGTAGGCATTAGGCCCGATGATGTTACTCTAGTTGGCGTTTTGAATTCTTGTGCTAATCTTGGATTGCTTGAGTCTGGGAAGTGGGTTCACGCGTACATCAATATACATAAGATTAGTGCAGATGGATTCATAGGGAATGCTCTGGTTGATATGTATTCAAAATGTGGAAGCATAAACCAAGCGCTTAGAGTTTTTCAAGGGATGAAACGCCGGGATGTCTATTCTTATACGGCCATCATCGTTGGTTTAGCAATGCATGGAGAAGCAGCACAGGCTTTGGAAATCTTCTCTGATATGTCTTTGCTGGGCATTAGACCAGATGAAGTAACTCTCCTCGGTGTGCTTTCAGCATGTAGCCATGCAGGACTTGCAGACGAAGGACAGAGACATTTTGAGGACATGTCAAGAGTTTATGGCTTAGAACCTCAAACAGAGCATTATGCCTGTATGGTAGACCTTTTAGGTCGTGCTGGATTGTTAAGCGATGCAGAAGAGTTTATAAAGAATATGCCGGCTGAACCCGATGCCTTTGTTTGGGGGGCCTTATTAGGAGCCTGCAGAGTTCATGGGAAAGTTGAACTCGGGGAACTTGCAATGAAGAAACTAGTGGAAATCGAGCCAGAGCGAGATGGTGCATATATATTGATGTCAAACATGTACTCATCTGCAGATAGATGGCGAGATGCGTTGAAATTGAGAAAGTTCATGAAAGAAAAGCATGTGAAGAAGACTACAGGTTGTAGTTCCATTGAACTCGACGGCATAGTTCACGAGTTCAGGAAAGGCGAGAAATCACACCCCAAAAGTAAAGAGATCTGCAGGTTTCTCGAAGAATTTACAAGTCACTTGAAGAGCTATGGGCAACAATATATAATTGCATTTGCTTGATCTCGAGGCAATCGGGTGCTTGCCGAGAGAACTCGAAAGACAAAAAAGAAAAATCTGTCATTTAAGAAAGCAATACAACAGAAAGTCAGAAGGGAAAAAGCTGAACATAAAAATCGGTCATGGAAGCCGTTCTAACATTTCTGGCTATGTAATTCGTCGGAAACCAGATTCTATACTTTGGCCATTTCTTGCACTGAATTAATCACGGCAACTTCACTGACAATGACATTAACTACTTATAGAATGCTGCAGTGTTAAACTACATCCGTCATCTATGACACGAGATCCAACTTTGTGGTGAGAATGAAGAACACTGTCTCAATGCCATTTGGATCATTTTAGACTCTGTTGAGGCCTCCACTGGAAGCCTTCCTCGTGAACTTGCACTGTAAAAATTTGGTTTGTAAGTTTACACAGGACAATCTGAATTCGCGATCCCTAATAGCATTCTATGAATTACCCTGAGCCTCAATTTTCATGTGTTCTGGTGTTAAGAATGCTTTGGTCATTATACATGTGGCTACCTTACCCATTAATTAAGTAGTTATCTCACACTCCATTTTCATCATAATTTTTAATTTTAAATTACCCGCGTTGTCTCTCTTTCTCTCTCTCAAATCTTTCCTTGAAAATGAGAGAATACGTTAAGATTTTTAGATGATACTATTCGACCAAGTTCAAAAAGATTTTTGACTTCCCGGGATCTTCTCTTCCTAACGGCCACATTAGCCAAAAGATCAGCTTCCACCCGATCCTTTGCTATCTTTCCCAACAACCCATCTCTCTCTCTCTCTCTCCCTCTGTTTTGCTTCTTTTTTTTTTTTGTCAAAATTTTCCATTGCCAGATTACTTCTTCCATTTTCACCACCTCTCTTACACCAGAAGTTCTTACTTCCTTCAAGCTCTCTCTCTACCTCTAAACTAAGTTTTCATACTATAGGTGGGTCTCTATCTTGTGTCTTCTTCACTTTGATTCGTTTGTCGACGACTTGGTGGCGCTTGTTCAAATGGAAGATTTCAATTGATGGTCGCTTTTCGTCCTAGTTGTTGTAGTTGTGATCTCCGGTGAAAGTTCCCGTGGCCCATTTTCTCCTTCTACACCTTCTAATGAATGGCTTATATACTGTTTAAGAGTTCTTCCAAATAGATGGAACATAGCTCTTGGTTAGCCAAGAAAATCGAAGTCAAGCACATCTTGTGAGTCTAAGATATGAAACTATCATATGCTTGAAATGCAATATCATTCATCTGCTCGACTTGGAATGCATATGCAAATGTTGTATATTTTAGAACTTCATGGCATACTCACTTTTATCTTCTTGTATGTACGGCAACCAATCATATACTATCTCTGTAGTAACTTCTTAGCTGAAGAACAGAGAGACCAAAATGCAGAATATGGTCAACAAAAGAAGCTTGGAATCATCTTTGTGAGCACTTCATCCTTTGATTGTCTTCTCTCTCTCTCTCTCTCTCACACACACACACACACACACACATTACTTTTCGACATTAATTCACATCTCTATCTTGACTTTCTTCACTTGTCCCCTTGTTTTTCAGGTCGTCCAAGTCGAGTGCCCCATCCGAACTTCAGATTCTTGATTGCTGCGAGCCCTTCACATCAAGTAAAGTGAGGAAATTTGTCACAAGATTAATCTTAGATCACATAAACTCGTTTTTGCTTTTCTCTGTTGGATCAATGTTTATGGCCTAAGCCTAATGTGAAAACTACACCGATGGTCTACCATTTAATCCTATGAATTGCTGATTGCGATTTAACTGTCCAATTGTTTTATCAGGAGCTTCTAGCGGCAAAATCAGCAAAACTAGCTTCTTTGTTTGAGGAAAAAGATTCCTGTGAAAGGATATCGCACTTCCTGCGAGACATCTCCGCTGATCCCAACACCTTTGAGCTTGTGGCGAGGTTCTGCCACGGGTTTGAAGTACAGCTTTCGACTGAAAATGCAGTACCCCTCATTTGCCTTGCTTTTTATCTGGAAATGACCGAAACTCACAGCCCCAACAATCTTCTGAAGAAGGCTATCGATTTTCTCGAAGAAAGAGTCCTCCCGAGCTGGAACGAGACCATCAGGGCCCTGCGACTCTCGGAGAAACTCCTTCAGCAAGCTGCGGATCTTGGCCTTGTTGATGCCTGTTTAAGTTCGATTGTTGCAAAGGCACAAGTCGATCCCCGCCTTCTCGGAAAGCCAATTAAGGCTCCCAAATTGGATGAGAGCAGTGAGGGAGAGGAAGATGGGGAGTGTAGACCCAATGCAAGGAGAAAGCTTTTTGTTCTCGACTGGCAATCAGAGGATTTAACGACTCTTCCTCTGCGATTTTATGAGCCGGTCATTAAAGCAATGAACCTACAAGGCGTCCCGCCAGGATATGTGGCCGCATCTCTTTGCCAATACGTGAAAAGATGGATTTGTTCCAGCCCAACAGGAGACGAAACCATGTCAATGTACAAGAGGAACTCTCAGAGGGAAGTAATCGAAGCAGTGGAGAGACTCCTGCCTCGTGAGCCGAGGCTCCTTCCATGTAATTTGTTGTTTCGGATGTTGAACTCTGCAGTTTCACTGGAAGCAAGTACTGACTGTAGAAATGGATTCGAGATCAGGATAGGGAGACAACTCGACCAGGCAACCGTAACTGACCTCCTAGTACCTTTTCAAGGCTATGCCACAGAAACACAATATGACATTGGTTGTGTCAAAAGGATCCTGAAAAGTTTCTACACGAACTACACTTGTTCGGATGCATCGGTATTTATCAAAGTAGCGGATCTCATCGAAGAGTTATTGGCAGAATTAGCAAGTGATGTGGACTTAGAGGTCAATTCGTTTCTCGCCCTGGCCGAGATGTCGCTCGCAGCATCCTTAGAAAATCATACAAATTCTGATGGAATATACCGCGCGATCGATATTTACCTGGACAAGCATAGGTTCTTGACAGAGTTGGAGAAAGAAGAGGTGTGTCGGGTACTGGACTTCCAGAAAATGTCTCCTGAAGCATGTGAGCATGCAGCGCAAAATGAAAGGCTGCCGCTAAGGGTGGTTGTTCAGGTGTTGTTTACTGAGCAGTTGAAGCTGCGAGAAACAGTCGTGCAGGAAGTAGTAGTGCATAATACCCAGCAACGAATTGGAAAGGATGGAGAAGAAGAGGCGGAGGAAAATGAAGGGAAGTTGAGTAGTACCGAGGAAGGGTTGAGGATCGAAATGGAGAGGATGAACAGCAAGGTGATGGAGCTTGAGAGAGAGTGCGGCATGATGAGGAAAGAGATGGCGAACGGATACGGCAGCAGTCATAAGTTGGAGAAGAGACGGAAAGTTAGTATGTGGGGAGAGATAAAGAGGAAGTTTGGGTGCATGAGTAACGTGCATGATTGTAGCTCTCAAGTGAAGAAGAAGAAGGTGCATGCTAGCCATGGCTAATGGTTTTTGGATGTTTCACTTTTTGGGACAAAAGTGTTTCTTTCGTTTCCATGTATATAGTGGTTTTTTGCATCCTCAACTAGGCTTAGTTACTATTCCACTGATTGTGATCCTCGTAGCATTCTCTGGTTCAAAGAAGTCTTTGGAGGGAATGGTAGGGCTGTTTGGCAGAGCTTAACCAAGATTGTTCATTTGACAGCTAAGCTTTGTATAATTTCACTATTAAATAATTACTAGTTTGAGATTCTCTCTTTTACCTGATATATTTTCTGGAAATATGGATGATGAGTTCTTCGATTGGAACCTCAAACACCAGCAGAAGCTCATTGTGGTACTGTGCCATGGACAAAGCATTCACTATGAATTATTCTACAAATTTGTCCAGATGAACGAGTTTGCCCTGCAAAAGTAGTCAGAAAAAGTGTACTTTACTCATGCTTCATTACAATCAATACATAAGCCGGAATCAATGCTATATTCAGCTTTATAGGCTGTGTCAAGTTTCATATCCCATTTAAAATTAGTCTCTGATACGCTGGCAATAGCTTTGTCCGGGCAAAATATTTGGCCATGCACTTTGAATTGACATTGAAAAACAAACAAGCTTGCAAGCAATGAAGGCATCAATATCAGTATTGCACATAATGATAAGCATCTTCCTTTCTGGTTCTCTTATTACATGTATAACCTCTCTCATGAAAAGGAGGTAAAAGAACAAACGAGTTCACAAAATACATACTTTGTCACTTTTCCACACTTTGGCCCAGAAGATCATCACATCATCTTACTTGACATGAAGTCTATGTCAGTTTCAGAGACCTCAGCCCTTTCACAAGAATATTTAGACAATTCCTGTCACATGTAGGCAAAATCTCAATACACTCGGTTTCTATCTCGCCGCTTGACTCGAAACAGATTCACAGCTTGAATTACGAAGCAAAAAAAGGAATCATTCTTCGGTGAAATCACATCGACTCCATTGTCTCATCTTGATATCTAACAAATATTGACAGCTATTTGCACCGTATGCATCAGAAATGTTTAACATTAACCTTCACACAAGGTTCATTTACAAGAGGAAACCCCAAGAGTCAATGGCATCTCGCTTTCCCTCGAACCGATCGACAGATCGTGATCATTTAATGTGCTTGAAGTCGACCCGGTGTTGCTGTGAGAATGATCACCTCCACCTTTTCCATTCCCCAGAGCATTATTATTATGCCCTTCAACACCTGATTGATGTTCGTTTTGCTGCTCATTCCCCATCACAATCACAGCGCCAAAATGAACGCGCCTTTGCTCGTCATCATCATTGTCCCCGCTGCGAGGGGAATCCTTTGCCGGCGACTGCGGATTATTCGCCGGCGCCGGCGCCACAGCTGTGCTATTTACACGAGCGGAGAGCCCTTTGGGCGGATTATTTGCAGGTCTAGGCCGGAGACAAGAGTAGAGATAACCAAGAAGCCAAAAGCACCATGGGATGGCCTCGAGGACTATGCCGGCGAGATAAAACCAGCTGTTGGATTCCGTCTCGGGAAGGAATATGTAGAGGCTGAGGAAGACACCCCCGGCAACGACGCACACGAAGAAGAGGCAGATGACGGCCTGGACCCGCGCATCGCCATCCCTTTCTCCCATAGAAATCTAACTGAGATGGCTAAATCTTATGTAATACGAAGAACATGAACCAAAATTACAGACGAGCAATGGATGACCCTATATTCATTTCTTTCGCTAGGATGGTTGCCGGCGTATGACAAAGCGGTGTCGGCATCTCATGGTGGTGGTGGAGAGAGAGAGAGAGAGAGAGAGAGAGAGAGAGACAGAGAGAGAGGCGATCAAAGCGGGAGTTTGTTGATTGTTCCATGCATGGCCGCTAGGGGCAAAGCTATATATACATATGCAAAACGCACGAATGCATTCAAAGGACAGTCAAAGGCCAGTAATATTTATGTCCTTTTGATCTTCTTATTGCAGCTCCAATTCGAACTTTCTTTTTCTGTTTTTCGGTTTCTCTAGGTTGGAAACAAATTATTATCAACAAGAAGAAACGAGAATTGGAAATGGATGGTAGCTTCTTAATAGACAAGTACTTTTCACGAATAAGATATGTTTAATCCCTCCAATAAAACTTCTCATACAGTAAAGTAGGGAAACATCACAGGACATGTTTTTTTATAAATGTAACGAATCGGCCCTTTTCATGAAGGTTAAGCAATATACCGCCTATGTGATGTGTCGAATAGGGTATGGATCTAGTTTCCAGAAGAAGTGCTATGAGGAACCACACGAGCTTATCGGGTATGAACCACAACAACTCTAATATTATTTATAATGATCTGCAGCGTTCTACGTGGTTAAGCCAAACGAATACTTTAAGTAATTATACGATATTGTGGTCATTGGATAGTGAATGTTAGCTTATATATCACTAGCCTCTCCTAACTAATGTGGTGCTTAAGATATCATGATCAATGTACAAAACGTTCATATCGATTCTTAATAAATTGTATAAAATAGAAAATTTGATATGGTTAGTAATTTGTCTCATAATAGTGACATTTTAACTGAAGAAAGTAACTACTGATACATTTATAATGATTAATATTCACACTAGTATCCTGTATTTTTACACAAATACAATAATAAATTTTTTATTCTTGTAACTTACTGATTATTATTCTAGCGTTAGACATTCTTTTTCCTCATTTTTTAACACCACATCCTAGGATAAGATATTTTCCGCAAATATCGACGGAAATAATATCAAGAACCAGACAGGAGCAAGAAAGCCATGGAAGCCGAATATGAGCAAGTGATTGCAGCGTTACCCAGTTGGCTTCGTGCGAACCTGGTCTGAGAGACGAAACAGTAGAAGAAAAAGAGCAAGCTATGACAGAAAGTTGGGTCCTGCCCTGCACATTATTCAAATGCATAATCGCGAGGCCGAGGCTTCTCGGCCATAACTTCAAATGGAGATTATCAAGTAGCTCGGAAAAAGGTAGTTCTCTGGACAGTTTTAAGAGGGACAGCTTTTACATCGATAAGCGTGGCAAATTGAGAAGATTCGATCACAGAAAGGTCTCCAGGAAAAAGGGTAATCAGTAAAATGTTCGGTCTTTTTCTTTGTTGTTCCCTTTTTGCCAAAAATTTAACTAATTTTGACAAGTTTTGGCAGGTGGGTCTTTGAGAGGCCAAGGCTGGAAGTATGGCTCTGGGTTTGTGGATGGGATATTCCCTGTACTGAGTCCTAGTGCTCAGCAAATTCTGAGCTTCGTTACGGAGGAAAATGATGCTAAAAGGGTCAATGCTTGTCTTGATACTCTCCCTCCAACTCATGCAACTTGGGATGATGTCATAAATGTGGCTGTTCAACTTCGTTTGAATAAGAAATGGCACCCCATAATTCTGGTGAGACAAAGTTTGGATCTTTTTATTTAGATCTTATTTTCTGTGTTGTTTAATAGAGGATTCTTTTATGTACCATCTGCAAAGCAATTTGAGCTGACCAAAGTTCAACTATGTTCGATAATTTCATTTCTGAAGATTTTTAGTGGTTGGTTTGTAACGCCACGGTTACGCATTTGCTGTTTTTGATTATGGTTGGATATGCGATTTTTCTTTTGTGCTCTGCTGCTTTAGACGCTAGTGACCTCACATTCATGGTTTGTATGTTCTTCTAATTGTTCCATGATTCATTTAGTTGAGACAAAGTTGGCTTATACAGCTGGAAATTCTGCAAACCTTCAATTAGATGCTAATATCTGTATGACGTCATGATTTTTCTTCAGTGAGAGAGGATATGCATGATGTTGTTTACATGCAATGTCTGACTTTCCTAATGTTTGTGATGATATGCACAGATAGGTGAGTGGTTACTGCATAGGAGCTCCTTCCAGCCAGATGTTATTTGCTACAATTTATTGATAGATGCTTATGGACACAAGTCAATGTATCAGAAGGCAGAAACCACGTATTTACAACTTATTGAAGCTCGGTGTGTTCCTACTGAGGATACATATGCCCTTCTTCTGAAAGCCTACTGTACATGTGGCTTGCTAGAGAAAGCCGAGGCTGTCTTTGCAGAGATGAGAAAATATGGCCTTCCTCCAAGTGCGTTATGGTAATATATAGTAAGTCGCATAGTGGTAGAATCATCGGCTAACTGAATTTTTAACTCTGAGAGGACTTCAAATGAATAGGTTTGCACGTACTAGGTGGAAAGGTGTAAAGATGGATTGTTGATTGGCATGAATTTCTTGTCTTGCTGAAAGTAATAAAAAAAAGTTGGGCAAGACATTATTTTGCTTTAAATGTATTGTAGCAGAGTAAACATATATATATATATGGTTCTTTGATGTTTTACATCCATAATTTTGTGGCGTTTGTAACCAAAAATAGCCTTTTGCATAAGGACAGAAGATCTTTTTTTATTTGTTTGAAGACAGAAGATAGTTTATTAGGTGATAATATCACATGGTATGAATTATTAGAGCCAACATTTCTTTCATTTCATACCGAGGTGAACTCAAGATAGAGTTATGTCATTGATCATGCAGAAGGCCTTGTCTCAATTATGTGAATCCAAGGAATCCACTTATACAAAGTTGAATTCCTCTATTCACTGCATGGAGAGGTGTGAAATAAACCATGTAAAGAGTATGATCTCCTAGTTTGTCCAAATTAGTTAGTAGGACAGAAGCTGCTAGCCTTTGAGACTCTAACAATGCCTAGAACTCCTCTGTCCATCAGCACGAACACATAATTACTGCTAGATATGTTGTCATATTGGCTCGAGAGTCAAAAGGTCTCTGTGCATCGTCTTTGTTTATGGGGTTCTCTGAGCGACCTCGAAGAGAAGTTTTGCATTGTATTGCTTCCATTCCACCATATTATGTTTGGTACTTCATATTCAGTCTGGCATGAACAGGACAATCTCTCATTCAAGCAGGTGCAGCTGTGTATAATGCATACATTGATGGGCTAATGAAGGTAGGAAAGCCTGAAAAGGCACTCAAGATCTTTGATAGGATGAAGAGAGAGTCTTGCCAACCAACAACTGAGACTTACACCATGCTGATCAACTTGTTTGGAAAGGTGACTTTGACTGTACAATGTACTCATGCCTTTCAGCAGCTGTCCTGCTAACTCTAGTCACACTAAGTGCAACACGCTTCCATTGTTGCGACTTTGACGTTTAATTAGTGTTTGAGGTCCTCTTAACAAGTTTGGCCTGAAGTGCAATACGTACTTGATGCTGATCATTTTTTAAATGATTATTATTATCTAGAGAAAATATATGAGATCAGCTTGCCTCTCATGCTTTGTTCTTTTGTGGAAATTTCTGATTGGTTATGTATATTCTTGTGCAGGCAAGTAAATCCTATATGGCCTTAAAGATGTTCAATGAAATGAGAAGTCAAAGGATTAAGCAAAATATCTGCACATATACCGTTCTCATCAATGCATTTGCAAGGGAGGGGCTATGTGAAAAAGCAGAAGAAATATTTGAGCGGCTGCAGGAAGCTGGGCATGAGCCTGATGTTTACGCTTATAATGCACTCATGGAAGCTTACAGGTATTTATTTGATATGGTTTCTTCTCTTAAATTTTTATGGTGACAATATCCTTTGCAAGCACTGAAAAAAGTATGGTGAAAATATCTATAGATCAGAAGGTAGCAACATGATAGTTAACCAAAGAATCACAAGAGAAATCTTGTAATCTCTGGTGCTTTAAGATTACAATATATTACTCCACATTGATTCTGTAAAATTTGTAGTAATGGTTATAGATCACATAGCGGCATTTCTAGACTCTAATATAGCTTATGTTACTTGCGAGAATGCTAAGAAGGGTTAGATTGTATTAAAAACAACTTCAGTAATTGATGAGTTGCAGGAGAAGTTAGTTGTGTAATCCTTCAAAGAAATTAATGTAACTTTTGGCTTTTGCCTCCTCGAATCTATGGCTACAATACAAATTCTGGTTTTCAATTACCAATAAGTTAAAGCTGAAGGATTTCATAGGGAGCATAGAGATATTTTAAGTTTGTACTTGAAGCTGCATTGTTCATGAGCCTTGATAATTTCCTTTCTCTCACTATTTCTGAAATGATTAGGCCAAATTCTTTGACAGCCGTGCAGGTTATCCTTATGGTGCAGCAGAAATTTTCTCACTCATGCAGCACATGGGCTGTGAACCTGATAGGGCGTCATTCAATATTATGGTAGATGCATATGGGAGATCAGGTCTTTATAAAGGTTAGTCACAACTTGAGCTGATGATGATGTGCTAGACCATCTTCCAATAGTCAAGTCCATTAAGACCTAAAGTTACTATGGTGTTAATCAGGTCTTTACGAAGGTTAGCAACTTGAGCAGATGATGCTTCCTATAGTTACTATGGTGTTGATGAGATTCGAAAATGAAACACTACACATAGGGGTATGGGTCTTTTTTTTTTTTTCTCATTTATCAGAAGAGATTAGTGAGCATGATATTGAAATCTGGAGTTTACTTAGTTGGATCAAACAAATGCAATCTACCTAGAATGTTGGCCATTAGCATTCTGTCCAGTGGGAGGGGAGATTGGCACGTGATCCATCCTGGGAATAGCAAGAAAAGAAAAATCTATATAGAGTGCTTGCTTCTGAGTAATTTTCTATGTTTGGATTGATTAAGCTTTGCATTTCACATTTTCCTAAATGAGCTCGCAATAAATTTTAGAGTGGAAATAAGATATTATGGTGTAGGATACTCATTGCTCTAATAAAATCATTGCCAATATCTTGCCATTTTTTTTTGGCCTCATATACTCTATAATTACAGTAATGGTTATTTTAAATTTGGCTATGAGGATTGAAAGAGATCCAATAGCTTTAAATGCTGGAATGGCATGATGTTTGCTCATTCATCTACGGGAAGCATAAAACACTTGGTGGGACAAAATTAGAATGCATCTCTTGCGGAACTAGATTCATTCTTGTAAGCACTTGCCTGCTGTCCCCATCCTTTATCTAACTCTTCTTGGTGCTTGTGGTTCAGATGCAGAATCTGTTTTCGAAGACATGAAGCGAATAGGGATAGTCCCCACGATGAAATCGCACATGCTACTTTTATGTGCTTACTCGAAAAGTGGCAACATAGCTAAGTGTGAGGACATCGTAAGACAGATGCAGCAATCTGGGCTCGAGCCAGATACTCATGTCCTCAACAGCATGTTGAACCTCTATGGTCGATTAGGACAATTCGAAAAGATGGAGGAAGTGTTGACTGCAATGGAAACTGGACCATATCTAGCCGATATAACCACCTATAATACACTGATCAATGCATATGCACGAGCAGGGTATTTGGAAAAAGTCGAGGAGCTTTTCCAGACGATTCCTATCAAAAAGTTACAGCCAGATGTCGTTACGTGGACATCACGACTTGGAGCATACTCAAGAAAGAAGCTTTACAAAAGATGTTTAGACATTTTTGAGGAAATGATCGATGCCGGTTGTTTACCGGACGGAGGGACTGCGAAAGTTCTGCTTTCGGCATGTTCAAGCGAAGATCAGAGAGAGCAGGTCACAGCTGTCATCAGAACTATGCACAAGAGCATGAGAACTGCTTTGCCTGTATAAAGGAAGCGCGCTTTCTATAGTTTAATCAGCGAGAACAATCTTGGAAATGAGATGGCTGTGCAAGGTGTGATTTCTTGGTTAACATCATCAGCAAGCCAGCCTCTTCTCCACTCATTGTTCCACCGCGGCACGACCACACTAGCTCCAAATAATGGTTTTGGAAATGCGTGCGACTCTCTATAGTTATCGCTTAACTTGATATTAATGAGAAAGAACTGTTCGAGTAGTTTGATAGAAATTTTCTGCAAAGCTCGAGTACTGCTGCATTCCGTTTCGCCGTGGTACTCTTCTTTTCGGGATGGTGACTTATAAAAAAAAAAAAAAAAAAAAAATATTCAAACTCAGGTTGTTTCTCAAAGAAAGCTGAACATAAGTACTTGAAATACATGAAAAAAAAATATTGAGGGAGAGAGATTTGGTCCTTATGCTATTGTTTTCTAAGGCTGGCATTTGAATGTGTAAAAGCATGATATTAAGAATGTCCTTTCGATTAAGAATTTTGCAAAACGATAGAGCTCTAGTATCTAAATGTGCAAATGTCGTGCTAGGAGTAGGAGCTACGTCGAGTATGCTTGTATGTTCGCCCATATGTCAAATTGGAAGTTTTTATATGTAGCTTAGAGATATCTTTAAGAACACCAAAGTGGTGTACCAAGGGAGAGAAGCCCGGATGGTCAACACATTTTGTTGTGTGATGGTAATTTAATTTGACAAAACCACTCTAATTTAGGTTGGTAATTTTGATATAATAGTTAGTAAATTCAAAACATTAGAGTATTATAAATAAAAGTAGTAGTTAGTATAAAAATTACTAATTTGCAAATTATAAAAAAAGTTGTATTTTCATAATAATATTGGTAAGTTATTACTAAGTTGCTTGGGGAAAAAAAAGTCACCAGTCATTTTTTTCACAAACAGTTTTTTGATACTTATTGATAGTTATCGAAATTAAGTCTTGTTAACGAGTTCTTCCTAGTCACTTATTAAGTATACTTAATTACATTGTTACCGACGACTCATTGATATACACAAAACCATAGAAGGAAATTCTCGACCAGAACATCGGGCCAATTGCCGAAAGAAGTGATTTTATAGTAGGTATGAGTTGACATGGATGGAGGTGCAATTTGCGAGAGAATCGAGATTAATAAAATGGAACTTGGGCTGCTAAGGATTCCTGTGCTGCAGCCACTAAGCACGTGATGTTCATATTGGTGCACACAAATCAGCATTCCACCAACTTTCTGCTCATTGGAGTTTGCTGAGACAAATGACTCACCACCATTATCTTTTTCTTTTGTTTGTTTGGCTTCGTTTCAATCAATTTGGAATATTTATACTCAATTTCCAATTTCGATGCAACAACCCCAACGACAACAAGGGCAGTTGCTGTTTGGAACATCCACCAAACCCCACATCCTGTGTAAATCTTTGTGGGAGGGAGAGAGAGGCATTGTGGAGTGTGCACAGACGACTGAAGAGGGATAGTCCCAGATTAGAATACAGATATGGCGTCGTCGAGGCTGCTGTGGGCGTCAAGAGCGGCCTCATACCTCAAGATCTCAGTGTTCCACAGAGGATTTTCCACAGGTAAGAGAGGAAGAAAAGGGTCCTGCTTTTTATCTCGATCTTCTTCTTATTGATCAAAGCTTTGTCTTTAGATCTTGCTTTCAGACTGTCTCCGTACATTGTCATGACAAGTTGGTTAACATATTTATGGATAGACGTGGAGCTCACCGATATGGTATTTAGAAAGAATGATATGTGATCTATGTTGTGGAAAAAAGTAGAAGAAAAGGATCTGATCTTGATCAATGGGTTGCGTAAGTGGCATTGTTGTGTTGAGCATAGATCGGTGGGATCGAGCCAATAACGTTTGTTCCCTGTTGCTTGAGCCAAAGTGGCATTGTTTTATGTTGTGCGTGTTGAGTCCAAACTAGAGCATATTGATCAGCATGAATGAGTTGCAGAACAATCTGCCAAAAAAAGGACAATCTGCTAAAAAAGGACACATATTCAAGTCACTAGCATCTTCAATTGAAAACTCAAATGGCATTAATAAGCCAGATCAGATTTGTTCTCTGAATGTAACAATTATCCCTCTTGTTGTGTCCATTCAGGAATCAAGATCAGATGACTATTTCCAATTATCTAATTTACTCACTGTGACCAGCTTGTTTCGAATCTGTGGATCATCCTCTTATAGTCAGTGTGCTGATTGCTATAGAAATTACTTCATATGGCATATCCCTGTCTTGGAATTATTGCAGTTCTCAAGGATCTCAAGTATGCCGATTCTCATGAGTGGGTGAAAATTGACGGCGCTTCTGCAACTGTTGGAATAACTGATCACGCGCAGGACCATTTGGGAGATGTTGTGTATGTCGAATTGCCGGAAGTAGGGGCTGCGGTCGCGCAGGGCAGCAGCTTTGGTGCGGTTGAGAGCGTCAAGGCCACTAGCGATATATACTCTCCCATTTCAGGGAAAGTCGTCGAAGTCAATGAAGAGCTCAACAAGTCTCCTGGTCTAGTGAGTTCTCCTTTAAAATTATGTTCTTGTTGCATTGGTTTTGGTGATTGAAACGATTAGTTAAATTTGGTTCTTCATGGCATACCGATTCAAAAAGTGGATGATGGTATTTTGTTGGTTCGGTTTTTGTTTGAATCAATGTGTTAACTAGAGTAGCTACTCTTTAACTGATCATTTGAATACCATCTTTTGAAATATTTATATCTTCTGTGGAGATGTTCAAACCGTTGTCATCAGGTTCAGCTGTCTTGCTAAAGTTTACGATTAGAAGGGTTCTTTGTCTGCGGCTTTTGCAGGTTAACTCAAGTCCATATGAGGATGGGTGGATAATAAAGGTCGAGGTGAGCGATGCAAACGAAGTGAAAGACCTGATGGGGGCTGACGACTACTCAAAGTTCTGCGAAGAAGAAGATGCAAAGCATTAGGCCTCTGGCCTTGCAGAACTGAAGTTGTGCTTGAGGAGGCATGGCACTCAACTTGGACAACCGTGCACTCCTTTTTCCAGACATTACCAGCTGGCCATACTTTACTATCGTGGTTTCTTCCAACTATGACTTTGTAGAGCAGCGTGTAGAATTTCATGTAATAATTCTAGGATATCCTCTGTTTCCATCGCATCGGTGTCATCTCACAGATCCTGGTTTTCCAATCTAAATCTCTAAGGATCGCAATTTTCTCCGTTTGTGAAGTGAGTTGGATCCATAAAACTCGCGTCTCTCGAATTCTGAGGTCATATCTAAGGTCGACTTTACACATTTACATTGTAAGAATACTGTGGAGATAAATCCGTCTTTGACATTGACACTTTCCTGAGAATTTTCCTTTGCCCTGGGACTTGGTGTGCCAGTCTTGATCATTATCAACGACATGGTGTTCAATGCATACGCAACAAAAATCCCCTTCTCGTGATTGAAATTCTTCAGGCTACTGAAAGCTCTAGTTCCTGGTTTAGGGAGGTGCAAGTACAGAAAAAGAGCAAAAACTAGAAGATGACAGATGGTTCGACATCAAGTCTCCGTTTCCATTTTATTGTCTAATTGTGTTTTGCTTGTGTAGAGCGCTTCTAAGGCCAGAGCGTGGATGATGGAATTGCTTGGAGCGCTTGCTTTTCAATCCAAGGCCTGTTCCATGTTTGAACGATGTTGGAGCGTGTTTAACACTACAGACGAGTCCAAACGTGAGTATAAGGAGTGTGTTTTAAAAGAATGATAAATTCGTGCTGATCTAAACTTATGAAGTTTATAGAGTTTTTAAGGATTCAAGGTGTTTGACGTTGCCACCAAATGTGATAACTGAATAATAAAAGGGTCATGCTATCTTTCATGAGATTACAAATTCGAGCCATGTTGTGAGCGAACCTCTGATCAGCTTATGCTTTGGGCATTATGCTATCTCACATTAAAAGACTTCATCACTTCTAGCACCCCAATGGTCCTATGGAAACATGCTCGTACACTTAGGATGGACTGAATAGTTACAGCTCGTACATTTTCGCAAATGAAAAAACTCGGCGTGCCAGTGACGAGCTTGTACACTTGATATTGATAGTTAATAATAGTGGTTCAAATCGAATATTTCATTGCGGGGTCGGACAGCAACCTTCAGCGGAGCAGCTACGATGGCCGCCCCGCCCTGGCCCGCTCGCCCTTTTGCCGATACGATTTATTTTTTGACATCAAATTAAAGCCATGAAAAATGAAAAAAAAGTTCACTCCATTATATAGCTTCCTCAAATGGGCCTCCTTTCGACCAAAAAAAAAAAAAAGGGCCTTCTCATTTTCCTTTCTTCTTTCCTTTTCTGTTCTACATACATAAGAGGAGAGAGAAGCAAACGATTGGCGTGGCGACGAGTATCCAAAAGCTCCGACGATTTATTCCAGCCGCGAACCCCCATCTCTTCTTTCCTTTGCTCGTGACCGCCGCGAGCTCAGCCGCCGGTAACCTTCGCCCTTCCATCTCTCTTCTCTTGCCTTTCTTTTAAACCCCTTTTCCATGCTCATGGGTTCTCAGCAGCAGAAAATCAGCAGTAGCAACTTCACGTAATTTGCCTCGCTTTCATATTCTGGATCATCCCTTTAGCATTCCGATTGTTGGGTCGCTGACCGTGATCATGGTTTTTGTGTTGAGGCTTCTTGCTGAGGCTAAGGACTGTTTTTCGCTCTGAGTGGGGCCTGATAGATGGTGGGGGTTTGGTAGTTTAGATGAATTTTGATGGCACAAGCTTCGGAACATTCTTGCTTGAGCACACATTTCCTTGTGCCCTGCACTCATGTCGTCTGAAGTGGGTTTTTTTTTTTAATCCTTAATGATAGTAATGAGACTGGGACTGATGTGGAGAGGTTCTACTGTTGAGAGGCTTGAGATTTGGATTGATTGAATTAATTTCTGATTTTTTCTTATGTGTGTTTGTGTGGTGCTTTTGCTTTGGCTCTTGCATTGAAAACTTTTAGTACGAAATCAAACATGATTTTGCAAAAAAAAGAAAGAAAGAAAAAAGAAGGGGGTGGTACAGTTCTCTGTTCTAGGTTCTCTAGAACCGTCCCTCTGGCTTAGTTCCCAGTTCCAGCCGTGGAAGTGGAACCGGACTGTGTGGACATGCTCACCCCTAGTTGTTTCCACTGCATGGCTTATATGGTATTGATGATGATGATGCAAATTTAGGTTTAATTACTTTTAGTTGCAAAAGGTCTGATTTATTAATGGATTGATTGATGATGACACGAGCTTGAGAAACCACTTCCAGATGCAAAGCTCAGATTCGCTTTGGGTTGACTGTTGATTATTGTTTATGAGCTCTATCCAGACTTTGGTGGAGTTATTTGTTTGAATGTTATTAACTATTACATATTTTTGATCCATTGTATGAATTATAACTGATACGCTGCACATAATCTTTGCTTTGTAGAGATACTCCGTGGTGCGGTCCTTTAGTGCATAGAACATACAACCTTGAGCTGTACTGCACAAAGCATCATGGCGAGAGCCTTGTCGAACCTACTACTCAAGGGCATTACAGGGTCCCCAGCAGGATGCTCTAATAGAATGGTGAGCTTTTGTTCCTGTGTCAACTAACATAAGATGTGGTTATACTGGATATTATTGGATGGATTTTGGTGCATAGGATTGAATTCTGAAGATGAAAGATGGTTTTTGAGGTGTGCCCTAAGATATTGAGTAGAAGCTAGTTTAAATGGGCAAATAAGAAAACAGAAGTAGAAACGTGGAGCTCAGCGGATGTTGCCCTGAGCAGAGGAGTCACTGTAAACCGCTTTCCTTCTTTTCTCCGAAGGGTCCTAATTTTAATTACATAGGTTATTTCCGTAACGACCCCAAGTTGCTTCTTCTCCAGCATGACAGTTGTGCTTATGTGATACTCCACTGATGGAAGTGCAATGCTAGCCTTTACTGGCAGTTACTTCCTATTTCAAACTTAACTTCTTTTCTTAGTCATTGGCAATGTAACAACTTTTAAATAAATTCTTAAACTTGTTTCTCTAAGGATAGTGGAGGCAGTGCTCAAGTGAGATAAAAAAAGCCATTGGTTATTGGTCAGGTGTTTAGACCCACTAACTCTCAAGCCTAATAGCTGATAATGCCTGAATTATTCGAGTCTGTATGTTATTTTATATTTGCAATATTGTGCTAACAACCCTTTTGCAACCATTATTAGCAGGTATCTGGATCATTTATTCAAAGAGGAATGAGATACTCCACAACTGTACCAAATGACCCTGACACGCATGATGACTTCAAACCTACGGATAAGTTTCAGGACTCTGCCACTTCTCTAAAGGATGTCGTTGAACAGGTAGGTGCTCTGAGACATGACATGACATGGTTATACAGTTCTTCATTATGTTCTGCATCCTACTTACTTTGCTCATCTATTCTCGTCATTTGTTCAACTTCGTTAGTTTATGATTTAGGATGTCAAGGAAAATCCTGTGATGATATACATGAAAGGGGTCCCTGAGTTTCCGCAGTGTGGGTTCAGCTCTCTAGCTGTAAGAGTATTGAAACATTACAGTAAGTTCTCTTGCCTTTTATAGCGTTTTCAGCATGTCTTTGGTGGACTTACCTACTCACGTTTTCAATTTGAAAGACTATGGCGAAGTGGCATTGACAAAATTGGCTGCTGAATGTATTTTCTGATCTTTGTTTTAGGCTTTTGCTAGAACTTTGCAAAATGTGATTCGTATAGAGCTGGTTATGATGTGATTAGGGAGGCAAGTACAGGACTGGATTGTTTTTAATTGCTACAGGAATTAGCATAGAGTTGATCTTGACTTTCTGGATGATGCGATTGGAGGAATGTACTCACATTCCAAATGAACCTATCGAGAAAACCATGAATATACAATTCCAAGTATAATTACTACTGGGAATGTGAGAGTACATAGCTACTGCATTCCTAGGTACTGCAGTAGCGCATGAGACTTGAGTACTGATGCTGATCATCCTTTTGCATGTGTTATCACTACAAACATCAACATTCGATCAGCTCTACCAATAACCAAATGGTACTGTTAATTTTTATGTGAAACATCTTTGTCCTCTATAGTACCTACACATCTTGTGCCTCAGCGGGAGCATTCTGAAGGCAAACCAGGTCGAGAGTTTTTGTCAAATGCTTAGCTTCCCAAGATTTCAATTATTGAAAGAGCTTTGGTGGGGAAGCAGCTGTAAAACTGGAAAAAATCTAACCCAAATCAGCTATATTCTTTTTTTGTCAGCTCGTAATGGTGGTTTAATTTCTCTTTCTGTATGACGGGCTTGTGTGTAGCTATAACAGCTTGTCATATGCTGATTGCAAGGCTTCATTGTACGTGGAAATAATATTATCCACGTCTTTTTATGTCCTACACAGGTATAATGTCCATGTACCACACTAAGTGCTAGTGAATGTTGTGCATGGAAGAAAATGTCATCAATTTCATTCGTATCTGTTTCTTCTCACGTATTGCAGTCCCTTCATGATGTGTTAAATTTTTGAATTTGATTGATTGAACCTGCTGAAGTCTTCTTACCACCCTTGCAGATGTTCCGTTAAGTGCTAGGAATATTTTGGAAAATGCAGAGCTGAAAGGTGCTGTGAAAGCTTTCAGGTGAGTCTCACCTCCCTTTTAACAGTGAGTAAATTTGGCTGATTTTTCATATACATGTTACTTTTACACTGAAAATGCTTCAAGGGCCCCTGATATAACATATTTAACAATGCCAAGATGATTATAGTGTTGATATACTACTTAAAGTTATAGCAGCCAATATAGGTTTCTTTCAATGTTTTTCTTTCTTGTTGAACAAATTACTTCAGCCTCTAGTATCTACCTAGAATTCCATCCATCACATCAAGGGACTCTGGTTGTAGTATGGACTTCTGCACTTTCAGCTACATTTTGAGAACAAGCGTATGACTTCGTGTCATAGGTTTTATTTTTCATAGAATAGATAAACTTGCAACATGAACCTATGTCGGCGATTTGTGCTGAAATTTTCAATTGTGGAGATGAGATTTCATACGATTCTGTTTTCTTAGCCGTTCTTTCTTTTGCAGCCACTGGCCAACTTTCCCCCAGATATTCATCAAGGGGGAGTTCATTGGAGGTTCTGATATTATTATGAATATGCACCAGGTGAGGGTTCGTTTGATACTATTTCTGCTTCCAACTTCCAATTAATTTCGCTGATGTGGCTTTTTTTCCATCCAGAGTGGAGAGCTGAAGGAGAAGCTCAAGGATATTGCTGCCAACCAGGACAAGTCTGCTTAAGCAAATACATGGCCGAGTAGAGAGAGAACAGAAATTTTGGGGTTTGTGAGGTTCTCATTCAACCATGTTCTTCTTCCTGCTTTTCATACTTCCTATTTAGGTGCTTTGTGATGACCATTGAGAGCGTAACAATGAACTTACGTTGAATAATTATGTTCTTGTACCTGATTTATGCATCATAATAATGAAGCTTCTATTGTGATTCATGTATCAAATGTTGCAGAGTCAATACTTGCAGCAAGTTTCGAGTGGTTGTATGGTGATTTTGCTACTGCTGCCGCTTGTTTGTTGAGTGCAAAAAATTGGCGCATTGTCTATGATCCTCTTTTTTCTTAGCTGAATCTATCAGCGTACATGAACAATAGAATATTTTGCACCCTCTGTTAGATATCTATGTTGGTAAGGTATGTGCCGAGTTTTTTGTTCATATCGTGTAATGTGTACTACTAAAGCGATCACGTCGGAAATGAGAAATGAAAATGCGATTCAGGTGGTGAGCAGGAAAAAAGTGATTCTGTTGAACCTTGGTGAAGGGCAAGGGAGGGTCCTCCAAGCTCCCACTGCTGTATCTTTCTCTTCTATTTTGATTTAGAATGCTTCAAAGCAACGCACAAGACGCAATTTCCTTTCAAAAAGAAAAAAGAAGCGTTTTATACTCATTAACTTATAGTATAACCCATCATCCACATTGGATTCTACTATTCAGACAACTATTCCAAAATTTCGTTCTCTTTCATTTGGGATTTCGTGTATGATATATGAAAAGATGAAACTGAAACTAATCAAAGGTTTCGTCATCTGCAACTGTATCTTTGAAAGAAACAGTGCTATTTAACGGACATATAAGTATTACATACTCTTGTCATATGTATGTTTGCTTCCAATAAAAATCAATAATTATAAGAGAGAGAAGATCATACTCTTTAGGACAAGTTCTCGTAATTAAAGACTCGAAAGAGGAGCAGGACTCTGTTTCCTCTCCTTTTCTCTGCTCTTTCCCATTCATCTCATACTTACAGGTTCATAGGACTAGGGAGAACTTGAGCTAATTTCATTTGATTCCAGAAGTGATCTCCATGGTGCTTTGACATGGTGCCTATGCTAATGACCATGGTTGGATTACAAAGCACAGACCGTCAAAAGGAGGGAGGACAGAGTGCATCTTCTTAAAAGTTGGAGGACATATTCATTTCTTCCTTGAGGAACAAAATCAATTGCTTCAATTTTTCCATCTTCCGTTTGCGGAGAATAATTCCCAACTCTATATATTGTGAATATCGTGCATGTTCATATCGGGTCGACTGTCAAATGGGTTGTCGGGGAAGGAGGGCCATAAGTATGTTTTCATGCCCTGGTGAAGCCTGATATCACCATGAGACCTTCAGTCCAGCTGCATGGTTTTCTAAAAGAGCACTGTCTGTTGAGATATGCACAAAACAGAAATTTCACCACCATAATAAAACATAGCTTAGATCTAGATCAGGAACTAATCGAAACTATCCATGTTCAGCCGGAGCCAAAGGCCAATCCTTTGATTTGATTCCTAAATACTAACGATTCTCACACTAGTATGAACTCTGAAAAGCAATATAAGCTTCACCTGCATAAAAGGGATGATACACAATTATGAAGTAATTATTCAAAGATCTGTCAACATATGCTTGCAACACCGGCAATTCTCTAGAGTTACCGACACCACTTCAGAACTGTCACTAATTTTTGGCTTATTGAACCTCTGACTGCAAGAGTAAATACCTGTGCCGAAACATATTCAACAAGCATATCCTCAAAGCTCAAAATTGTTCATTAAATTCATAGCTGAAGAAAACATTGAAGACATTAGATCCGAAAGAAAATAAATGCCCTAGCTAGGAAGTTAGGAAGCTGTAATGCACTTTGGTTCAAGGAATTCTTGGACAAGACCCAAAATCCTTAGATCCGAAAGAAAATAAACCTTTCCTGCTTGTGAGGGCTGAAGCTAGGAAGTTTAGAAAGCTGCAAAACACAAGTAAGGGTTCTTCTTCAGCTACTTCAGCAGTAGCATATGGGTTGGTGAAGCAGGAGGAGATTTCAACGGCGGCCGCGATGGTGTTTCAAATGCATTTGTGTACAGCTTCTAGTACTTTTCTTGATGTGTGAAATAGATGGCCTCGATCTTGTTATGCAGAAATAGCGATGATACATGGATGCTTTTTTGTTTGGAAAACAGAGATGTGGATCAGATGGGCATTCCTTCTACTTTTGAAAGCAGAAACTTACTTCAGGCAGTCACTGATAGGTGGAAATTATGGTCTGCTCCATGCAATTTCCAATGATCCAAATCCTGACTATTACAGGTTATTTATAATTGAATTCCTCCATCAATCTTTAAATTTCAAAATGCGACATTTCAAGCTCTTTATGTCATTTTGGTTGGCTTCTCCATTAGCTGATGGATGGGAATATTCCTCCTCTCAAATTTTATTCATGGGTCCCCTTGTTGTTAAATCCTTTTGTCGCACCTCTACCTAAGGGATTTGTTTTGGCTAAGCCTTCCTTGAAGTCCCAAAACCTACATATTGATGCACTTTGCCAGTATATTTACAGACCAAGAGTAAACATGAGCGTAGTTTGTCGGCACTCCCTCTCTCTGCAGCATGTTATGAAAATACGACCTTCAGATTCTGATTTCTTCTCTGTAGTGCGCTGCTTTGGCCCTGACTCAGGGGGAGTGATGTTCTGGGGGCGAGCTTCTCTGGATTGAACAAGATCTGTGCCTATGCTCATTGTGCAAATGCCTCTGTAAGTTTGTTTTGCATATTAGTTGGCTAAAGAACCGGGTGTATCCTTTGTGTTTGCGCTTGCTATCTGATCCGAAATACCCACTATTGCAGACGGGTCACATCACTGATGATAAACCTGGACGGTACCTCTAGTTTTGTGGTCATGGATGCTGGTGACGGAACAACTACCGGGCACCATGGACTCCGACATAATGAATAAGATTTGGCTTCTGAGAGGTTTAAACCATGCAAATATGAGAGAAGAATACCATTTAACGCGGAAGGATGGGAATCTAAAGAGCCAACGGTGCTGCTTAATAGAAATATGTTACTCCTGAGTCCGTCTTGTGACATACCTACTCTGGAGCCTCAATATGTGAATTCGTCTAAGTTCAATGGTAACCTTTCCTCATTCTGTTGTATTTGCCTCACATGCCATATTATGTCATTCCTTCTTGTAATGGATAGGAAGATGGAACCGGATTAGTTTCCTACTGAAATTTGTTAAAGAAGAAAAACAATTTTTTTTTCTTTTTTCCAATCACTTCGTACATCCTGGTGGTTTGTTCTACTCTATTCGGAGAACTAATACGCAATCAAATATTCCTAATTGCGTAACCAAAGAAAAAGCACGATCATATATTGGAGAAATCAATGGCAACGAACATGTTCAACTTCTGCACCAAGTCACATTAAGATCGACATGCTAAATCCCTGAACAGATCTAATCGTTGCCTTCTCTTTTCCTATGAAAAAGCCTCTCTTGACAACGTTAGCTAGGTATCAAATGGCTTATTTTTCCATGCGTGCATAATCAGGTTTTAGTTCTAACAAAGACTAAAATGCTAAGAAAGGAGATATTCCCTTCTAGTGATGGGGTACAGTGTTGGTATATCAAGCTATGTTAAGGCAAGTCGGAACTGTTTTGGCATTTTCATTTTCTCATCTTGTTTTATGGCGTAACGAACTGAGTTTTCGACTAGTTATAGTAAGGAAGATGTCCAAGACTTAATTAGAAGGCAATCTGAATTTCGAAAGATCACATTTTACTCGAACTCCGTAGCAACTCCAACATGGCCCCTTCAGACAACTAATTAACCTGACTGGGCTTTTATTGTTTGGACATCTGCGTCTCCTCCTTTCATTTCCTTTCTTTCAGTAACAGAACAGACTTGTCAAATTCGAACAGGAGACATCCGTTAATCGTGTCACATTTGAATCCAAAAACGACATATTTACTAAATAGATTACACAACATGATATGGACAACATGTTTCTTAACTCCAAAAGAATTCATTGCCAGTCTTCAGAAAATTAATGCAAAAGATGAATAATAGATTATGACACTTTGGATCTTTGACAAAAACCCTCTTGTAAAATAGGAGATGATCGAGACTAACTCCATGATCGAGTCAATGTTCAGTGGATGGAGATGGGGCGATCCTGTGTTTGGGAATTCGTCAACAACCTCAAAACCTTCTTGACAACCTGTTTCACAAGTACCCCTTCATGCCTACCAATTGCCAAATAAAATTGAAGTGAGCTCTGAGCAATAAAAGAAGTTTCCAGTAATAGGATCACATAAGTAAGTTTCCAGTAAATGAGTTTTGGTGGGAATGATGAAAGTAAGTACCCGTCGGCGATTTTTCCGGATTCCAATCCTTTGGAGGACCCAACCTCCTTGAGAGCTTCCTTCCACCGCTTATAGCTACTTCTGTTGAATAGCTTCTTTTGTTGACGCATGTTGTCACCAAAAGAATGCAATAGGTCTTGCACGTCCGAGGGCTTCACTTTATAGAAGATAGGCAACATCTCTTGCCTCTTTTTTTTCTTGCATTCAATCATTTGAGCTAGCTCATCGAGGCACCAATTAGAGGAAGCAAAATTTTCAGAGAGAATCGGAATGGAAATCTTGCACTGGTCGATGGCATTGCAAATCTCACTCCTAACGTCTTTACCTATTAGGAACGGATCATCAAAACTAAACACTCTGATTCCAGCATCCACAAGGCCGCTGTAGAGTTAAGCTGCAAAGCCGCATCGAGTATCAGGGTCATGGAAGGCCAAGAAAACTTCACTTTTTTTCTTCTCGGAAAAGTAAAGATACGCTGCAATCCAGCAAGACAAACCAAAGCGATGATGGTAAGATTTAGCTAGTACGAATTATAAGAAAATTCGGAAAAAGTCAGAGATTGAAAGCCACAAAATCGGTCTAGGTCATAAACCACGCAAACCGTACATGCCTTCCCTATGCGGGAGTAGAAGGGAGGGCGAAGTTCTCACATGATGAACACGGAGAATACTTAGGAATGGTAGGTGCTGGGCTCAAGCGGAGTGGGGGAGATACCTGATCTTATGCGGTAAAAAGACATCAATATAGGAAAAATGGGGAGCCGTTCGAACCACATCGTCTTCAAATCACTCAAAACCTTTGCGGCCACCATTTTCACCAGCTCTGCTTCATTCCTGCCCACATATATATGTGTAAAGACCAACATTAATCGTACAGTTTAATTCCTTTACTCCCCTAACTCTGTGTTTCCAGATCGGTCATTCCCCTCCAAGTGCATGGAGGTTCAGATTCTGATTTGTAGATTCGTAAATACATATATAGACATACATACATACCCATTAGCAATGGTCTGTGATGTCCATCCTCCAATTCTCGCTACAGAAGTCAGCGCAAACTCCCAATTTTGCACTTCTGTTGAGCTGCAACGCCTTTTATGTTTCCGTAGAGCCTCTCCAAATTTACCGCGTTGCTCAAGTACATCAACATCTACCTTATAGAATACAGGGAAGACTGATTTGCGATGCTTTGAGTGGCATTCCATAATCTCAGTGAGCTCACGGAGGCATGATTTACTCTGTACATACTGTTCAGAAATGATGGGGATCGCGATCCTACAATTCCTGATTGCCTGGAGAAGCTCGGGGCCTATCTCCTTGCCAGCAGGGAGTGCCTCGTTGTCCTTGAATACATGGAACCCGGCATCTACCAGGCTGTTGTAGAGGAAATCGGTGAAGCCCTTGCGAGTGTCTTCGCCTCTGAAGCTCAGGAACACGTCGTAGTTCTGAGGGACGGCCCTTGTTTTCTTTGGCATGATGTTGCAAGCGTACATGGGCAGAAGGGCTGGTAGAAGAGTTACTAAGGCATGCATTTTCTTCTCGTCCTCGGGACTTGATGCTTTCAAGACTCAACTCATTGTTTTCGTTTACCCACCAATCCAAGGACCTCAACGTGAAAAGCGTCGACTATGTTGCACCTCTTTTCCTTTTCGATTCGGCCTCTGCTTTATAGATTATCAACCCCGGCTTGTGTTTTGCCTCCATGCTTCCAACAATCGCACCAGAAGACAAAGTAGAAGAAGCTAATGTTCTCTCTCTCTCCATTGTTGTTGTTAAAAATTGTATCTTGAGTGTGAGCCCGTGAATAAACCCGATTTATTAAAGGAAAGTCCACACCGTGAATTCGTATTTTCTATTCAGCGGAGTTCAAGTTGAATATTTCTATTTTGTCTAGATACTAAATTGGCCTGCAAAACTTGTTGGTCAAGAAAAGAAAGGAAATAGAATAGAATAAAATAAAATAAAAGGAAACTCGGACTTGCTGACGGATTGACCGAATTTGGATGCTCACGGGGATTTCTTCTCTCCACGCTGAAGTCGGCAAAACCAAAGTGGTCATTGGAGGGATGCCGTGCAAAGTGATCAAGAAGCACGCCGAAGATGTAATATTTGGGTATTAAAAAAAAAAGGGTCAAAAAGTCAAAAAGCAGAACAATGGGAGCTTCAGCTCATTTAAGTCGAGAGCATGCTCGGCCGAGAAAGGGAGAAAGGAAAAGAAAGAAAGAGAGGAAAAAAGAAGGAAGAAGAAGAAGAAGAAGAAGAGAAGAGGGTTTTGCGCCGCGCGAACCTCGCCTAGCCGATTCGATTTCGTATTACAACGCTCAGTAAGCACTCGCACCTCTCGTTCATCCGATCGGAGAAGTTTTCAGATTTAGGATTTAAATTCGGAATTTTGGGAAATTTAAGTTGCGAAGTTCGATTTTTGAGTCGTTGAACTGCGTATATATATAGAATTAGTAGTTCAAGGTGTTGTGGAGCCGTGGGATTTTACAGATCTTGATTTGGACTTAGTTTCTTTCGAAACAATTTTTGAAGTTTTCCGTGTGAGATGAACAGTACACGTCCGGCAACCTTAAGGTCATATTTCATCGGTTTTCGGCTCGATTTTGAGACGGCCAAGCTTGGACTTTTGTAATACTTTGAACAAGCTTTCTTTTGACTATAAGGAAGATGCACTAGACTTAATCACAAGGCAATCTGTATCTAGGCTAATCACGTTTTACTTCAACTCGATAGCAACTATTTTATATTTCGGACATTTTTTTCTCCTCCTTTTGTTCCCTTGGTCTCCCTGCCCTCATTCACGCATCTCTTCAAATCCTCTCTCTATCTGTAATTAGAGCAGACTTGTCAAATTTGCACACGAGACATCCAAAAATTCAGTGGATGTCTCGTGTTTGAGGATTGTTCAACAACCTCAAAACCTCCTTGACCACCCGTTTCACGAGTACCCCTTCGTGCCTGTCAAATGCCCATTAAAATTTGAAATAAGCTCTGAGTACTATAGTAAAGTTACCAGTAATATGATCAAATTAAGGCTTTGGTGGGAATGACGAAATAAATTACCCGTTGGCGATTTTCTCCGATACCCATCCTTTGGAGGACCCAACCTCCCTGAGAGCTCTCTCCCACCGCTCATAAGTAACTCCATTGACGAGCTCCTTATGTAGAAGCATGTCCTCTCCAAAACGATGCGATACGTCCCGCACGTTCGAGGGCTTCACTTTATAGAAGATGGGCAATATTTTTTGCCCCTTTGTTCTCTTGCATTCGACCATTTGAGCTAGCTCATCGAGGCAATAATGAGAGGAGGCATAATTTTCGGAGAGAATAGGAATAGATATCTTGCAGTGATCGATGGCATTCTGAATCTCACAACCAACATATGTACCTATGAGGGAGGGATCGTAATTGCTGAACACTTTGATTTTTGCAGCCACAAGGCTGATGTAGAGGTAAGCAGCAAAGCCGCGTCGAGTATCAGGGCCACGAAAGGTCAAGAACACTTGCCATTTAGTTTGTCTTCTTTTCTTCTCGGAAAAGCAAAGATACACTGCGATCCAGCAAGACAAACCAAAGTGATGATGATAAGATGTAGTTGATACGAATCATGCGAAAATTCCAAAAGAACAAGATAACTTTAGAAGCCACGAAATCAATCTATGTCATAATCCTAGTGAACCTTACATGCCTTCCCTATGTGGGAACTCAAGGGAGGCCAACTCACACATGATGAACAGAGAATTCCTACGAATGGTAGACGCTCGGCTCAAATTGGAAGATACCTGATCTTATGAACATGGGGTGCCGTTCAATCCACGATGTCTTCAATTCACTCAAAACTTTTGCTACCATTGTTTTCACCAGCTCTCCTTCATGCCTGCCCAAGTAAATGTGTATAATCAAAGTTAGGCGTACAGTTTGGTTCCTTCTTTCACCTCACTCTGCGATTCTAGATCGGTCATTCCCATTGAAGTGCATTGGGGTTAGGATTCAGATTTCTGATGGAAATAGATTCCAGATTCGTAAATACAGAATACATACTTTGATATGTATACATACGTACATACCCATTAGCAATGGTATGTGACATCCATCCTTTGATCCATGCTACAGAACTCAGCGCTTCCCGCCATTCTAGCACTTCTTCTGAGCTGCACTGCTTCCCATGTTTCCATAAAGCCTCTTCAAAGTTACCGCGTTGGCGAACTACATCAGCAAAAAGGACCTTATAGAATACAGGGAAGACTGATTTGCCATGCTTTCTGTGGCAATCCATCATCTCGGCGAGCACGCGGAGACACCATTTACTCTGCGCATACTGCTCTTAGATGATGGGAATCGCGATTCTACTAGTCCTGATGGCCCACAGAAGTTCCGGGCCTATCTCCTGGTCGACTTGGAGTGCGTCTTCATCTCTGACCACATGGACCCCAGAAGCTACCAGGCTGTTGTAGAGGAAATCTGTGAAGCCGGTGCCTGTGTCTCCACCTTTGAAGCTCAAGTACACATCATAGTTGCGAGGGACGACGCTTCTTTGTTCCTGCAAGGAATCTATAAGCGTGCATGGCCAGAAGGGCTAGTAGTACATCTCTTAATAGCAAAAATGAATTCATGAGAAAATTTTGCACTTTGACAAGTCGAAGTTGTCCTTTTGACTTGGGTTATCTGGACGTGTAATGGTATTCAGAGCCCGACAGCAAATATTCCACAACTGGCGTACCAAAAACGAAGGTACAACCCCAGCGTTTCCAGGCAACGCTCTTTTAAACTAAGACCAAAGAGAAACAAACAGAGCAAGTAAGCCTTCGGTTGATGCAGCAGAGTACAGAAAGTTGTCCGATTACCTGCCCAGATTTTATTCCAACCGCGAACCCTGAAGCCTGAATCAATGGTGAATCAATAGGCATAGGGGGATCATGTGTCTGGGAATTCTTCAACAACCTTGAAACCTCCTTGACGACCCGTTTTACAAGGACCGCTTCATCCCTGCCATTTGCCAAATAAAATTGAAGCTAGCTCTGAGTAGTGTAAGAAGAAGTTTTCAGCAGTAGATCAAATTAAAGTTTTGGTAGGAGATGAAAGTACCCATTGGCTATTTTCGCCGATATCCATCCTTTGGAGGAACCAACCTCCCTGAGAGCTTGCTCCCACCGTTCATAAGTACTTCGGTCGACTAGCTCCTTATGTCGAAGCATGTTCTCTCCAAAACAATGTGAGACATATCGCACGTGCAAGGGCTTCACTTTAAAGAAGATGGGCAATATCATTTGCCCCTTTATCCTCTTGCAATCAACCATTCGAGCAAGCTCATGGAGGCACCAATGAGAGGAGGCATAATTTTCAGAGAGAACGGGAATGAATATCTTGCAGTGGTCTATGGCTTTCCAAATCTCATTTCTGAAATCTCTACCTATGAGGGACGGATCATCATGGTTAAACACACTGATTCCTGCAGCTACAAGGCTGGTGTAGAGGTAAGGAGCAAAGTTGTGTCGAGTATCAGGGCCGCGAAAGGACAAGAATACTTGGCATTTACTTTCTCTTGTTTTCTTCTCCGAAAAGTAAGGATACGCTGCGATGATAAGATGTAGCCAAGACGAATCACACGACAACTCCGAAAGACCATGCTAATTTTTAAAAGCCACGAGATTGGTCTCGGTCATAAACCACACGAACTTCACATGCCTTCTCTATGTGGGAATTGAAGGGCGGCCAAAGCTCTACATGATGAACACAGAGAACACTCACGAATAAGCGGCACTTGATTCCAATGGAATTGGGAGTTACCTGATCTTATGGGGAGCCGTTCAATCCACATCGTCTTCAATTCACTTAAAACCGTTGCGACCATCATTTTCACCAGCTCTCCTTCATACCTGCCCATGTATACATTTGTAAAAGCAAAGTTAGGTGGACAGTTTGATTCCTCCTTTCCCTAACTCTATGATTCTGGACCGGTCATTCCCATCCAAGTGCACAGGGGAACGCATTCAGATATGGGATGGATATAGACTCGTAGATTCGTAAGTAAGTACATGCATACTTACTCGCATCCTCACCACATAAGATTGAAAGATCCAAACCTTCCTCCACGGAGCGGAAGACATACGTACATTTATATATACACACCTTCATATATACAGACAAATATACAGACATACATACCCATTAGCAATGGTCTGTGATGACCATCCTCTAATCCTTGTTACAAGAAACAGCACTTCCCGCCAGCCCTGCACTTCTGAGCTGAACTGCAACTCATGTTTCCTTAGAGCCTCTCCAAATTTACCGAATTGGCGAGCTACATCAAAAACGTCCACCATATAAAATACAGGGAAGACTGATAATCCATGCTTCTCGTGGCAATCCATAATCTTGGTGAGCTCACGGAGACACCATTTACTCTGCATACTGTTCAGAGATGATGGGGATTGCAATCCTACAACTCTTGATAGCCCGGAGAAGCTCCGGGCCAATCTCCTCGCCGACCGGGAGCGCATCGTTGTCCCTGGACATGTGGACCCCAGCAGCTACCAGGCTGTTGTAGAGGAAATCCATGAAGCTGGTGCGAGTGTCTCCGCCTCTGAAGCTCAAGAACACGTCATAGTTCTGAGGGACGGCTCTTGCTTTCTCCCGCAGGAATCCGTACGCGTACACGCCCAGAAGGGTTCGTGTCTTCTTTCAATGCTTTCTGTTGTTCAAGAATCGATGCTTTCAAGATTCGAGTCATGGTTTTCGTTTTGCTTCAAATCCAAGCGCCTCATCATGAAAACGTTGACTATATTGCATTTCATTTTTGTCTCTTTTTCTTTTTCTTTTTTTGATTCGTCTTCTTGACTTTTTCAAAGGGTGATTATACTATTCTTCCCCTAAAATTTGAGGCTTGTCTTAACTTGACTTGTGATTTTAATTTTCCTTGATTAAAAAGAAAAACAACACCGATGAGAGCAACTCTTAAGAGCAAAAATAAAATTGCATGAGATAATTTTGTCTTTTTGACTTGGTGATTTTCCTAAAGTGTTAGTGAATTCAATTGTATATCACGAATAACTTCGTAAATGTCTTAACAACTCACGGATTATTTGAAATCGTCCATGGAGCAAGTCAATATTCATTCAAAACGACTTAACAACTAACGAGCCTCATCAGTATTGCTTCTGCATCATCTTGTGTGATCGGATTATGCTTCTTACATAGGGGGGCACCGAAATATGACATAAGAAGTAAACGTTTGCATCAATTTCTAAGAATATCCCAAAATTTAGACTAACTAAATCATCCTTCCCACATTTCCTTGTTTTGTGTTGATTAGAATCTAAGCATGTGCTGATATTGCCAGTTCTCGACACCTATAACAACAAACTAAATTGTATTACGCAAAATGGAGCTGGTCACAAATTAGATTTTCCGTAGGCTCTATAAATACCCTATGTTTTCAGTAGTTTCCTTTCAAGTCCTTTTAATTACTCCCGGTCACTTCTAATACAATGTACACATTTTGCTCAGATCTCCGCATTGAGACTTGACTATATTGCACCTCTTCTTGTCTTTTAATTTGTCTTCCTGACTATTCAAAGGGTGAATAGTCTTATTATTCGTCCCCTAAAATTTGAAGCGGATCACAATTAGACTCGTGCTTTTAATTTTGAAGCACGGCTAGTTGACTTTGACTTGACTTTTTTTCACAGGTAGAGAGAATGCAGCAATTAGATCTGTTCAAGGATTTAGCATGTCAATCTCAATGTGGCTCGATCGCGAAAGTTGCACGTGCTCGCTGCCGTTAACTTCCACGATAGTGCTTTTCCTTTGGATACGCAAATAGGAATATCTGATTGCTCATTAGTTTTCCGATAGAGTAGAATAAGCCACAAGGATTAAGGAAGGAATTGGAAAGAGAAAAAATTGCGTTATTTCTCTTCTTCAATCAATTGTAGTAGGAAACTAATTTGGTTCCACCTTCCTATCCATTACAAGCAGGAATGACATAATATGACATGTGAGCATTTACAATTGAACTTAGATGAATTCACGTATGTAGGTTCCAAAGTAGGTATGTCACCGGATGGACTCACGTCGAATATATTTCCATTAAGCAGCACCGTTTGGCTGTGAGTTACTTCTTCATCAATCTATTAGACGAAGCTTGTGAGAATCTATAGTTTTTTACCTCCAATATTGTTGCGCATACATATGCTCGTATTTTGCATCGAAAGCTCAAAAACCTAAATTTAATCCAATTTAAGATACGACCCACAGTATAAATCTATAGGGGGGAGTGATTGGTCCTGCCATGCGCAATTTTCGCACAAACTTAATTAAAATGCTGACATGATGTGCCAATTTTGAAAAGAAAAGATGACAGCATCTGCTTCTTTGGAACTACGGAATTGAAATCGCGATTGAAGAACAATCAGAACTTAGGAAAGTCTAATTATTAAACTCCATAAGGCTAGATTGAAGGTTTTGACGGCTCGTCAACGATAATAGCCAAATTAATATGGCTTGTGAAATAATGACATTGGTCCATGCATGATTTCTCAAAGCGTAGAATGGGTCTATGCATGTCAACGTACCAAACGTCTATCAAGTCGTATTTTTGTTTAATAATATTTTCAAGTCGTACCATGGGAATCCAATCGTCTATCATCACGAAACATTAAAATATGTTTTTGGCTCCGATCTTAGGTTAAATTTAAGCAAAGGATAATGCCTAAATAAGGGTGCGTTACTCGTGCAAAGAATAACGGACCATTATTGACCACAAGGTAAAGAAAATGTCAAATAATAATGATGATGATGATGAATTCAATACACTAGTTGAAGATATAATTTTTCTATTTATAGTTCTTAATTATTACTTAGACTTTTTTCTCTAAGTTCTTAAAACGGAAAAAAAGTATTTATGTTCCCGAAAATTATGAAAAAGCATATGCCATTTTACACTTGAGTATTTGATATTTGAATATTTCGTAAATTTTCAAGTGGTTCGCGATAACAAAAGTTCAATATTTGGGAGATGACCATCTAGACAGGTAAAGTTCTATTCTGCTTCTGGATCTATGTAAAGTGACTTCAGAAGCGTTTCCTCCGCCAATATACGCTTATTTCCGATGATGTAATCGGTATTACTTCCAATAATATATGAGCGAACTCGACTTTAGGCGGATGAGATGCTTATACTGTGGGTGATGATTTTGTATGTACACATTTGGACACGTTGACCCTTGCTGTTCAGGGATGAATTGACTGGGAATGGAGTCGGTATAAGAGTGGCATCTCAAGAACGTGATGTTAGACATTTGCAAGAGTATCATACCCAAGCCTCTCATCCTAGCGCCAGGAGGGAGCTACAATGCACTTTGGTCCAATGCAATTGCTCTTCACATCTACAATCTCGGATAAGGTACATTCTTGAGTTACTTTTCAACTGCCTGATCGAATCTGAGACGACTTTTCCTGCTTGTGAAGGCTGATCAGCACCTCGTCGAAAAGATTCTTAATCCGACATATCTTGATGGCATAGCTAAGTAGAAACCAATGATTATAAGAGAGAGAAGACAATACTCTTTAAGACAATTTCTCGTAATTAAAGACTCGACGAATGAAAGAGGAGCAGGACTCTGTTCCCTCTCCTTTTGTCTGCTCTTTTCCATTCATCTCACACTTCAGGTTTATAGGGACTTAGGGAGAACTTGAGCTAATGTCATTTGATTCCAAAAATGATCTCTATGGTGCGTCAACATAGTGCCTATGCTAATGACAATGGTCGGTCCACAAAGCATAGACAGTCAAAAGGAGGAAGGACAGTGCATCTTCTTAAAAGTTGAGGACATACTCATTCATTTCTGCCTTGAGGAACAAAATCAGCCGTGCGATACAAGACGTTTCAAATTTTCATCTTTCTTTCGGGGAGAAGAATTCCCGTATCATGCCTGTTCGTATCGTATCAAATGGGTCGTTGAGGAAGGAAATCCTTAAGTATGTTTTTATGCCCTGGTGAAGCTTGATATCACCATGAGACCCTCAGTCCAGCTGCATGGTTTTCTGAAAGAGCACGGTCTAATGAGATAGATGCACAAAAGGCAGAAATTTCACCACCATTAGTAAACCATAGCTTAGATCTAGATCAGGGAACTAATCGAAACTATCCATTTATGGCCAGAGCCAAAGGCCAATCATTTGATTTGATTCCTTATTAGTAGTGATGCCAAGAACTAATAATTCTCACACAAGCATAGAAATCCGAAATGCAATATAAGCTTCTCCTGCATAAAAGAGATGACACACAAATCTGAAGTAATTACTCAAACATCTGTCAACATATGTTTTGCAACACCGGCAAATATGCAGGAGCACACACTGAGATGGAACTCCAGAAACTTAGAATAGAGGACGCAAAGCAGGGCACATTTGCCGCGATGGACGAGCGTATAGTACCTGGTGGTGGTGCAGCTTATGTACATCTTTCTGATAAGGAGCAAGATGGAAGATCAAGAGGAGCAGATTGGTTCTAACATCATAGCAACAGTATGATTTCTACTTTCTTTCTTCATGTCTTCGTGTGCATCATTTTGTGTAATTTAACTTCCAACGAGCAGTCTGAAGGAAACTGAGGTGGCTGGCGCTTGACTAAATATTGTTCATGCATACCTAGTTTGGTCCAATAAGCATCGACTGGTGCCTCTGATCTCTAACAAATCATCAATCTTGTGGTGCAGTTGTAATGGGGCCTTGGAGGATGTACAATGACAAACCATGACCGAAGTAAATAAGTTGATTGTGCTCTATATATTTGTAATAGAACATGAGCAGCCAGATTTATCAGTTAGCCTATATATTAGTTATCGTTAGCTTGAGACAACATCGTGCCTCCTCGAAACTAAACCTGTCTCGAATATCTAATGTCCAGTATGGTTTGGTAATGCAGGTTTTGCATGAATGAAAAGTTTAAATTGGCAGGAGTAGTTGCCAATTCTGGACAACCAAATGCGGGACAACGTAGACGAGGCTCAAAGCTGGCATTGCGTGATATAGGGGTGTGCGCGATGGTTCTGGAGTGGAGGTGCTTTCTCTCTGTTGATTATTGAATTTTGACAGCAACTCTTCTCCGTTGACCAGTGTAATAACCTCTCGTGTGGGCTTGGGGAAACTGTATTTTACCTTTTCTTGTGAATGATAAGCTGCTTAAGTGAGAATGCCTTCTCTCTTCCTATGAAAACCTCCCTCTCAACAAAGTTAGCATGGCTTCTTTTTCCATGCGCGCATGATCAGATCTTAGTTTCAAGAAAGATGAAAAAGCTAGGAAATGAGATATTCTCTTCCAGTGATGGAGTACATTGTAGTATATTTCAAGGTATGTTAATGCACTCCCATTTTCATTTGCTCATTTTGTTTTCGATTAGTTATAGTAAGGAAGATGTCCTAGACTTAATTTGAAGGCAATCTGTATTTCAGACAATTGCATTTTACTTCATCTCAATAGCAACTCCCTTATGGCACCTTCAGACAACAAATTAAGATGACTGGACTTTCTATTGTTTGGACATTTTTCTCTCCTCCTTTCGTTCCCTTGGTTTGCCTGCTCTCATTCACGCTTCTTTTTATATCCTCTCCTTATTTGTAACAGATCAGACTTGTCAAATCCGAACATGAGACATCCGTCATTCGTGTCACATCCGAATCCACCAACGACGTGTTTATTAAACAGATTACATAACATGACTCTCGTAACATGTTTCTTAGGTCCAAAAGAATTCGTCGCCCGCCTTTAGAATATTAATGCAAATGATGACACGTTTGATCATCCAGGAAATCCTCTTATGAAACGAGAATCACATATGCCAAACATGAGCTGTTACTGACCCCAGGAATTAATCAATATTCATTGGACGGGCATGGTGGGATCAAGTGTTTGGGGATTCTTCAACATCCTCGAAACCTCCTTGACGACCCGTTTTACAAGTATCCCTTCATGCCTGCCAATTGCCAAATAAAATTGAAGTAAGCTCTGAGTAGTATAAGAAGTATCTAGTCATAGCATCAAATTAAGGTTTTGGTGGAAAGTATGTACCCATTGGCGATTTTCTCTGATTCCCATCCTTTGAAGGACCCAACTTTCTTGGGTGCTTGCTCCCACCGCTCGTAAGTAATTCCATCGAACGGTTCCTTGTGTTGAAGCATGTCTGCTTTAAAACGATACGATATGTCTCGCACGTGCGAGGGCTTTACTTTATAGAAGATAGGCAACACTTTTTGACCTTTCGTTCTCTTGCGTTCGACCATCTCAGCTAGATCATCGAGGCACCAACGAGAGGAGGCATAATTTTCAGAGAGGATCGGAATGGATATCTTGCAGTGGTCGAAGGCATTAAGAATCTCATGAGCAACATCTGTACCTATAAGGGACGGATCATGATCACTAAACACTCTGATTCCTGCGGCCACAAGGCTGATGTAAAGGTAAACACCAAAGCCGTATCGAGTATCAGAGCTACGAAAGGCCAAGAACACTTGCCATTTACTCTCTCTTTTCTTCTCCAAAAAGTAAAGATACACTGCGATCCAGCAAGACAAACCAAAGATGATGATGATAAGAGGTAGCCAGTACGAATCATACGAAAATTCCAAAGAAAAAGGTGACTTTTTAAAGCCATGAAATCGATCTAGCTTATAAACCACGCGAACCTTACATGCCTTCTCATTGCGGAAATTGAAGTGATCCCAAGGCTCTCACACGATGAGCACAGAGAATACTCACGAATGAAAGGCGCTTGACCACATAAGATCAGGTGGTCATTAGACATCAATATAGGATACAGGGGGAGCCGTTTGATCCATGTCGTCTTCAATTCACTCGAAACGTTCGCGACCACCATTTTCACCAGGTCTCCTTCATGCCTGCCCAAATATTTACGTGTAAAACGAAAGTTAGGCGCACAGTTCCATTCCTTCCTTCCCCTACCTCTGCGATTCCTGGTTGGTCATTCCAATCCAAGTGCACAAGAGGTTCGCATTCAGATTTGTAGAGTCATATATAAATACATACCCATTAGCAATGGTCTGTGATAACCATCCTCTAATCCTCGCTACAGAAGTCAGCGCTGCGCTCCATTTTGCCAGTTCTTCTGGGCTGCACCGCATCCTATGTTCACATAGGGCCTTTCCAAAGCTACCGCGTTGGTGACCTACGTCAAATAGATCCACCTTATAGAACACGGGGAAGACTGATTTGCCATGCTTGGTGTGGCACTCCATGATCTCGGTGAGCTCCTTGAGGCACCATTCGCTCTGCGCATACTGCTCGGAGATGATGGGGATCGCAATCCTACAAGTCCTGATGGCCCGGAGGAGCTCCGGGCCTATCTCCTCCCCGACCGGGAGCGCGTCGTCGTCCCTGAACACGTGGACCCCGGCAGCTACCAGGCTGTTGTAGAGGAAATCGGTGAAGCCGGTGTGGGTGTCCTCGCCTCTGAAGCTCAAGAACACGTCGTAGTTCCAATCTGCGCTTGTTTTCTCTTGCAGGAATCTGTAAGCGTACACGGAGAGAGGGGCTAGTGGAAGAACAATTGCTAAGCCATGCAATGCATTTCTCTTATTCATTTTCTTCTTCGTTCGTGACTTCCCTCGTCTCCTTTTGGGTCTAAGTATGTGTTCTTTCAATGCTTTCTCTTATTCAAGACTCGTCATTGTTTTAGATAACCACACGTCCCAAGGGCCTCCGCGTGAAGACTTTTGACTATATTGAACCTTTGTTTTTTATCTTACTATTCAAAGATTGAAAAGTGTTATTATTCTTCCCCAAGAATTTGAGGTGCGTCATAATTAGACTCGTTCTTTTAATTTTCCTGTTAAAATGAAAATAACAACGATAAAAACAATTCTCAAGAGAAAAATGAATTTGTATAACATAATTTTCACATTAATTTGTTTAACAAATTCAAAAATTATGTCATTAGAAACTTCGTAAATCTCATGATAACTGGACTTGTGCTTTTAATTTGTATGTACAATTTTGACTTGTCGAAAATATTCTGATGGTTTCTCTATCCGAGAAAAGAGAACATTCTCCAACTTTATCAATAAGACTTATGCATCATTTTATGTGATCGGATTCTTCTTTGTAAGTGGGGAGACAATGGAATATGATACGAGAAAATATGTAAATGTTTGTATCAATTTCTTAAAATATCCTAAGTAATACTGAATCATCCCTCCCACAATTCCTTTGTTGTATGTTGACTAGAATCCAAGCAGGTTTTGAACACTTCCAACAACAAACCAAATCTTATCACGGTAAATGAAGTTGGTTACATGAATTTCATTGCGTAAATTGTGCCGATCACGTATTAGATTCTCTATAGGCTCTCGATGCCCTATGTTTTGATTAGACTCTTTTCATGTCCTTTCTAAGTATTTTCCGATCCCTTCCAAGGCAGTGTACACATCCTGCTCGGATCTCCTCATTAAAGCATCCGAAAATCTTCAATTTAACATGATCCATCCGTCTCAAATAACATTCTCTCATCTTATTTTCTTTCAGGGCAACCCATATTTTTTTCCCTAGATAGATTCATCTGCAATTTTGTTTTTTTCACGTGTTCGCAAATCAAATGAACCAATCTCATCTCCATTGGCCCATGGTCTGTTTTTAAGTGGCATTTCATAGTTGCTCAAAGCCCCGATCACACTTCTCCACTTCACCAATCGTTTCTGAACTCCCCGGCCGAGATCCTCGTTGATTTTCCTTTCTCCTTTGGCAAAATAGACTCGAGATATCGAATGTCACGCCCCGAACCCCATCGAGCTCGCGACATCCCCTGCTCCGGTCGAAATGATGCGACGTCCCAGGAACGTCGCCGACCCAACCCAAACATCAGAGCCACATGCGGAAGCGAATAATAAAACCCCGGACAAATAATGACGACAACGGGGTAGAACAACAGAACAATCCAGCAACCACATATTCATACAACACCAAATATACATACATTATATTACAGGCATAATTAACAACTAGCATCCGAAATCACCGTCAACAAAATATCAGGGTCTGGTTAACTTAACTTCCCTATGGGTCAACCCGATTTACACAACCCCCAAAATCTTAAGGAAAAACCTAAGGATCGCCCTCCTCCAGTCTGCTTCTGAATCTCTGGCTTGAATCTCTGGAACTCACCTGCAGCTCCACTGGGCACCAACAGCAGCTCCCCGGACTTCCAAAAAGAAAAGGCTCACTTCCCGGGTTTAGGGCCGGGGGTCTGAAAGTGGCGGTTATACAACCGTGAGACGAATCTCAATAAGTGTACAACCCCAAACCCCACGTAGGCACTCACGTACCGCCAGACGAAAACATACATAACACACAACGATCGGCCAAACTAACAATCACATGCGACCCTACCTGGAATCCATCACGCACGTTCCTGCACGTTAGACAATAACACAGCCAACACATCACAGCAAGGAATCACAGACGCGCGTGTGCCTCAATTATAAGACAGAAACCACTTGGGCACGTCCTATACCGTGCCTAGCAGTTTCTACCCCATAATTAAGCATCACATCACGCGATACAAACACACTCGCACGCTACTCACACCATGCGTCACTTTCCACAATCCTCTCGCTTGTCTTGCCAAATCCCACTCATTTTCAACCTTTCCACCACTACCGCGCCCGCGTAAAACGCATCAGGCCAACGGTCTTCTGACCTCGTCAGGCATCGTCACCCCGTCGGGCCGGGCATCGTCACCTCGTCAGGGACGGCATCGTCCCGCGTAAACGTACACGCCTCAGGACGGAATCCTACACACACTTTCCTTCTACCGCGCCCGCGTAAAACGCATCAGGCCAACGGTCTTATGACCACGTCAGGCATCGACACCTCGTCAGGCCGGGCATCGTCAGCTCGTCAGGGACGGCATCGTCCGCGTAACGTACACGCCTCGGGACGGAATCCTACACACACTTTCCTTCTACCGCGCCGCGTAAAACGCATCGAGGCCAACGGTCTTCGACCACGCCAGGCATCGACACCTCGTCGGGCCGGGCATCGTCACCTCGTCGGGGACGGCATCGTCCCGCGTAAACGTACACGCCTCAGGACGGACCTTTCCAACCAATCCTACATTTCCATATCCTCGTTCCACTCAAACCACACTTACACACAACCAGCACACGCACGGCCAAACATACACGCCTCACACATACATAGCCACGCACCAAATTCACATCTCACGTACACTTCACAAACACGCATTCTCATCACACGAACACCACATGATCACCCACACTCGGCACACGAACTCAATGCACATTCACATGTCCACGCCACCACACCTCATAGCCACACACACGGCATAGCACCACATCACATTCGGCCCAAGCACAAACTAGAACAAGCCAATGACAGCAAACTACACAATTAATCCGATAAACCCAATCAAGCCAATACATTTCTAATTAATCACCCATTTAATTCCCGATCGATCCTCGACATCACAGCCCTAACTCAGCATTCCTAAACCTCGAATTTCGTCGCCCAATCAGCCCACAACCTCCAAACATTCAACCCCTAACTTAGTCCCGAAGACAGCCACGAAACAGCCACAAACAGTCCCTAAAATCACTTAAACCGAACTTCAAACGAGTCTAGAAATACCCGAGGTCCTAAATGACATTTGGGGAAAACACTTACCAAAAAGGCGAGACGAACTGGCTGGAACGGGCGGGACACGGGGCAGCTGTCGCCGGCGATGTACGGACTGGCGGAAGGTGCACCCCGTACGGACGCGGTGAACAGTACCACTCCGTACGGACACTGTACGGACAGGCTGGGACGGTGGCCGGCAAGGTGCCGGTGGATACGCAAGGCGTCCGTACGGTCCGCGCGAATGCTGATCCGTACGGGGATCGGTGAAACAGTACTGACACCGGACACCGTACGGATCGAGTGGTTGACGGGTGACGTACGGTGACGTACGGCGAAGCCGGGACGGGCCGGGTGTCGACGGACTGCGCGATCGGAGTTCTCCGCTGGAAGCTCCGACTGTATCTTGTTTACGCACCGAGAAAGAGAAAAGGAGAAAAACAAGGCCGTTTTGGACAAAAAACCGGGCCGCGATGGTCGTGAGGTGGAAATGGTTGATGGTGGTGCCTGGCTTGGTGGGGACAGCTCCTGGGTACTGTTCCTGGGCGTGAACAGCATCGTAGAAATGGCGTAAACGGGGACCGCAGAACCGTAAACGTGAAGAAGAAGAGGAAAATTCTGGGGAAAAAATGGCTGAATGCTTCTGTACGTGAGAGAGAGAGAGAGAGAGAGAGAGAGAGAGAGAGAGAGAGAGAGAGAGAGAGAGAGAGAGAGAGAGAGAGAGAGAGAGAGAGAGAGAGAGAGATATCTGGTCAAACATTATAGATTAGGGTGCCAAGTGTCAAAAATCCAAAGCCTTGGACACTTTTGCCCCTAATCCAAAGGCCCATATTTGTTCTAATCCATAAAAGCAAGGGTAGAATGGTCATTTGCTCTTAACCATGGTTGACCAGACCTGAGTTAAGCCTAACTCACCTTGGTTAATCCCAAAATTAAATCCAAATTTCGGAATTAATTAAAAATGGCCTAAGGGTATTTTCGTAATTTTTCGATCCCGAACCGAAATTCCAATTTTCGCACATACGTGTTCCATATGTGCGTGGCCAACATAATATGGCATCGGAATCGCGAAATTCATCACGCAAGCCCTCGAAAATCCACGTCAAAGTTTTGGGAATAAAATAATATTATTTTTCCAATTTTTGTCGAAATTCCAATTTTTGGCCAAAACCACTCTGAATGTGCGTGGCCACCCCAAATTGACCTTGGCCGCGAAAAATAACCTCAAAAGGCCTCAAAATCCAACATCGGTGTCCACGGGGGCAAAATCGTAATTTTCCCGGTCCCGAACCGAAATCCATTTTTTTGCAGAAATGGTTGGCCCCAAGGTTGGCCAAGCCAAAAACGTCATCGGCCGTCCAAAATTGTCACTTTCAAAATTCTCGATTCCCGGGTCCGAATTCCAAGAAATGACTAAAATCGAGCAATCGCAACTTTAGCTTATCTCTGGCTAACGGGTGGCTCTCTGGAATTATGCGCTCTCGACCCGTGACCGACACTAAGTCAAATCACGTTTAAGTTTGCTCGAACCAAGGCGACCTCGATTGTCATATAATTGCGAGGGTCTGTCACCAGTGCCCTTTGGACACGATCAATCAAATAGACCGGTCTCGGTTGGCTCAAAACATTCCCTCGTCAATCCATATGGTCGAAGATCGAACTCAGGTCGAGTTCTTTGGTCGTGCGAACTCAATCCCGTAACGGCCCTATCCCTAAGGTTAGCATCCCGTGAATGCGCATTTCCGGGTGAGACCTCACTATAGTGCATTGGTCAAATTCATTTCATGAATCCCGGGAAAAGGATCGAAAATTCAGACTGTTACATCGAAAATATTCAATTCCTGGTGCTACTTGTTCTTAGGAAGATGTCATTTAAGCTTCCTATCAACGTTACTCATCATATGTTTCGTCTGTGATCGACTCAAATGAAAACCTATCTATTCTAAAGTTTCTTGCCAAAATTCGTGTGGTTGTTTAACTGCCGCTTGGATTTCATTCACCAGCACCACATCAACCGACACAAAACAAAGAAAAAAAAAAGAGAACACTATCAACAAGACGAGAATGCATTTGTCTGTCTCCGCCCTTTGTTGCCTTATTAGTTGACCTTCTTAACCTTCCCATTTTTCGACTTTTTCCACCCTCCATTTTAGTGCTTCTCACTGGAGAAAAAAGTAATATCTAGTTATCATTTGACGAATTTTACATACGAATTAATCATAACAGGTGTAGGATTGGAATGCTCTCTGTTTAGAGGGTATATTTATATTTTTAATTTTCTCTTAACTTAAAGCCGCATCCACTTAAAATTCGATAATTAAGATTCGTCTCCTTTTCTTTTTCCTGTTTTCTTCTTCTTCCAATAATGAAAGTGTGCACACCTAAGGGGAGAAGCATTTTTAGTTTTGATAGAAAAGAAAGTTCATTCAATAAATAAATATTGATCATTATATACTTGCTAATTATTCCACCTAATTTGCATTTAGCATACCAACTTGATGCCGGTCTTACTCGTATTTTATGTTCCTTAATCCTGTCTTCCTCACGAGATGCTACATCTTTTATGGTGAACTTGTGATTAGAGAGAAGAAAAAAAGAAAAGAAAAAATTTAAAAAAATTTCGATAATTTTCATACTAGAAAATGTCACGGCATGATTTATGTACTCGGTCCAACGAACAAACCTTGCTTATATTTGACGTAAGATTGGAGTCTGGAACATATTTTAAGGTTTCGTGATGATAGATGATTGCATTCCCGTGGTATGTCCTCACAATGTTATTAACAAAAAATACAAAGATGATTTCAAGGAGATTAAAGAGAGGTTTTAGCCTTTAGGTATGTTGACATGCAAGGACCAATTCTTTTCTTTTTTGTCGATATGCATGGACCAATTCTACGCTTTGAGAAATCCAGTATTGGAGCGTCAAACATTGTCGCGGTTTCAAAACCTTCAATTTAGCCTTATCGCGATTTCAGTAACGTTAGTTCCAACTCAGCATGTTAACGTCATGATTAAGTTTGTGCGAGTCTTCCGCATGGCGGGACCAATTTCTCCCACTGTAGGCTTATTCCGCGGGTCGTATCTCAAATTTGAACCAAATTTAGCTTTTAAGCTTTCGATGCAAAACATCAGCATGGATATTATATTTTGAAGCACCGGTGGTTGACTTTGACTTGATCTTTTAATGTGTGGTTCACATTAGGTTAATAGATATTGGAGGGTAAAATAAAGCATGGATATTATATTTTGAAGCACCGGTGGTTGACTTTGACTTGATCTTTTAATGTGTGGTTCACATTAGGTTAATAGATATTGGAGGGTAAAATACTATAGATTCTCACAAAATTCGTCTAATAGATTGATCAAGAAATAACTCACAGCCAAACAGTGCTGCTTCATGAAAATATATTAGCCGTGAGTCCATCTGGCTCTGGAACCTACACACGTAAATTCGTCAAGTTCACTTGAATTTGCTCATATGTCATAGGGAACCGGATTAGTTTCCTATTGAAATTGATTGAAGAAGAGCAATGATGCAATTTTTTCGTTTCCAATTCCCTCGTGAATCCTAGTGGCTTGTCCTACTCCATTAAAGAACTAATACGTGATCAAATATCCCCGTTTGCGTATCCAAAAGAAAAGCATAATCGAATATTATAGAAATTAAGCACGTACAACTTGCGCGACAAGTCACATTGAGATCGACTTGCTAAATCCTTGAACAGATCTAATTGCTGCCTTCTCTCTTCATAGGAAAAAGCCCCTCTCAACAACGCTACGTATCAAATGGCTTCTTTTTCCATGCGTGCATGATTGAAGTATATTTCAAACTATTTTAATGCAAATTGCAACTCTTTTCCCATTTTCATTTTCTTATGTTGTTTTACGCCAGAATGAGATGAGTTTTTGGTGCATCTAGATAAATTTGTTTACCTTTTTGTCCGGTTCCTGTAATATTACCTTATAGTTTTAGATGCCAACTAAGGAACAAGTGCAAGAAAATGTGAATTAGTTCTAATAATAATAATAACAATGATGATGATAATTATAATCCACCAGTTGGGGATATAATTTTTCTAGTTATAGTTTTTAATTATTACTTGGACTTTTTCTCTATGTTCTTAAAACGAAAGAAAGTATTTATGTTTCAAAAATTATGAAAAATCACATACCATAGTATTTGATATTTGAATATTTTGTAAACTTTCAAGTATTTCATGATAACTAAAAGTGAAAGTGATAATGTTGTAAAAATTTACAAAAAGTCAAAAATAGAAATCACCCAAATAGACCCTAGTCAATATTAGTTTTCCTTTAATTTCCTTTTATTTCTTTCATTACTCTTCCGATCTAGTTTAGATCTACGAGCTTTGCGTCCCGATCTTATATCTGGGAGCTTTTCTCTCTGATCTAATCATAGTTTTTGGAGTTTTAATGAATAAATACTTCGTCTCCAGTTTTAATGGTGTTCAAAGTAGTTTCGGTTTATTTAAAAGCTTTGGTGCCTTGCACTGGCTAAAGGGCTCGCTCTCGCAGGTATTAGACCTGAGCTTACTCAACATGTTTATGTTATCTCGGTACGGTGATGGTGTTGGGGATGCCGAACTTAGGCGCATATCGCCGAAAAGCAAAGCCGTAACTACAGATGAAAATCTTGGTGTGTGCTTATCACTGAATAATGTTGTATGATTCGGTGATTGGCCACCGATTCTTTCACTTGGATGCAGTCACAGATCTGTTCTTTAAGGACGAGCGTGTGATTATCTCTGCATCGTTTATTCAGAGAGGAATAAGATACTCCACAACTGTACCAAATGACCCTAATACGCATGATGACTTCAAACCTATGGATAAGTTTCAGGACTCTGCCACTTCTCTAAAGGACGTTGTTGAAGAGGTAGGTGCTCTGATACATGACATAACATGGTTATACAGTTCTTCGTTATGTTCTGCTTCCTACTTACTTTGCTCAACTATTGTCTTCATTTGTTTAACTTATTTAGTTTATGATTAGGATGTCAAGGAAAATCCTGTGATGATATACATGAAAGGGGTCCCTGAGTTTCCGCAGTGTGGGTTCAGCTCTCTAGCTGTAAGAGTATTGATACATTACAGTAAGTTCTCTTGCCTTTTATAGCATTTTCAGCATGTCTTTGGTGGACTTACCTACCAACGTTTTCAATGTGAAAGACTATGGAGAAGTAGCATTGACAAATTTGGCTGCTGAATGTATTTTCTGATCTTTGTTTTAGGCTTGTTCTGGAACTTTGCGAAATGTGATTCGTAGAGCTGGTTAAGATGTGATTAGGGAGGAAAGCACCTGACTGGATTGTTTTTAGTTGGTACAGCAATTAGCATAGAGCTGATCTTGACTTTTCTGGATGATGCTATTGGAGGAATATACTCACATTCCAAATGAACCTATCGAGAAAACCATGAATATACAATTCCAAGTATAATTACTTCTGGGAATGTGAGAGTACGTAGCTACTGCATTCCTAGTTACTAGAGTAGCGCATAGTAGCGCATGAGACTTAATTACTGATCCTGATTATCCTTTTGCATGTGTTATCACTACAAACATCAACATTCAATCAGCTCTACCAATAAACAAACGGTACCGAAGATTATTATGTTGAAACATCTTTGTCCTCCATAGTACCTACCCATCTCGTGCCTCAGCGGGAGCATTCTGAAGGCAAACCAGCTGGAGAGTTTTCGTCAAATGATTAGTTTCTCGAGATTTCAATTATTGAAAGAGCTTTGGTGGGCAAGAAGCTGTAAAACTCGAAAAATCTAACCCAAATCAGCTACATTCATTTTTTCCGTCTCATGCTGGTGGATTAATTGCTCTCTGTATGACGGGCTTGTGCATAGCTATCACAGCATGTCATATGCTGATTGCAAGGCTTCATTGTACATTGAAATCTAATATTATCCACATCTTTTGATGTTGTGCACAGATATAATGTCCATATCCACGTTAAGTGCTAGTGAATGTTGTGCATGGAAGAAAATGTCAGCGATTTCATTCGTATCTGTTTCTTCTCACATATTGCGTTCCCTTCATGATGTGTTAAATTTTTGGATTTGATTGATTCTGCTTATGTCTTCTTACCGCCCTTGCAGATGTTCCATTAAGTGCTAGGAATATTTTGGAAAATGCAGAGCTGAAAAGTGCCGTGAAAGCTTTCAGTTGAGTCTCAACTCCCTTTTGACAGTGAGTATTTTTTGGCTGATTTTTCCTATTTTACTCGTACACTGAAAATGCTTCAAAGGCCTTTGATATAACATATTTAACAATGCCAAGATGATTAAGTGTCAATATACTACCTCAAAGTTACAGCAGCCACTATAGGTGTGCTTTCGTTTCTTGTTGAACAGAATACTTCAGCCTCTAGTATCTGCCTAGAAGATGAGCCATCACATTACTGCACTCTTGTATTAGTATGCACTTCTGAATTTTCAGCTACATTTGGAGAACAAGCGTATGACATCATGTCACGGATTTTATTCTTCAGAATAGATAAATTTGCAACATGTACCTACGTGGGCTGATTTGTGCTGAAATTTTCAATTGTGGAGATGAGATTTCAAACGATTCTGTTTTCTTAGCCGTTCTTTCTTGTGCAGCCACTGGCCCACTTTCCCCCAGATATTCATCAAGGGGGAGTTCATCGGAGGTTCTGATATTATTATGAATATGCACCAGGTGAGGGTTCATTCGATACTATTTCTTCTCTTCCTACTTACAATTAATTTTGCTGATGTGGCTTTTTTTTCCATCCAGAGTGGACAGCTGAACGAGAAGCTCATGGAACCAGGAAAAGTCTGCTTAAGCAATACATGGCCGAGTAGAGAGAACAGAAATTTTGGTGTTTGTGAGGTTTTCAATCAACCATGTTTTTCTTTCTGGTCTTCCTACTTCCTATTTAGGTGCTTTGTGATGACTATCGAGAGTGTAACGATGAACTAACCTTGAATAAGTATATACCTGATTTATGCATCAAAATAATGTAGCTTCTATTGTGATTCATGTATCAAATTTTGCACGGCCAATACTTGCAGCAGGTTTGAGTGGTTGTATGGTGATTTTGCTACTGCTGCTGCTTGTTTTGTTGAGTGCTAAAAATTGAGGCATTGCCTACGATCCTCTTTTTTTTTTTTCAGCTGAATCTAGCAGCGTACATGAACAATAGGATATGTTGCACTCTCTGTTAGTTATCTATGTTGGCAAGGTATGCGCCGAGTTTTTTGTTCATATCGTGTAATGTGTACTACTGAAGCGATCATGTCGGAAAAAAGAAATGAAAATGCGATTCTGTTGAACTTTGATGAAGGGCAAGGGAAGGTCCTCCAAGCTCCCACTGTTGTGTATCTTTCTCTTCTATTAGGATTTAGAATGCTTCAAAGAAGCGCTCAAGACATCATTTCCTTTCAGGAAAGAAAGAAGCAGCGTTTTATACTGATTGACTTACAGTATAGCCCATCATCCACATTGGATTCTACTATTTAGACAGCTATTCCAAAATTTCGTTCTCTTTCATTTGGGATTTCGTGTATGATATATCAAAAGATGAAACTAACACCCACCAAAGGTTTCGTCATCTGCAACTGTATCTTTGAAAGAAACAATGCTATTTAACGGATATATAATACATACTCTTGTCATATGTATGTTTGCTCCCAATAGAAACCAATGATTATAAGAGAGAGAAGACCATACTCTATAAGACAATTTCTCGTAATTAAAGACTCGAAAGAGGAGCAGGACTCTGTTTCCTCTCCTTTTCTCTGCTCTTTCCCATTCATCCCATACTTCAGGTTTATAGGGACTTAGGGAGAACTTGAGCTAATTTCATTTGATTCCAAAAATGATCTCTATGGTGCTTCAACATAGTGCCTATGCTAATGACAATGGTTGGACTACAAAGTATAGACCGTCAAAAGGAGGGAGGACAGAGTGCATCTTCTTAACAGTTGAGGACATACTCATTCATTTCTGCCTTGAGGAACAAAATCAGTTCTGCGATACAAGATGTTTCTAGCTCATACGTATCTGACATGCATCTTCTTAACCGTTGAAGACAGCTAATTTCACGTTTGCTCACTTGTTCATCACCTTTGGATCCAAGCGCAACCGACCATGCGATTTAGCTCTAGCTCGTGCTACGTCGGGGATGGGACCGGCGTTGTGCAAGGAACTCTCTGCTTACCAAAATGAAAGTCAGAAAGCTCCATTGTCTTTAAATTAAAAAGCAACCAGCAGCCACTTTCATGGGGACAAGTTGCCTTAACCACTAGAAAAATTGATGACGATCGCAAATGAATTCCATGCATCCATGTGTTATTGTTTGACTCCACTCTCCGTCCATTGTGTTAATGCACGATAAGCAAATCTACATCATGTGTGACACCTCAAAATCTAAGTCCATCTGACGTCTTTTCTCATAACAGAAGGACAAAAACATGTTGCTTCAAGTTCATTCGTTCACTAAGAATGCCATAATAATCTGAGATCATCTATGCGCGCGAGTGCATGTTTAGTGTGCCGCTGTATAAGATGTTCTAGTATATGATTTGAAGAATTGCTTATCTTCACAGATTTTTTGTGCGGATGAAGTTCATAGTTTTGCCCTCGCAAAGATTGTCAATCATCTGTACGTAAATCAGACTGAGCTTCGATACTTTGTACATCAATCAGACAGAGCTATAATACTTGCGGGAGGTTTAAGGGTTGATCTTCTATATGAATGCGGAAGAGCTTCTATTTTCGAAGAGGTGACAACAGTTGGAGATGTAACTTAAATCCAATGGAATCTTGATATTTGGAAGGGTGAATGTTTGGATAGGTGAAAACTGACATTGGAGGCATGTTCTTAAGTTAAATCCAACAGAGCTTCGATATCTCAGAGGGGAAAATTGCTAAATCCCTTTGTGTTTTGGACTTCAATATATGGAGAAATTTGGAGAGATGAAGATCGTTACAGTCACTGCAACTGAAATTTGGTAGAGCTGATAATCACATACCGAACAAAGCCCTCTGCGCCAAGAAGAAATCGCAGGGCATGGAGGAGCAGAAATGGACCCACCAGGCCGTCATCGTCGAGTCGCTGCCCAACGGCATGTTTCGCGTACATTTGGACGACGAGGACGTCATTCTTGGGTACATCTCGGGGGAAATCAGGAAGAATTTCATTCGGATGTTTCCTGGGGATAAGGTCAAGATTGAGATGAGCTGTTATGATTCGACGTGAGGGCGCATCATCCACAGGCTTCGCAACAGGGATTCTGGTGATTAGGCAAGCGTTTACTAACAGTGCGTACTTCATGCTAATGGAATTGGTAGGATTTGGGTAATTTGTTTTTGCTTATGTAATTAGTTTAAATACTTTACCTTTTAAGTTTAATATGGCATTCTGGGAATTGTGGTCTTTTAGCTTGCATACTCGAGCAGGTGTAAGAGTTGCTCGAGTTGAATGGAAGTGAAATGTATTCATCTCAATTTAGAAACTTGTCTTGGTGGGGGCAGACTCCAGAGTTCCTTAGCAGATACGTGATTGAAGTCTATTGAAGTTTTAGTAACAATTAAGAAGCTACACATTGTCACATGTTAGAAGAGTTTTTATAAGCAAATGTTATTTTCATGTCCATGGTTAGATGATCAAACTTTTTCTTGTCAAGAGTTCTTTATAAGTTTTTCATGTTGTTGGAGTTCTTTACAAGTATTTCAATTTATAGGTTATTTTCGTAAGGACCCCAAGTTGCTTCTTCTTCAGCGTGAAAGTTACTCCACTGATGGAAGTGCAACGTTACTGGCAGTGACTTCCCATTTCAAACTTCAGCTTCTTTTCTTAGTCATTGCCATTGTAATAACTTCTAAACAAATTCTCAAACTTCTTTCTCAAACGGTAGCGAAGGCAGCACTCAAGTGAGATAAAAGCCATTGGTTATTGGTCATGTGTTTAGACCTGCTAACTCTCAAGCCTTATGTCTGATAATGTCTGAATTAGTTGAGTCTGTATGTTATTTTTATGTTTGCAATATTGCGCTAACAACCTTTTTGCATCTATTATTAGCAGGTATCTGCATTGTTTAGTGAAAGAGGAATGCGCTAACAACCATCTCAAATGACCCTGACACGCATGATGATGTCAAACCTATGAATAAGTTTCAGGATCCTGCCATTTCTCTAAAGGATGCTGTTGATCAGGTTGGTGCTCATTGACTTGACATGACATGGTTATCTAGTTCTTCGTTATGTTCTGCGATCCTATCGACTTTGCTCATCTGTCGTTTGTTGGACTTCCATTAGTTTATGATTTAGGATGTCCAGGAAAATCCTGTTATGATATACATGAAAGCGTGGGTTCAGCTCTCTAGCTGTAAAAGTAATGAAACATTAGAGTGAGTTCTCTTGCCTTTTATAGCGTTTTCAGCATGTCTTTGGTGGACTTACCTACCGATGCTTTCAATTTGAAAGATTATGGAGACGCAGCTTTGACAAATTCGGCTGTTGAACCTATTTTCTAGTCTTTGTTTTTGGTACTAGAATAGCGCATGACACTTGAATACTGATGCTGATCATCCTTTTGCATGTGTTTTCACCACAAACATCAAGATTCAGTTAGCAGTATCAATAAACAAATGGTACTGTAGATTTTTTTAGTGAAACATCTTTGTCTGTATAGTACCTACACATCTTGTGCCTCAGCGGGAGCATCCTGAAGGCAAGCCAAGTGGACAGTTTTTCGTCAAATGCTTAGTTTCCTGAGATTTCCACCATTGAAAAACTTTGGTGGGCAGGAAGCTATAAAACTGACAATAATCCTTCCCAAATCGGCTATATTCATTTGTTTTTTTTTTCGGCTCGTACTGGTGGATAATTTCTGTAACAGCCCGAATTTCGACGTAATTCCGGGATCAATAAAATTGACAATATTTCGCATTTCATTTTAGTAAGTCTCGCCCAGAGCTGATCACTCTCGGGATACTAACCAATGTGGTATGGCTAACTAGGAAACGGTACGTGGACCAGGGACTCGACAGTGAACGGGACACCGATCTCGAGATACCATGAGTGAATATTTTGGGCCAACGTGGGCCGATCTTAGGAAAGGTGATGGATTTGGTTTGGCCAAGGCCAACGATGTACAATCGGATCGCAGGTGATTCTGCAAGACCGAAAGTGCACGTGGCCAACCAGTCCTGAACCTGAATCTAACGATCGTGATCTTTGGAACTAATGATAATTTCTCATTCTCTCAATGATCGGGACCGTCGTAATTCGAATAACCCTAGGTCGATACGCGTATGTCCTAAACAGCCGCCCGTTAGCCAGAGACCCTGAAATTGAAACTCGAGCGAGTTTTGATCACAAAATTGGGCCCGGATTTCGATGTCGATTTTCGAAGGCTTAAGAGACTATTTTTGGGAATCTGACGTCATATTACGCTGGCCACACACGTTAGGAGTTAGTATGAGTAAAAAGTGGAATTTCGGTCCGGGGGTGAAAAATTACGGTTTTGCCCTTGTGGGCACCGAGGCTGGATTCGAAGGCCGTTTGAGGTTATTTTTCGCGGCCAAGATCATTTTGGGGTGACCACGCACATTTAGAGTGGTTTTGGTCAAAAATTGGAAATTCGACAAAAATTGAAAAAATAATATTATTTTATTCCCGAAACTTCGCAGTCGATTTTCGAGGGCTTAGAAAGTGAATTTCGCGAATCCGACGCCATATTATGTTGGCCACACACATATGGAACACGTATGTGCGAAAATTGGAATTTCGCCCCGGGACCGGAAAAATGACGGTTTTGCCCTTGGGCCGTTTTCGGGTCCTAATTTTTGGGAAATTTTTGGGATAAGTAACTGTGTTTATCAGCTGCATTATTGGCACCAAAGACCCAATTGCCCCTCAATTATTTAAGCCTATCTCTTTAGAACCGTTAGATTAGGGGCGTTTTGGTCATTTTTCACGGATCGGCGACACGTGGCACTTTGGGCTGCTTTATTTGACCAAGTTGGACTGTTTTCTCTCTCATCAGCCCTCCCTCACGGCAGAACCAGCCCCCACCAGCAGCTTCTCTTCCATTTTCCTCTCTTTTTCTCCATTTTCTCTCTTGGTTTTGGCTTCGCCGGAGTTTGCCGCCGGCCACCGGAGTGCCGCCGCCGACCGCCGTGCCCCGCCGTCGACCGCATAGTCCCCCAGCTTCAGCCTCGCCCCTGTCCAGCCCTTTTCTCTCTCTCTTTCTCTCTCTTTTTCCCTCTCTCTCTCTCTTTCCCGTTCTGCAAATAGGACCGCCGGAGCTTCGCCGGAAATCCGATCGCTGTTCCGTCACCACCCAGCCGTCCAGCCTCGCCGTGCGTCGCCATCCAGCCCTCTCCGTACGGCGACCGTACGGTACTGTTCATCGCGTCCGTACGGATCGCTGTTCATCTCGACCGTACGACCGTCGCGGCCGTCACCGGCACTTCGCCGGCCACCGTTTTCTGCCCGTCCGTACAAGTCCTTACCGCGGTGAGCAGTCGGCTGTGAACAGTACCCGAAGTGAACGGTGCGCGTGAACAGTGCACGCGCCCGGTATTCCGCCGCCGGTTTCACTGTTCATCGGTGATCGGCCGCCGTTCCTCGTCGTCGTGATCTTGAATTAAGTGAGTAAAATTCCTAAACCCGGATTAGGACTGTTAGTGCGTTTTTCTGGACTGATTTAGGTATTATCGGTACAATTTAGACTGGCTTAGATGGTATCAGTGTGTATTTCAGACTGGGTTGAGGACGGATTGGTAGAAATTATCATTGGGAAATTTAGTGGATTAATGAGAATTAATTATGGAGATTAATTGGATAAAATAACCAATTTAGGAGCCCGTTGGAAAATTACCGGGTATGTTGACTGATTGTACGTCAATTGTGCTTAATTGTGGTTGATTTCGTACTGCTATGTCGTATGTGGTGTGGCTGATTTTATGGAGTGCGATTGGCCATTGTCTGGTTTACAATGATTTACTGATTTGTGAATCGCACGTTAGGCCACACGGTATTAATTGGGCCAATTAAGCACGTGTTGTGACATTGGGTGTCTGAATTATATTGGTGCTCGTGGTGCATTGCATTGCATAACATGGACACGCATTGCGTATGCCAAGAGTGAGGCATGTGATGAAATTGTGCGAGAATGCGTGTCTGCCATGAGCATGTGATCACCTAAAATACCCTGAAGCGTTATACGCTGGGTTCAGATAATAATGAGTTGTGTGATCACCTAAGGACCTTTGGGTCATGACCTTCGGGTCGATACCGTCCTCATGCACTTTGAAGCAGGACGATGCCCGGTACGTCCGGAAGGCGACCATCCTCATGCACTTTGAAGCAGGCTCTGGTTCGCAAGGAGAACAGTGTTGCGCCTCATGCACTTTGAAGCAGGCTAGAGACACTGGGCCAGATCGGTTGCTGCGCCTCATGCACTTTGAAGCAGGCTAGACGCACCGGGCCGTGAAAAATTGATGACTCGAGTCGTAATAAATAATAAATTGGGCGATTGCCAGTGTGCCAGTGTGGGCCAGTGGGCCGGGAAATACACGTGACATGTCGACGACATTTGCATGCATGAACATGCATGGACTGGCATGCGAGTGTGTGAGCCTCGGTGCATGAGCATGTGATTGGCGTACGTGTGATAATATGTGCCACGTACGTGCCGTGATTATTATATATTGAACTGCCTAACCTGCAGGGTCGGATAATTATTTGATTGTTGTTGCATTATGGTTTCAAATATTCATTTCCGGTCAGGAGATTGCATGCTAGCCTAGCCTAGGTTTAGGGGTTGAACTCACTGAGATTCGTCTCACGGTTGTGTAAACCGAAACTTTTCAGACCCCCAGCCGTAGGATGCCGAGGAAAGCGCCTCTTTTTGGTATACCGCAGTTCATCCAGAGGTCATCTAGTGTGCACCCTTGTGGGGACGGACCTGCAGCCATGGTCGAGGAAGCTGAGGAGCCGAAGTGTTTTTCATTGACCCCTTTTGACTGAGTGGCTGCTGACTGTGTGTTTCCTCTGCTGTTGTCTAAATGATTTGTGTAAAAAGTTTCCTATGGTAATACTAGTATACATATTTTCGGAGGTGCTATTTATTTAATGTACTATCTTGGTCTCATGTGTTTTATTGTCAGGGTGTATATATATATTTATATACGTGCTTCTGCATGTGTTTGATCTCTGATTGGGCGTTGGGTCGGCGATGCTTCCTGGGAGCGTCGCACTGCAATCGACTAAGGTAGGGATATTAGCGCTTCGTAGGGTACGGGGCGTGACAATTTCTCTTTCTGTATGACGGGGCTTGTTCATTAGCAATCACTGCTTGTCATATGCTATAGCAAGGCTTCGTTATACATGGAAATATGTTATTATCCACGTCCTGTGATGTCCTACCCAGTAATAATTTCCATATACACACTAAATGCTAGCGAATTTTGTGCATGGAAGAAAATGTCTGTGATTCTTGATTCTTATCTGTTTCTTCTCACACGTTGCAATCCCTTCATGACGTGTAAAGCTTTGGATTTGATTGATTGAACCTGTTGAAATCTTCTTACCGCATTTGCAGATGGTCCTTTAACTGCTAGGAATATTTTTGGAAGATGCAGCGCTGAACAGTGCTGTGAAAGTACCCACCCATCGGTGGTCGCGTTGATTTGCGCTCAGTTTTTTTCACGAGAGGTCCTGGATTCAAACTCGCCCATCGGTGATTTAAGAGGGGGGTCGTGGCGGTGGGATGCTGCGCTAGCCCCCCTCGAGGACTAGTCGGGCATCACCGCTGGTTTGAGCCCTAGCTCGCCGGCCGCGCAGACACCTCGGTTATAAAAAAAAAAAAAAACAGTGCTGTGAAAGCTTTTAGGTAAGTCTCACCTCCCTTTTGACAGTGTGTGATGTTGGCTGATTTTTCCATATCACTTCCGACGCAATGATTAAGTGTTCGTATACTACCTCAAAGTTGTAGCAGCCAATATAGGTTTCTTTCGATTTTTCCCATTCATGTTGAACAAAATACTTCAGCCTCTAGTATTTGCCTAGAATTCCATCCATTACATCAAAGCACTCTGGTTCGTAGAATAGATAAACTTGCTAGATTAACCTATGTGAGCTGATTCATACTGAAACATTCAATTGCCGAGATGAGAAGATTGCATAGTATTCTGCTTTCTTAGCCGTTCTTTCTTTTGCAACAACTGGCCCACGTTCCCACAGATGTTGATCAAGGGGAGTTCATTGGAGGTTCTGATGTTATTTTGAATATGCACCAGGTGAGGGTTTGTTCAATACTATCTCTGGTCTTCCCACTTCCAGTTATTTTTGTTGATGTGGCTATTTTTTCCGTCCAGAGTGGAGAGTTGAAGTAGAAGCTCCAGGATATTACAGCCAACCAGGAAAAATCAGCTCAAGTAACACATGGCCGATGAGAGAGAAAACAGGAATTTTGAGGTTTGCTAGGTTTTCATTTAACCATTTGCCGTTCTTCTTGTTTAGGTGCTTTGTGATGATGGAGTGTAACAATGAACTTACCTTGAAAAATTATGTACTGTGCATGATTTATGTGTCAAAATAATGTAGCTTCTATTATTTTTATGTCTCAAATGTTGCATGGCCATTACTTGCAGCAGGTTGGAGTGGTCATATGGTGATTTTGCTGCTGCTTGTTTTGTTGAGTGCAAAAAGTCAAGGCATTGTCTATGAGCCTCTTTTATCTAGCTGAATCTATCAGCGTAGAGGTGAAAATATGGACAGTAGAAAATCATGCACCTTCTATAGATATCTCTGTTAACGCGGTATGCTCAGAGTTTTTTGTCCATATTGTGATGTGTCCTAGTGAAGCGATCGCATCAGAAAAAAAAATGAAAATTGCAAGTCAGGTGGTCAGCGGAACAAAAGGTAATTCTGTTGAACTCTCGATGATGGGCAAGGTCCACCAAGCTCTCACTATTGTATCTTTCTCTTCCATTAAAATTTAGAATGCTTCAAGGAAACGCTCAAGACATCATTTCCTTTCAGCAAAAAAGAGTTGCACTTATTGACTATAATATGATCCATTTTGCACATTAGATTCTACTAGTCAGATAGCTATCCCATGTATGATAGATCAAAAGATGAAACTAATACCCATCCAAGGTTTGGTCATTTGCAACAGTATCAGTCAAAGAAACTTGTTATTCAACGAGCAATTAACAGTTACACCCTCGTAATGTAAATGTTTGCTTCCACTAGATACCAATGATAATAAGAAAGAGAAGATTATACTCCTCAAGACAATTTCTCGTAATTAAAGACTTGGTGAATGAAAGAGAAGGGCGGAACTCAAAAGTATTGTCTTGCCATGAGTGCATTAAGCGGGATTCAATTTGTTTCCTCTCCTTTTCTCCTCTTTTCCTTGTATCTCATACTTCATGTTTATAAGGACTAGGGAGAACAGAAGCTTATTTCATGTGATTAGGTCCTTCAACAACTTTAAAACAAATAATTCTACTTTGGTATTCAAACAAAGTACCTATGCCCATGACAATAGTTGGACTACAAATGGCGGCATCAAACCATATTCATCGGTTGCTAAGGAAAGCATTGTCTGTCAAAAAGAGGGAGGGCAGAGCGCATATTCTTAAAAATTGAGGACACGGTCTTCATTTCTGCCTTGATAAACAAAATGAATTGTGCAACATAAGATGTTCCAATTTTTCGTGTTCCTTTTGGGGAGTTGAATTCTGATTCTCTCAGCATATTTTGTGTATCAAGCTTGCTCATATTGTGTCAAATGGATTGTTGGGGTGGGAAATCCATAAGTATGGTGTCATGGCCTGGTGAAGATCGATTCCACCATGAGAACCTCAATCCAGCTGCATGGTTTTCTAAAAGAACAATGTCTGTTGAGATATGCACAAAAGACAGAAATTTCAACACCATAGTAAACCAGAGCTTGGACTAGATCAGGAACTAATCCAAAATATCCATGTTTGGAGCCAAAGGACAATACTTTGATTGGGTACTGATGCCAAATACTAATAACTCTTACACAAGTATGAAATCTGAAATGCAATATAAGCTACACCTGCATAGAAGGGAAGGGCAGGTACCCAAATATGCAGTAATTACTCAAGCATCTGTCAACATATGCTTGCTACACAGGCGGTAACTATACTCTTTAGAATTGTCACTCATGTGGTATTTCACCTAAAATTGCAAGAGTAAATCCCAGTGTTGCTGGGCAACGGTCTTTCAAACGAAGACCAAAAAGAAACAAACAGAAAAAGTATGCCTTTGGTGGAGGCAGCACTGTACACAAAACTGTCCGATTCCACCTTAGTTTTATTCCAACCACGGACCCTGAAGCCTGAATCAAAGGTGAGGGTCTTCGTCACCATGCCCATCCGGTGGAACTCCAGGACCCCCAACTTCGAGCGGTCAAGAAATGAGACATGTGATCAGTGATGCTTCTACATTGGCAACGGACAAGCTAAACTGGTTAATCTTGCAGTGTAGCTAGTTACAATATAAATTCAACAAAAGATGGAAAAGATCAAATTGTCAGGGAGCTCTGTTGGCACAGTTGACAGTAAAAGAAACAAGGAGGGACGACCTGTTTCTAAATTAAAAAGCAACCAGCAGCCACTTCCATGGGGGCAAGATGCCTTGACAACTAGCAAAAAGAATTCATAAAACATTGGTTGATGATCACAAATGAATTCCATGAATCCTGGTTTTATTGTTTGACTCCTCTCTCCATCCATTATATTACATTTGCTTGCATGCCATATTATGTCATTTGTGCTTGTAATGGATAGGGAGATGGACCCAAATTAATTTCCTGCTGAAATTGATCGAAGAGAAATAATGCAATTTTTCCTTTTTCCAATTCCTTCGTGAATCCTAGTGGCTTGTTCCACTCTATCAGAGAGCTAATACGCAATCAACTATTTGTATTTGTGTATCCAAAGAAAAAGCACAATCGAATATTGTAGAAATAAATGGCAACAAACATGCACAAGTTTTGTGACAAGTCACGTTGGTATCGACATGCTAAATCCTTGAACAGATCTAATTGTTGCCTTTTCTCTTCCTATGAAAAAGCCCCTCTCAACAACGTTAGCTAGGTATCAAATGGCTTCTTTTTACATGCGTGCATAATCAGATTTTAAAAAAAGGAGATATTTTCTTCTAGTGATCGAGCACATTGCAGTATATTCTAGGTATGTGAATGCAAATCGCGACTGTTTTCCCATTTTCATTTTCTCATCTAATTTTACTCAGCCAGAACGGGCTGAGTTTTCGACTAGTTATGGTAAGGAAGATGTACTAGACTTAATTAGTAGGCAATTGTATTTCGAGAGATCACATTCTACCCCAACTCTAGCAAATCCTTCATGGCATCTTCAGACAACTATTAAGCTGACTGGCCTTTTTATTGTTTGGACATTTTTCTCTCCTCCTATCGTTCGCTGGGTCTCCCTGCCCTCATTCACGCTTCTCTTAATATTCTCCCTACTTGTCAAATCCAATTAATCATGTCACATCTTAATCGAAAAACGAAATGTTTATTAAATAGGCTATATAACATAACGTGCATAACATGTTTCTAATTCCTCGCCAATCTTTAAAATTAATGCAAATGATGATACGTTTGATTGTCGAGAAAGATCCTCTTGTAAAACAGGAATCAGATATGCTAAAAAGGAGTAGTTACTAACTCTAGGATTGAGTCAATATTTAGTGGATGGAGATGAGGTCTAGGGGATTCTTCAATAGCTTCGAAACCTCTTCCACAACCTGTTTCACAAGTACCTCTTCATGCCTACCAATTGCCAATTAAAATTGATATTAGCTTTAAGTAGTATAAAAAGCTTCCAGAAATAGGATCCAATAAAGGTTTTGGTGAGAATGACGAAAGTAAATACCCATCGGCAACCCATCCTTTGTAGGAACCAACCTCCCTGAGAGCTCGTTCCAACCGCTCATAAGTACCCTTGTCGACTAGCTCCTTGTGTTGAAGCATGTGCTCTCCAAACAAATGGGATACGTCTTTGACATGCGAGGGCTTCACTTTATAGAAAATGGGCAATATCTTTTGTCCCTTTCTTCTCTTGCATTCCACCATTTGAGCTAGATCATCGAGGCACCAATGAGAGGAGGCATAGTTTTCAGAGAGAATCGGAATGGATATCTTGCAGTGCTCGATGGCATTGCGAATCTCATGATCAACATCTTTACCTATGAGGCACGGATCATCATCCTTAAATACTCTGATTCCTACAGCTACAAGACTTATGTAGAGGTAAGCAGCAAGGTCATATCGGGTATCAGAGCCACGAAAGGCCAAGAACACTTGACATTTACTGTCTCTTCTTTTTTTCTCCGAAAAGCAAAAATACTCTGCAATCCAGCAACAAACAAAGTGATAATGTAAGATGTCTCCCACGATGAACACAAAGATGCTTACGAATGGTACCTGATCTTATGAACATGGGGAGCCGTTCGATCCACATCGACTTCAATTTATATGAAACCTTATCGCGCACCATTTCCACCAGCTCTGCTTCACGCCTGCCCACATATACATATATATGTGTAAAACCAAAGTTAGGCGTGCAGTTTGATTACTTCCTTCCCTAAGTCTGCGATTCTGGATGGGTCATTCCCATCCAAGTGCACAAGGGTTCGGATTCAGATTTGTGACAGATAGTAGATTCGTAAATACTTACAGACAATACACACATACATATATACATAAGAACATACCCATCAGCAATGGTCTGTGATGTCCATCCTCCAATCCTCGCTACAGAAGCCAGCTCTTTCCGCCATGCTCGCACTTCTTCTGAGCTGCACTGCCTCTCATGTTCAAATAGAGCCTGTTCGATTTTACCGCGTTGGCAACCTACATCAACAACATCCACCTTATAGAATACAGGGAAGACTGATTTGCCATGCTTTCTGCGGCACTCCATCATCTCAGCGAGCTCGCGGAGGCACAATTTACTCTGCACATATTGTTCGGAGATGATGGGGATCGCGATCCTACAACTTCTGATGGCCCGGAGAACTTCCAGACCTATCTCGTCGCTGACCGGGACCGCATTGTCATCCCTGAACACGTGGAACCCAGCAGCTACCAGGCTGTTGTAGAGGAAATCGGTGAAGCCGGTGCTAGTGTCCGGGCCTCTGTAGCTTAAGAACACGTCGTAGTTCTGAGAGACTGCCATGGTCTTCTCGCGCAGAAATCTGTAAGTGCACATGAACGGGTGGGCTAGTAGTAAAACAATGGCTGGGGCATCCGTTTTCTTCAATTTGCCTTTTCTCTTTTCGGATGTGTGTGCTTTGAATACACCAAGCCAACGTTCTTCGGGAAACTTCCTTATTTTGAAGCGTGGCCGTTTTCTAAAAGATGACGCAAAGTATCTGTTGTTTCAAATAAGAGACTAAAGTGCTAGGAAGAAGAAAAGGAGAGAAGAGATAGAAAAGATGAACTGGAAAGCTGGAGAGTCGGATGTAGGAAGAAGAATGAAGCAAGAACAGAGAAAGAAGAAAGAAAATATAACTTTGTTGACCATAACTTGAAAAGTGCGTGGGAGATGCGTGTGATCATTGAAGCCCTTATTTGAGCCTGTGTAGATCACTCAATGCCCTTATTTAAAATAATATTTATTTCAGATCCTTTTTTGTGAAAACGGTCACACTTGAGACCCTTGTTTATTATTTTTCCTTATTCTTTTGGCAGGGAATTGGCCCCCAAAAAATCAGGAAATTACCTAAAAAGTTCCAAATTTATTGCATTTAGGTTAATTTAGTCCTAAATTTTTGGATAATTTGTCAATCTTAATTTTTTATAAAAATTTTAAACTTTTATTATTTTTTAAATTTTTTTATTGTTCTAGCGATGGTCCACCGGTTGCAGGTGAGGGAGCGAAGGACCCTTGCCAGACCTGGGCAAGTTCGCTTGCCGCCGACGAGAAACGGGCCATCTGAGTGCAAATAGGAGGGTCCTGGGTCTATGGAGAAACAGGCGCAGAGTTAAAAACTTTGTCGTAAGAGGCAGGTCCTAAGAAGATATCTTTCGGCAAGGTATGCGGAGAGAGAGGCTCTTTAATCTGGGATTGATAAATTAGCTAATGCTGTTCCTGTCACTATTGGACCTAGAGCTATGCGGACTGTTCTATTTCTTCTTCTAAAATTCCTGTTTCTGTCATTTTAATCTTGGAATTTTTTGTTCGTCTGATTAATTATTTATTATGGGGGGTTCGAGCTGGAATTGGTATTAATGTAGTGGCCGTTTGGACAGGGTGTGAGATATTGTGTTTTTTCTTGGGTTAATATCACGAAAAATCTCAAACTGATATACCTGTGATAATTTTACTCCAAACTAATTTTTTTACTACTAAAAACTCCAAATCGGTACATTTCTGACAAATTTACCCCGGACTAATATTTTGACCACCCCCAAACTGGTACATTTGTGACAAATTTACCCTCCGTTAGTTTTCGCTAAATTGGATTAATACCACAAAAAATCACAAACTGGTATATCTGTGGCAAACGGAGGATAAAACGTAAAATCGATATATCAATCAATTGCCGTGTATCATTTAACAAAATAATTTGACAGCAAAATTTAACGGAAACAAATTAAGAGTAAAATTATCACAGGTGTACCAGAGTTTGGGATAAAATTATCAGAGGTATACTAGTTTGGGGTTTTTTGTGATATTAATCCTTTTTTTCTTTTTCAAGAAGTTTGTTCAATATATGAGTATCTACCGTATACAAGATCTATGCAATTAGCATATGCCAACCTAGAGGTATGCCAAGTGTTTCTCTAATACTTTTCTGGAAGTACACTTACAAACTCATACATATATAACATGCATTTACGGTCAATTTGACATGGACTAATAACTTGTTCGTACTGCAAATTAGGCCTGTTGGACCCAAAAAATTATAACTAATTAGACAAGCTCTATTAATTGAATCTATAGCATGTCGTGGGAAGTGGTTTGTAGAAAAATATTTCAGCATGTAGCATTTGCACTCATTAAAATAGTTATAATCTGTATGTTCATGGCATAATAGTGTGACGCTACATATAATTATATCACAACTTGACAAACGGAAAATGCTATCAATTTTTAAGATTTGATTACACCAACTTGACAAATTTTAGGGATTTGATTGCATTTTTTGAAAGTTTAAGATCTCAATTGCACTTTCGTGACAAGTTTTATGACTTTCGGTGCACTTATCACTTGTTTTTTTGATCATCTTCCATCTCGTCTTGTAAGTTCATTATATTTCACGAAGAACCCCAAACTAGTATACTTGTGATAATTTTACTTCAAATTAATTTTTTGACCACTAAAAATCCCAAACTGGCATACATGTGACAAATTTACCCTCTGTTACTTTACATTAAATTTTATAGTCAAATTGTTGAGTTGGATGGCATGTAAGTTTGGCGTTTTACCTCTCTATCTGTCGCAAATTTACTAATTTGTGATTTTTTGTGATACTAATCTAATTTAATGGAGAGTAGATCTGTCACAAGTGTATCAGTTTGGGTTTTTAGCAGTCAAAAAATTAGTTTGAGGTAAAATTGTCATATGTATACTAGTTTGGGATTTTTTGTGGTCAAAAAATTAGATCGGGGTAAATTTATCATAAGTGTATCAATTTAGAATTTTCCGTGATATTAATTATTTTATATATTATTTGTATTTTTTATTCTTACACGTAAGTTCATATATATTTGCCTTTTTTATTACGACGGTTAAATTCTTTATAAATAATAGTCGTTTACTTGATTACTTCACGTAAGTTATACGTAAGTGGCGCTTCCAAGACTCAGAAAGGCAATGTTCTTCTTTGTCCACCACACCTTTCAAGGGAATCCGCATGAGGATTTGACTATTTTTAAATTCGTATTATTAATAATGATCTATCGTTAATTTTGTGTTACCTAACCATTTTCTTTGCTTGATCTACTTTTCCTGACCATGTATGGGAAAGTCAAATGCATTTCTTTCTGGAAACGTCGTTTTTGAAGGGACGTATCGAGAACCGAAACAGAACGATCACGCAGAAAACAGAGAAAATAGACGATGCACGAATTTACCCAGGTTCACCCTCGATTAGGGTTACGTCTGCAAAGAGATTTCACTATGTTTTTAGGTTTACTGACCACTCAACTCGTTACAATGATCGGAAAAGCGAGCAAAATATATATATCCCCAAATGGGCCCAAACCTAAACCTATATGAAATCTCTTAATCTCGCACTTTATACGGGCCGGCCAAACCCGTTGAGGTTTGGTGCGCCCAGAGCCCCAGCTCGCTCACCGTGCGAGCGGCCGTCCATTGGCCGAGCGGCGGAACCCCGTCGGGCGGCGCCCCCGAACCCCGCCAGGCCGGCCAAGGCGTGGGGGCACACCCGTGTCGGGCGCGCCCCGAACCCCGCATTCCGCACGCATGGGTCACATGTCGTCGGACAACACTTCAGTTTCCCTAAGCTCACGTGGGCGTACCCGATGTGAGAAACAAGGGTCCCCGAAGTATTTGCCAACTCCAACATTTTTCTCGTATGTATTTTATTTTGATCGATTTATCCATGATGATTGAGCTCCATTATTGAGATCACTATCGATTTTTCCTATTTCTTAGGCAGAATAAATTTCAAATATCGAAAACATATACTCCTTGATACTCCATATTCTTACTCATTTAAACTTCTACTATTGTCGACCTTACTCATTATATATCTTGTCTAAGCTCGTCTCAGCGAAAACCTTTTGTTTCTAAAGTTCTTTTCCAAAATTTGAGTCTCCTTCTTAACTTCCGCTTGGACTTTAGAACCGAAAATAAAAGCGGAAAAAGAAAAAGAATTTCGGCATGGGCCATCTACCAACAGTCCAGCACCACATCATCCAATACCGGGGAGAGAAAGAGAAAAAGGGTAAGAAAAAAAAATTTGTCGCTTGCCTAAAAAAGGGTCCATTTGATCCTACCCAAAAGGGGTCCGGTGCATCTCTATTTTTTTTTCTTTCTCCGGTCCATCTTGTTTGAACCGGCGGACTTTTATAAGCATTTAATAAGTTTAAAGCTCTCAAGAAACCCCAGGAAGAACCGCCCTGAGAATGTCTGCCTCCCTCAGAAGCTGCTCTTTCCGGCCAGTTCCTCTGTTTCTTTTGTTTTCCTTCAATTTCGTCATGCCCTTTTACGGATTATATGCTCTTTGGATTGATATTGAAGAATTGGGGCGATCTGAGTGCAAATAGGAGGGTATCGGGTCTATGGAGAAACGGGTACAGGAGGCAGGTCCAAAGAAGATATCTTTCGCCAAGGAATGCAGAGAGGCTCTTCAATCTGGGATTCATAATTTGTACCCCCAACTATGACTGGCAAGTTATTTCAAGACAAGATCTCATCAATGAGCCGAAATTCGGGAAAGAAGAGGATTAATTTCATCAAAGGACAAATGTAATTCACATGAAATTGTCGGTTAAAGAAAGCTGTTAGAGTAATTAATTAGTGGTTTACTGAAATTTCATATGGCATCAGAGTTGGAGGTTCTGAGTTCAAATCTTTCTAGGTCTCGTTTGCCTCCCCAATTGAATATGTCCACGCTTAGTACTAGGCAAAATGACGTGTGACAGGGAGTGTTAGAGTAATTAAATATTAAATCACGCCTTCATCTAATAGCTTAAGTTTTTAGAACAGTTGGTAGTGGTCCCATCAAAATCTCACAAAGGCGAACTCCCAGGAGCAGCAGCATCCTTAACTACGTTGGCTGCTAACTTTACGTTCGGAATTATGGTGCCCGAAAGATGATGAGGCACTCCTGGACATGGCACCAAATTCGTGAAGAACTCCGAAAGGAACGATAATCAAACACCAGACGCACGGGGAGAAAGTCAGAAGGCACGAGGGTTGCAAGTGAATACCTTCCTGTTGATCGACAGGGACTTCGTTGGTGTTGAGACGGCGATAGACCCGTGCATGGAGTTGGTGTTGATGACCTCGACGGGGAAATGAGAGGCGAAGTCAATGGCCAGGCGCAACTAGCCGGGGCCGGTGGGGGCACATTCTTGGGTCTAGCTCTTTTCAATACTCAATTGAAACTTGCCATATCGCTTTAATAAAAAAAGCGAATGGGATATTTTTTTTATTAATAAATTTATTAAACTTGGTGAGCAAGCGAATGCACCATTTACATATTACACGCATCCTACTCGAAGATGATAGTGATCGCAATCTTACTATTCTTGATAGCCCCGATAAGCCCAGGCTAATCTGCTTGCGGATCGGAAAAATGCCGTCACCCTTGTACACGTGGAGTTGGCATTGATGACCTCGACGGGGAGATGAGAGGCGAAGTCAATTGGCCAGGCACAACTAGCCGGGGCCGGTGGGGCACATTCTTGGGTCTAGCTCTTTTCAACACTCTATTGAAACTTGCCATATCGCTTTAATAAAAAAAGCGAATGAGATTTTTTTATTAATAAATTTATTAATCTTGGTGAGGTACACGCATCATACTCGGAGATGATAGCGATCGTAATCTTACTATTCTTGATAGCCCCGATAAGCCTAGGCTAATCTGCTTGCGGATCGGAAAAATGCCGTCACCCTTGTACACGTGGACACCAGCAGCTAACAGGCTGTTTGTAGAGGAAATCGGCGAAGCCGCTGGAAGTGTCTCCGCCGCTGAAGTTCAAAGAACACGTCGAAGGTATACATTTTCTTCTTTGTTTTTATTTGTCGTTTGCTTTTGTCTCATATAACACGTGGCCCACATTTATACCTTCGGAACGTTGCTTTCAAGACTCAAAATGTCATTGTTTTGGTTTGCCCACCCCACATCCCAAGGCCGCCCCGTGAAAACTTTGACTAAATTGCTCCTCTTTTGTTTTCTTGTTCGTCGGGAAAAGTGCCAAAAAAGTCCTAAACCTTTTGCATTAGTGCCAATTTAGTCC